TGTGTGTGTGTGTGTGTGTGTGTGTGTGTGTGTGTGTGTGTGTGTGTGTGTGTGTGTGTGTGTGTGCGCGCTGTAGGAGCTGAGACAAGAAATTGATGCCAAACTGTGCCAGGTTCAGAAAATCCACTTTGAGCCTCGTCTGCTGTACCCAGATGATGACCGGCTAAATCAAAGAGAACTGTGTGGTTAGTGGAGCACATAAACATACACACACATACACCCGTTATGCACAAGTGTGCACAACAATCTGTGTTTGTGTTGCAGGCTCCCTGTACAGGATGAGAGCACTGGATGCCATCAGAGACACTGGTAGGCTTTGCTGTCACTTACCTTAGTCACGGTTTTGTGTTGTTGTCATGACAGACTATTTACAATACCACCTGCACTTTAGATCTCCCTTTCCGTGAACTCGGCGGCACATCCACCGCTGTGACGGGTAAAAGACTCCGGACGTGGCTTCTACAGCTGCGAAACTCCCACTGCGTGTTCGGAGACCGCCTGAGCTCACTCATCGACACGGTGCTGGATGGGTACAACAAAGCACGGCACGGGGCGGAGGTCAGTGTCTCTGTGTGTGATCAAAATGCTGTTTAAATGTGTGCCTTGTAGTTCAATACCATAAACAACCATTTACATATGGCGCACATGTGTACTGTACTTCACACTTCTGTAAATTGCTGCACATTTATATTTACATACATTTTTACCATGTAGCCCATCCTGGTGTTTTCTGTATATTGCGATTGCATGAAAAGCTGACAAATGTCTGATGTCCTGTCATCTGCTCTTGTTTGTGTCTGAAGGCTTTTGGTGAGGCTGAATTTTTGAAATACCATGAAGCTCTGACTGAATTGGCCTCTGTGTGAGTAAAACCACCCTTTCCTCACAGTGCTCCCTTGCAGCTCTCCTTTTAGGCTAATCCCACCGTGGAATGTTAATTCTGCAGCGGGAACAATCTGTTTTTCCCCTTCGCTGTTTCAGCATCAAGTCTCACAGCGGTACCAGCACTCCGAGCCAGTACCACCAGTCCGCAGCCAAAGACCTGACCAGCACCACGGAGCCTGCGAGCTCCTCCTCCTCCCCCACCCAAACCACCTACCTCACATCTTCAATGCAGCAGCGCAGCAAGCGGCCCAGACACTTCCTGGAGCTGAAGAACTTCAAAGACAACTACAACACTCTGGACAGTTCGTTCTGAAATTGTATCCAAAAGAAAAGGTCAAAGACGAGGTAGAGCCGTCGGTGATTAAAGTGCCTACGGACGACGACGGGTCACCAGATAGTTTAGAGAGTGATGATAAAAACACTGCCTTCGTATACCCAAACGTATTTCCTGGTTTACAGTTGAATGCATATCAGACTCAGTGCTCTTTATCTCCGTGTAGCCTATGCATAGAGCCTGTATTAATGCATGTGCAGTATAAGTAGGTTGGGTTGATTTGACCAAACCAGAGCTATGGGGCAATGCAATGGCATAAGACAATCAGTATTTATTGCACAATGTAAAAGCCTATGCAGACTTGTTGAAATGACTGGATTAAAACATGCTTATAGTTAATTATGTTTGTAGAGAAACCAAGTGTTAGTTTAAAAGACACACACACTGTTTGTCACTTATGTTTACATCTATGTATGTCACTACTGCAGTGAAATTGCTGCCTGTTTTTTCTTTGTTTGTTTTACAGAAGCCATACTTGATTTAATGAATTTTTCTGATTAAGTGCTCTTTTTTTTATTTTTTTTATTGTTAATCAGTTCTCTGTGCAATTAAACAGTATTCCAGTACATTAATGCATCATGAATGTTGCACCAGGGGGAAGTCTTTTGACTTTTGTAAAAGCTAGACTGGCCTCCAGATATCTAAAATGTGTTTCTTTGCTAGTCAGGGTTCCTATAAGGTGAATACTTTTATTTTCTGTGGTTGTTATTCAAATAAAACTGACATATGATGGTGCACAATGTTCTTACATGAGTTCCAGTGTATAGTGTCCAGCAGAGGGCGCTCCTTCACAGCAATCTTAAAAGTTCTTAAAGCTTGCTTCATTTTAGTAACAAGTCAAAAGAAACATTAAATTCATTTTTAGTAATTTATTCTGAGAACCACAAACAAATACAGTAATAGATTCAAATGTACTTCATAAAAAAAATCCTCTGTCTAAAAGTGTTTTTCATATATAAATAAATACAAAGGAGAAAGCTGTTAGGTAGAAATTAAAACATTAAATCACATTAATTAAAAGTGTGTACAAAACAAGTTGTCTGGTTACACAATGAGGGGACTGAAATGCTTTACAAGAAACATGTATAATAGCGACACTGCTTTGAAATCATATTTCTTCCTTCTACTTCCTCACAGTTTTATGAAGTGCCACATTGTTGTTTGGGGCTTAAAACTATATCATTTAAAAACATCACAGGGTGTTCACCTTACACAAACTATCGTCAGTATTTACATGTTAAAAATCTTCCTGTTCACTCAGCAAAGTGAACAGAGTCAGGAGTGACTAATGATTACACAGGAAGTAGATCATCTGGTTAACGATTGTTACATGACACTTTTAGCTTTGTTAGCTAGGTTTTCTACATTACTGCATTTAAGCTTTATGATGTCATAACCCACTTTGGCAAAAGGTCCGTCATCCTGCCCTTTGCTCAACCGTTCTGCTTTGACACAACAACGCCAAAGGTCTAAAAAGCAATTCAAAACAGGGCAGCACAAGATAACACTCGCATTAAGTACGCAGTATTTATGAATAGTATTTATAACCTTAAAATGCACATCAGCTGAATCAGTACGCTTCAGCTACGCTACATTAAAGCTGACACACACACACACACACATTCATTAGCTATGCACAGACGCACAGCAAGCTTCCGTGCGCATGTGCCGCCAAACATCACGTACAGTTTCCTTCAAGAGTGTTTGTGGTTTAAGTGGTAGTGTTGTAGTTTCAGTCCAGAAAGCTCAACTCTGACACCACAAATGTTAAAGCGATCAGATGTGGTCGCAGAGCTGCTGTTCAGTTTTAGTCTGCATTGCAAAGATTTGGTGGTTCTTAACAATTGTGGTCTTTTTTTGCTCTGCAGTCGCTTCATGACTTGATCTCGATGACTCTGATGAAAGGGAGTGGTTTGTTGGATGAGTTGGACGGCTTGATTTGTTTACTGAGGGGACAAGAGGAAGAGACATGAGTCGTTTGTATTTTGAAACAGTAGAAAAACTAGTAATCAGTATGCATCTCATGTTACAGTGCGGCAGGAATGAGTCTCGTGTCTTAAAAAAGGCAGTTGCTGACAAGTGGCTAAATGAGACTACAAAACGTCATCACACCCACTGGTTTACCTTCACAGTCTGTGGTGTATACTAGTGCAACTGGTGGGGTTTGTTTGTAAATGACATTAGCTTTTTACTTTTGCCGATAGCGTTCATGCTTCAAAAAAATCATAAAAGTGGCGTTCATTTGTGAAGATTATATTGCTGAACAAAACGTGTATTTTGTTTTCTGCAATAATACAAAAACTAATGGAGAAATCCCATTGGCTTTTTGTTAAGGGGACCAGTATGATGCTAACTTCCGAGGTTGGCCTACAAAAATACGTCATCCCTGCGGCACTCTATAGGTGAATATTTCATGTGTGTTTGCATGTACTGCATTTTGGGACCTGTTGTGCCAAATTCGCAAAAAATTTAAATTAAATTAAAGTTGCAAACTCTGCTTGGGCAAGAATAGGCCCTGTAGGACTGGCACATTTACAAGGTTTGCGGGTGTAAAGAATATTAAGAGGAAGTGCAAGTTACCTGTAGACGATCTGGGGGTTGCGCTCTGATGGAAGGTAGGAATTTGACCGTTGTCCTCCCAGGAAGTAATCCATCTGGTCATGCATCTCTCGGTTCTGCACAAACAGGAGATCAGGGGTCAGTCCACATAACACCAAAATAAATAATTAATGTGACCACAAAACAGACAGTGGTTCACTTTCATATCTCCTCGCAACCTGCAGATATTTTATTTCCTTTCTCCCGTCCATCACTTCCATTAACCGCGACTCTTTATTCTAAATTTTACTGATGAGCCATAAAATGTTCTTTATTTGAGGAGACAATAAGCAGAACTCACCTCAGCCTCCAAAAAAGTCACTTTCTCCTCTAGCTCTTTGATCACGCGGTCCCTCTCCTGGATCACCATGCGAGAGTTCTGAAGCTAAAGACGAAAAAAAACACAGTCACAGTCAGTAAATCCTGCACAAATATGAACAGAGACAATGTGTTTGCTTTACAGAGTCTCACACATGTGCGCCTCACCTGTTCAATCATGTGTCTGACTTTCCTTTGCTGGCTTTTCAGCATGTCATCCAGATGGTGGATCTTTTCTTTGAGAACAGCCACCTCCCTCTCCAACTGCTCAGTCCTAAAAATACACGCAGAGAGTTAGAACGCGCGACACGTGATCTATCTGTCACTGATTGGTAGATAATCATTCATGCTGTTAATGTGTTTGTGTTGACTGACCTCTGCTCCCCTTTCTGGCCCTCCTCTCTGATCTTGCGCAGTTCGCGCATTTCGTCCTCGCGGCTGCGTATTGCCTCTCGCAGGGTGGAGCTCTCCTGCTCCATCCCCCCCAGCAACCTCTGGAGCTCGTCTATGCGCATGTCTTTCCTCTCGCTGGCTTCTTCTGTTATCTTCAACTTCTCCTCCTCTTCGTTGAGACACTCTCTCAGCCTGCGGCTTTCAGCCTGGAAGAGGCAGGGAGAAAAAAAAGATGGGACACTTTATTACTTTAGTTTAAAATGTAGTACTGTTTCAGTGCAACCAAAATGCAGTGTACATTATTTGTGATGATTCATATGTAAAACATAAGCTCTGTATATGTGTGTTACCTGCAGCCTTTCTTTGTCCTCTTGGTGTTTCTTTTCTGCTTCCTGTAGCTGTGCATATAAGCGCTTACTGACCTCCCTCAGCTTGGCTCTCTCGGCTTCTTCATCTGCTTCCTAAAAGAGACAGAATGTAGTGTTGGATTAGCAGAGCGATACTGTAATGTGTGTGGCAGCGTCAGAGTCCAGATCTTAATCCTGTCGAGAATTTGTGATTGAACTTGTTCCCTCACAATTCCTGGGCCACCTTGAGCAAAATTTCCAGATAAATTCTGACTTGAAGGGGATGAATACGTATACAAAACAGGTATTTTGTATTTTATATTTGTAGTAATTTAGATCGCTTTGTCAAGATCTGTTTTCATCTTGACCTAAAGGGCATTTCCTGTTAATCAGTCTCAAAAACAGCCACACCTACTATTATTTAATGTTGTAAAACAATAAAGCTATATATCGTAAACTGTACACAAGAATGGCCTAAAAACAACAATCCAAGATGGATCGATAGACACATAGATGCTTTCAGGATGATAAATGTAAAATCTTGTTTTTGTTTCATTGGAGCTCAGTGGATTTGGCCTCATAAGAAAACAGGTGTGTCTGTGTGTGTCACTGGAGCAGTTGGATCACGACCAGCGTTGTCCTCCTAATTTCTGCAACGCTTCTGTGAGTGAGCCATAGCGTGAGTCACAGCTATAATGCTATAATTGGCAACAAAAACTATTGAACCAAACACAATGGTGCCAGCTCTGTTTGTATTTGTACACAGCATTAATGATACTAGTGGTTGCTAAAAGTGTGTGTCTCAAAGACAGCAACAAAACTATTGAAGGAGAGGTATCTGTGGAATGCTGGGAACAATGAGGCGGGCCTCAACACAATAACACACGTAGGGAGAGGAACAGTGTGTGCTGGAATGGCTCTCTCACACATTTTAATACACCCTGGGGTGCTATCGCATATTTACACTCTTGCTGTAATTTGACTCCTGTGGTTTTCTATTCACATCTCTGTTTGTCTCTGTGTTTAACTTTATACCTCCTCCTACCTGTGTGCCTCTGGCAGGTGATCGCTGTACAGGCATCGCACGAAACACACATTGTCCAGATGAAAAACACAGACGGTGGACTGCGGCTATGAAACGCATGCGAGATTATTATTATTATTTATTAACTTTGAATGTTCACCTGTGCGTCAGCTTTGGGTCCTCCGTTTTGGGACGACAAGGCGCTCTTTCTGAAGGGAAGACCAACTTTCCACCCATTTGTGAGTGGCTGAAAAAGAGAAAAGGAGGAAGTCAGCCAGGAAAGAGTGAAAGAGTGAAAGATGGAGACGAAAGAGGTTGAGGAAATGCCATTTAGCACACAGGATGTAAGGTTAACAATGGCAAAGGGCACAACAAAGCAGCTTGAAATACACCTACCTTGTTTTTGACTGCCATCTGCTCCCTCAGTGTCTTCAGGCAATACCTCACCTGTGTGAAATACAGACATATAATGAGCCACACAATTTTTATAATGTTTTAACATGTGTATGTTCTCTAGGAAGTGATGAACACAAGACAAAACATGTATGGAAGCCAGGAGGAATTTACATGTCGCAAATATGCAAATTGTTACATGATCCAGGAGACGGGGTGGAGAGACTGTGTGTGGGTTTAAAATGAGTGTCAGAGCTAAAGAAGATACTGTCCAGAGACTGACCTCCTGTATCTGGGAAACCTCGTCTGACAGCATCTTCAGGCTCTGCTGGTGTTTATGCTGCTCTTGTTTGCGGGCCTCTAGATAGACCTGGACAGACAAGGACAGACACACACAGATGTTTAACACAGACGTGACCATGAAACAAACGCACACCATTTATTTCTTCAAAAGCAACAGCCAATGATGTGCCACACCCACCTTGATAACTTCCACCTGCTCCTCTTTAGATTTGACCGGTTCAGGGTTCAGAGATGTCCTGTCAGTGGCCGGCTGCACCAGCGCATAAGCACGTCCAATTGGCTGGAGGTTAGAGAGCAGAGGAGTTAACAGTGCGGCATGCACAGTGTTGCGTCAGGATGGGTGTGATACATTTCCAAACATCGTCACTGTGTTTTTGCTAACGCTGGAAGAGAAGGGGAGTTGGAGCATGTTCCTGATGAATATTGCAACACTAAATATGGAAGAACAGTCAGGAATACATCCATTTAAAAATCATATGAACAATGTTATTAAACTACCAACGGGCAAAACTGAATACATACATTTAGTATTCAGACTAAACCATTAGCAGAGACACACAAAAGAGTTTTGTTTTTTTAAATCTAACTTTGGCACCGTTTTTGGGAAACAAATGGTTGTCTTGAGACATTTTGAGTAGTTTGTGTTAAAACCATGGTATTAAAAAACGCCGAGCTGTTTGAGTCTCTGTGCAGTTTGTGTTTAGGAATATGCCGTGATACTTCTGTGGAGGAACGGCAGCTCTGAGGATCATCGGGAAGTTTAACTGACTGAACATTCAGATCCAAATATGGCCTGAATGATAGATAGCACCTTCACCTCCAAAGAAAACAGTGCTACTGTTGCTGCTGGTGTTTCTCTCCTCGAAAGAAATCACAGAACATTCTGCCTTTGTCTTACAACAAATCCGGCAACAAAAGTGTCGTCTATTAAAAATGAAAAGTCAATTTATATATAAAGCATAATTTAATAAACCCTCAATTGTCCAAACCATGTATCTAAAACAGTGATGCTTGTTATTACTCTTTCCATTGCTAGTCTCCTCTATCTCCTACCGTTGTGATTCCCTCTCTGCACTGGTGTTACAGTCCAGGTTATAACCCAAGTTATCAGGTGCAGGAAGTTCTTACCTTGTCCCTGTGCTGCTCCGTGCTCTGAGCTGCCTGACTCTGGTCGTGCAGTGTGAGCCGCAGTCGCCTGCACCCCTCCTGAAAAAAGGCAACGAAGAAATGAGACGATGAAGTGAATCCACAAAGAGACCGTTATGTGATGGAGAGACTGATTGGACTATTTTGAGGTGGTGAGGGGAAGGAAAAGAGGAGGAGAGACTGAGTCATACTCACTGACAGAAACAAGAGGAGGGCGAGAGTAACCAGTAAGAGAGAGGGGGTACGAGCATCAGAAAAAGCTAAAGTTTTTCACAGCTGCACAGAGACAGATTGTTTGAATTAAATTGTGTGCTGTGGACGTCAGAGGGACTTTAGGCGGAAACTCTCCAGGCGCTCACAGCCAATTGGAAGCAGAGGCTGGATTTCTGGGAAAGTGGGCAGATAATGTAATGTCAAGCAAGACAGAACATTTCCATGGAAACAGAATCCTCACAGTAGCCATAAACTCTGGCACTCCAACAATGTGAGAGGGAGGAGTAAGTCCGAGGCAAAACAAATGCCAAAAAACGCTGTAAGAAAGCAAGACACACAAACCCTCCAAGACGTTTTCTTTAGTCGCAGGAGGGGAGTCGCGTTAACGGGAAAAGTCTTGAGCGGGATGTGACTGGGTGTGTGTCCTCCAGCACGGGGAACCCCCTTAAATGTGATACCCATTGAGTGTGTGTGCAAGTATAAGTATGAGGATGTGAGGGAGAGGAGGTCAGGCACGGTCTATAACTCATTCCAGCCAAAAAATCTTGTTCTGTTTATCTTTCCGTAATGTGTTCACTGTGTCCTCATGGAGTCTAAATCATGTCAGCTCTGAGACAGCCAACAGGCAAGGAAGAAATGGCTGCAATGTTCTCTTGCGGTTAAATATAAACAAGCGGACACATGCAAACCAATTCCACAGAAGAACACACACACACCCACACACACACAGATTAATTGATGATATATTATACTGGCCTAAGCTTAATAAGTAATGAGTCTGGCAGAGGAGAACTGAGGCTTGTGTGTGCGCCATCATTTGTTTGACCATATTTGACTCTTTTATACAGTATTGCTTTTAGTACATAATTTGCAGTACAAAAAGGACCAGATACTGTATGTCACATTGCCTTTCCTGTTTAAACTGCCAAAGACACTTTTTGTTTGCAATTGTCACATACATAGTATAACATTCATAAAATTTGACCGGGGGAGCAACCTGGGGTTCAGTGTCTCATTCAAGGACACTTCAACATGCGGACAGGAGGAGCTGGGATCCACGCCAACCCTAAATATCTTCAGGTTTTTGACTGTTGGTTGGACAAAGGAAGACTTCTGATCAGTCTTTAGGAAAGTAATATTACATTTTTTCCATTATTTTGTTTTCTTCTGACATTTCATGGACGAAACGATCGAATCAATAATGAACATATTTGTTACTGGCAGTCCTACTTTAAACTCAATTGTTTTACCTTTAAAGTGGTAGTCAAAGTGTGTGCTGCATCTCTCCCTTTGCATGGAAACCGTGTCTGATATGCAGAATGTCCCAGCCTTGATATTAGCCAGACAGGAGAAGTGAACTGGGTTGTGTTGTGTAATGCAGAGATAAAGAACAGAGAGAGGTTATAAAAGAACGGCCATGTGTTGTATATACTACAGAGAGCCTTTATGAGAATCTGGTTATCTGTTCAGGAAGAGAAAGCAGAGTGGGACAGATGGGACTGAAAATCTTAACGAACATTAAAAAAGGCAGAGGAAATAGCATAATAGTTGGGGTGGGATTCCAACTACGACAAACAAAACTGAAAGCCAAAAATTCCCCACTTGTTCACCATGTTTTCCTCTCATATTACAAGTACCTGAAAGCTCCAACACAGCCATTATATGGGGGGGAACAGAGGGGAGGGGGAGAAAAAGGGAGAACAGTGAGAGGGTTGTTAAGAAGGAATCCATCATTATACAACTTCTCTGGCTCTTCATAGACAACCAAACAAAGACCCGGTTAATCCTTACTCTGCCATTGTCTATTTACACGCTAGTCTCTCTGCCTATTCTCTCTTTTATATCCACGCACTCAAAAATGCTGTCTATACCACCTTCAAAGACAACCTGTAATACTAGATTTCCTGGGAACACAGACAAAGGGACCAGTTGGATGGGCTCATGGAAGGTGACGTACGCACGCACACGCACACACACACGGGAAAATTCATGCACCGATAAACAAACAATAAAAGTACATGTACAAAGTACACACTACCTTTATAACAGGGCAGAAACCTGAAACCAAGCACGCACACACAGCGTCCGCACTGCTGGGTGCACCGACAAAGAGCACAATAGATCACGGGGTACGGCCGGGCTGAAAGGATTTATGGGTATGAAGACGCTTTTTGTTTTGGACTTTGGCATCAGGAAGCCTGTGAATCATGCCAGTCGAATTAACTGAGATGTGACTGCCAACCTGGCAATGTTGCTGATAAACAGACAGAGCTGCAGAATTAGGGGCAGAAATGTCTTTTAGAGCTCTGAACCACTTTAGGAAAAGTACCCGATGTTCAGCAGCAGGTATCATGCCCATAAACAGCAACACATCTTGTGCCTGCATTCTACAAGTACTGCTTTCCTACACCTGCTGCACAGATGCCACGTTTGTCTTCTGTCCAGCTACAGGTGTGAGCCGATAGGGCTGAATAGTTGAGCTGCAGGTAATGTTTCAAAACCAGTGCCCACATAAAACCTGAGGTTTTTTTTTTTACCTGACTTCTACAAGGAATAAGATATACAAACATCTTTTTCTACAATACCTTTTTATCATAAGCACAACTTCCCAAACTCCTCAGTACATTTGTGTTTGAAAGTCATCTTTACATAAGCAGCTGAACAGAAACTGCAGGAAAAAAATGTCAAATTTATGACTGAGCTCAGGAAATGTTTAAAGAATAAGAAATGAGACGAAGAATTTAAGAAGTTATATAAGTTACAAATGATTGTTAATAATGTAACAAGTCAGAAATGTCACTTTGGTCTCTGGGAAACTGTGATCGCCCCCATTCTTTGACAATTCATTGGCTCAATGATTAATCAAGAAAAGATTTAATAAATGACTCAATAATGGAAATGATTGTTTGTTGCAGCGCTAGTTTATCCTGTTTTTTGGATTAAATTAGTATTAGTATGAGTATTGAGCTGTAGTTGCCAGTACGGTGAGGGGTATTTTTGACTGTCAAAGCTTGCCCCTTTAGTCAGTCAGCAGTCTGAACAAACTAAAGGGTTAAGTTAAAGGATAGACACTAACTGAGGTGTGAAGTGAAGCCTTGGGAGGTTTGCGTGTGTTTGACATCACGTGAGAACCTGAACAGTAAACGTTGATGGTAAACAGATAGTCCAGGATGTGTGTCATAAAGTCATCAGGGCAAACTCGCACTTTAATTACTACAATCAACTTCCTATCAATTATTTTGTTGTTGTGGTTTTTCCTGCTCTGTGTAGCGTGCGAACCAGATGTGATCTGACATATTCTATTTGTTCCTCTACATTGATGCATTTAGGATATGTCATGTTTGGCTCATTCCCAGCCAGTAACGTCACACATTAGGATGAGCAAAGACAGAAGGAATGTGTTAAGTCACAGGGAATCTAAACGGCTGGAGGGATAATTGTGGCATTGTTTTAAAAAGTGCCCCTCACAGAAGAAAACATCGTCTCAATACACTGGGGCTTCAGGGAGGAAAAATTGTACCACAAGTTTCAAATTATTCCCAAATAATACCTGGACTTTGGTCGCTACTGTAAAGTTTTAAGTAACAATTTATGTCAAAGCCAGGCCTGGCTGTTCCTTCTGTTTAATTTCAGATCATATCATCTCAGTTCCAGGGAACTTATCAACAAAACACCCACTGAAGGCCTTTCCCTGCTACATAATGCACATTCCCTCTCCTCATGTATCCTTATGGACTGACCTCCCCCGGCCTGATGAACAGGAAGGGTTTCTTCTTCTTGTTAATAAGTCATTATGAAATGTTACATGTAGAGGTGAAATATGTCTGCCGGTTCATTTAGTCTGACCTGAATAACCTTATCAGATATGTAAATAACTGTAGGTGGGTGACTATTTGACTGTGATAAAGATGAATTTGTTTTCTGTATGAAGCTCATGCAAATGTGCCATCAGTCGCATGTTAAGGACACATTATAGATAAAACAGAAGCGGAGTTTCACATACTGCTTCCAGAGAAATAATCAGTTTATTAGGTGTGTGAGTGGTGCTGCCCTTTGTACACTCTGACCTTTTTGTACAGTTAGACAACAGTAACTGGATAGTTAAGTGTCGGCCATTGACACAAAATCTGGCTCTCAAATTCTGCTCTAATGGCACTCAGTTATTTAATCCAAAATAATCATGGTGGGGAATGTTCACTGCACTGCCCTTCTTCAGAGAATTTCATCTGATACGAGCTCAGTGGATCTGTCGCTGCTGACAGGTATTGAGCTCAGCAGGAGGCTGCTGATAAGGTGAAAGTGTCATGTTGCTCTGCAAACCCATAAACCACAGAGCGGGAAAACTGTTTGCTTTTTTCAGGCGAGGTAAATGATTAAACCTCTGCTTTCGCAGACAGAGGAGGAGAAAGCTTATCTACTGTACATGACACGGGCAGCCGCTGATCACTCATTCTAGAACAAGTATCTAGCAAAGTGTGATGTTTAATCTTGCTTAAGTAAACCTATCGTGCACAGGTGGTGCACATGCTGCACAAGAAAAGTGTTTAAAGGTTTGTCTCCTGAGCCGTCCGTCACAACTGCAACTGTAAGCCCTTAAGTGATGAGGGCAGATGGCAACTGTGACAGGCACAGATGTTATCTGGACTCTTATCTGTGTTGGGATTTGGGGGGGTTGGGGGCTAATACTTTAATTAGAACAAGGCCAGAGACTTAATAGTAAATATACCACTTAGAGGAGATGAAGCCTGAACAGAACCACAGATTCAGGCAACAGAAGAGTCACGTAAAGACAAATGAGAGAAGAAACCAAAAGTGAAAGATCTAGAATCTGAAAAAAGGAACCAGCAGCTCCATAAATCATAGTGGACAAAAAGAAGAACTGAGGTCTTCACCTCTGGTTTTCTGCATGATTCACTAATTGATTGAAAAAGAAGCATGTGAATATCGAGTAACTTACCCCATGCTCTTGATTTCTGATGTCCTCAAATGTGCACATGCTTCTCGTCATTCTGTTCATCTTTGACATAAATAAAACTTCCTCAAACAAACAAGTGAATAAATAAATATATAAAAGTGAACTGTATAAAGCTCCCTCCGTTGGTCTCTCTGCTGCTCGTCCACGCAGCTTGCTGCTGTTATTAGTCTTCAGACCGGTGTGCTCGTGTGTGTGAGCCTCCTCCCCTGTTAGCACATTGTACTAACTTTTCTCACCCACGTCACTGTGGGAGTGAGACACAGCAACCAGCCCGCCCACAAACCGACCGAAACAGCCAAACAGGGAACTGGGTGTCCGCGGAATGTCTGGGAGGGGAGGGTGAGAGGACTCACCTGCTGCCTGCGGTACTTGTGGTTCAATACATCATAATCATGGTTGTATTATTAGACTGGATAACATGCTTTTAAGGGGTGAGGCAGAATGACCTAGTTGGACTATACGTAGATGGTCAACTCCTGCTTAATGTTGCGCAAACACTGCTCAGTTTACCAAAAGGCCCATATTATTTATTCATGAGGTTTCACCCCCTGACTGAACATGTTCAAGTGTCTCCTATTGGCTTACAAAGCAATGGAAAACACGGTATTACATTCACTGATTTAAAGCACTTTCAAGGGTGTTTTGTAAAAACATTATATTAAGTGTGATTCACTGTTCTTTTCAACAGAATTAATATACAATAATTGCAAATATAACTCTTTTCTTTGTATAATTTGCATGTTTTTAATTCTTTCACTAAATTCCACATATAAGATTAGAGACATTGCGTCATCCACAGTGAACATCATGCTACTGTTTTGTTTTATTATGTTGCCTTATGGTTGTGTGGTTGTGCAGCAGAAACGTTTCAGTTCAGTCTGTACTTGTAAATATATAACCACAAAAAGGATAATGCAACTTTAACAAAAAAATAAATGCAGACTGGCTCACTGTGACCCATAAAGCAGAGTCCAAGGAAAATCAATGTAAACCAGTTGAAAAATAAAAAATGATTTAGTGTGCTTGTCAACAGCAATACAAATATGTAGTAAAACACATTAAATCAATCAGTGATATGAATGTTTTGGTTATTTATTCTAAGTGTTTACACAGCATTAATGTGACGCATGACAAACAGCATATTTCCAGAGTTGACTGAGGTCGACCTGGAACAAGCTGACACAGCACAAGTAACAGAACGCGTCTCTCTGCTGGCTTATCCAGGCCAACACAGACCTCAAATTGGATAAACACCTTAACGGCATTAATGGCTGTTGAGAAGCAAACAACAGCTCGCGGTGGCAAACAAGGGATGACACTAAGTGAATTTGAAACAGGGGCAAGAAACAACTCACACACAGGCGGAGATAGGAACATTTCACATGTGAAGAAATGTTGCTATAGTATATTCAATAGACACCAATGAAAAGATATATCCCAAAAGTGCAGTGATGTTTCATGGTAACTCTTAACTGCAATAGATACTAATCAAGAATGTGGTTCACTCTTTAGAGGGTGTTGTTGTTTCATGGTTGGTTTATCAAGTGGAATGAGGTCATAACAAACACACCTAAACCTTACTACAGTATGTCATCATGTGTCCCAGTTACTAAACCATAATACGAGTCACAACAGTGTGTTTACATCCCACAGGTGACCACATTCAGACAGACTGATCGACAAATCAGACAGTTATCAGCGGTCTGTGTGTTTACATACATCCAAGTCTGAGACTACAGCGTGAGTCCCAGTCCAGTGTTCACACTCCGTCCAACACAAGAAGAATAAATAGACATCAAATGTCTTTTATTTCACCTCTCAATGGAGAAAAAATAAAGAGATTGTTGAATGTGCAGTTTTACTGTAAATGGAAATCCCAACTGTTTAGTAGAGGATCAGAATCAAAGAATAGTTCGGTCAGTTTAATTTGTTGTTGTTGTTCGTGCACAAAAGGAACAAATATATGGTGAAAAAAGTATTACTTTATATCAATGAAATATTAATAAAAATAATGTTTCCATTCATTTTTGTATGAGTAGGACCATTAAAAGTTTAAAGATCAAATCAGATGATTTCAACAAAAGTGCGTATGAGATAGAAATAGCTCATATTTTGGTTGAGTGGGAAAACGTGTTAAAAGTGCACCATGGTGACACAGATGCAGTGTGTGGTGAAACAACGGTGCTGCTTTCCCGAAACAAAGGATGACACTACAACTGTAGTCACATACTAGTTCTTTCCACTCCTTTATTATTATCATCAGAGCCCCACTTTGTGACTTTGGGAGTTTCAGCAACCTGGATGTGGTTATTTAATAAATTCTTTTAACATTTCCACTCAATTATAATTCATGGTAAAGAATTAAGAAATGAATATATGTGAATAAAACAGGCACTTTGTTTCACAGGTCCGTATGTTCCTTATAATTCCCTATAGGTTTCCTGGAGTGAGTAGTAGAAACATACACAAAATATAATTTAATAGCCAGCTAATCAAATTAGATTATAAACACAAATATTTAAACATTTTAAAGACTTTGTTTTTGTTCTCATGACCTCAGTATTTCAAAAATCTGGGACACGGCCCTGACTATATACTGTTGAACACAAGGATATACTGTATATATATATTCAGCACTAACCACGCCTTAAATATAATGCAGATTAAATAACATGTTGTCACTATGTCTGAACTATTGCAGGTGGCATGTGCAAACATTTGTACGGTAGGACTGCATTCTTTCTGAGCAATCATTTGTGTCAAACACATCATTTCAAAACACAACACACCCAAATCAGCTCTCGGGGTTGTGCCTGGAAACCCAGAATTATATTATGGAAACCCAATCCCACCCTTGGAAAGTATGTTCTCTCATAGTTTCTAGCTAAGCAGGTACAGTACACAACATGTTGGCACTGTACAGGTTTGGTCACACTGAATGGGAGTTGTAGTATCATGGAGGCTGCATCTGGTTCTACAGGAAGTATCGAATGTGTGACTCCATGGCAACATATTTGTTTCAAATAACTTTAGTGTTCAATTTCTGGCAACCAGGAGAGGAAAAGGGGCTTTTTTCAGGTCTTTTGTAGATCAATCACACAATAGCACCACATGAGGTACAGTATGTCTGTCACAGACCAGCAACAGACCAGAACACTTCTGAGGAGCAGACACACTGTGTTGTCTCAAAATAGTCAAACACAATCTTGTTACGTGTGCCAGTGTGCCAAATAGGATGTAAACACATAAATAACCCCAGGAGTTGGTGAAGTCTCCCTTCAGGGTGCTGACTTTCATCTCTTTCTTAAATGTAGGAAAAACAAATGCCTGAAGTCATAAAAAATGTTTTGGCATGAAGCGTAAAGGCGTGGATTAATTCCTGTTACCGTACAGAGATTCTTCTGAGAATTAAACATGAGTTGGGTTAGTAGTTGCAGGTGTTCTGGCATCAGATATGACTTTATACATATCTTGTGTTTCTGTGGAAGCTTCCTTCCACCAAAGACAGATCTCAGTTGACCCTGCACATTCCTAACGTGTCTCACCCTGCGGTGCAGCTTGCAGCAACAAACTGCCTGCGTCTCATGTCATAATCCCGAACAGGATTAGGAGCAGTGGGCTGCTGTAGAGCACACAGGGAGCAACTTGGGGTTGAACGTCTCACACAAAGACGCGTCAACGTGCAGACAGTGGCAGCCGGGGATCGAACCGCCAACCCTGTGGTTAAAGGTTGCTCTTCTTACTGAGCCAGTAGAACTGTGAATGCGTCCACAAATGGAGCCACAGGCTTCTTCTATCAACACACCAGCTCAGTATATATATGTTTATCACAGTTCAATCAAAATCCAGATTTCATACATAAATCATCACGGTTGGTAGAGAAAATGTAACTCTCAGAAAACATTTTGTTCTCTTCTCTTTCAAGCAAAACAAAGTTGCTGTCATCAACACACTCAATGTCAGATTTAGTTAGAGTTGTTGTTGGCAGTTGGGTTTTGTGCATGGTGGGGTACAGTATGTACTATTGTAGATCCTGTTAGTTTGGTTAGTGGACCGCTGTGCTACAGGGAGAGTGTAGCAGGTGAAGTAGACGCCTGAACTATTTATCCAGGTTTGTGTGATAATCACATGAACGTGTGAATGTGTCCATAAATGGGAATGTGGCTCTCCTGCATCAACACATGAGCCGAGTGTATTTCTGCCCTGCATGATGCTTATCTCAGTTATGATGAACAAAAATAACTCTGCAACAATAGATAAGAGGGTAAAACAAGAACACTGGCACTCGTGCGTGGCTGCAGCAGGTTCAGTGAATGGCACGTCAACACGTTTGAAATCTATACATCTAAGAAAATAAGGAATAAATCTAAATCCAAATACCCTTTTTCACAGCAGAACATTTTGACATCATAGAAAGCACAGGCAGGAATAATAGCATATATTGTGGCTCAAATCCATTTAAGTGCTCCAATGCAGCATGCACAATATCAGGACCTTGGGAAAGGTAATCCCACATAAGAGGAAGCTGTAATTAATGGAAGAAGTTACTATGCTTTTCCTGATGTGACATGTTAAATGTGTTATTAATGTCTGCAGGTGCCACAGTCATTTGTCTGTTGAAAACCAGTGTTTAAGAGGAGAATGAGACAAAACTGTAATCAGTCTGCCCTGTGCACACACAGGTGGTGTGAATGAAGGCAGGGTACATGACACACGCACACACACACACACAGTCATTATCATCCATGTTGACAACACAGTGATAATAACTATTAAAAGCTTAGCGAGCTCCAGCTGACGGTATTGAACTCATTCAGCAACACACTTCTTTGAAACTCAGGCTTAGATTGCAAACCTCAAACCCCAGACAAGCACCGCCCTGCAGCAACAACATGACCCATCTCTATTATCTTAAGTCGTAAATGCTCCTTCACACAGGAGAATGGTAGCATATAGAGAATTCATCGAATGTGATTCTGCTTAGATCCTTGTAATAATTCTCAACTAATTAGCGTGTAGTTTTGTCTTTCAAACAGATTGTTCATACAAATCCCTTTTTACTCTTTTATTTAGAATAGAGCGGCTATGGGCTAGTATGTAAGTGTATTTCCCCATGGCTACCAATACTGTATTAAGTATTAAACGTCCGAGAACTGATTTTTTTGGCCTCTTTTTGGGGGCAGAAAAATCCCAAAGTTTTACCAAAGTAGAATTGGATTGTGTATTATTGCACAATAACCTTTTTTCTGGATAAATGGTTTGTTGACTTTCTCCAACAAGGATCTTTTCCAATGAAGTCTCATGACCTTCTCAAGAAATGTACTGCATGAATGAGCAACATCCACTGTAGTCCTACTTTATGTGCAGAAAGCCAGTTGTCTGACTCTCTGCTAAAGAGAAAGAACAAAAGCTGTGAGGAAACTGAACATCCTGAAACGTGCAAAAACATGGATCAATGTAACTTAAATCGTTTAACTTTTATTGTAGCTGAAATCATGTGCAATAGAAACATTATCTATTTTGTGTAGTACAGTCACAGGGTGAATTTTTCCAGTCAACATTATAGTTCACAAATTCAACAGCTTTATACTCATTCTAACAAATCATAAGTACCATCTCCAGTTTCACTGAAAAGATAAGAAGAAACATTACAGCAAAATGTAATACAGTTATTAGCTGATTGTTCATAATGTATACAAAACTCAAGTCTCAAAGAAATCTATAATGTTAAATAGACAATGTTACATTTTACAAAAAACATTCGGATAACAATGAATAAATTCTTTTTTAACAATTATTTTAAGGCATATATTTCAGTGACTTGCTTTAAAGGAATGCATAGAAATTGTGCAGCTTCTACAAATACACACGTAAAGATTTTATTGGACAGGATGATATTCCGGCCATGATTTTAACTCAAAAGTGGAAAACCACTTTTGTAAGTTATGTGATATTCTGACAAAGGACACTTCTGTCCCACAAAACAAAGGTCTGTTGCACCTTCACCAGGAAACTGTTTCAGGTACAGTGAATAAAGACAAAACTAATCAAAACCTTCACACCAACATGAGGTTTCTATCACATTTATAGCAATAATATTGTGCTATTAGTGTCATATTTTATAATTCTGAATTCATGGACTGTGTACCACGTGACAAAGTCTGGGCGGTGTAATAAACACACAAGTGACATATTCCAAAAAAACATGTAAAATAAAATCTATTTTCACGTTAAACTCCAGATTTCATTCAATACGAATACTTTGCATTACTTAAATTTTACTTGCATGAGAATCATCGTGTAATATTGCTTATAGTTTGTGAGAATCAAAAATGCACACAATGTTAGTGTTTGGTCCATGTTTGTCAGTAGCGCTACATAATATTTGTGCATGCTGGGGTACAGAGTTTGTGAACTCAGTCATTTGAAGTTACAGGTAAACTCTGAGAGATGATGAGAGTATTTTTGATTCTTCAGTCAAAGCCAGACTCGGTACCGTAAGTGCTCGATGCAGAATCTCAAACCTGAAATTGTTTGACATACTGAATTTGTATCAAAAAATGCAAGAGCAATTTTGTTTCTGTGCTTCTAGCCTCTTTTCTATCCTTGCAATCCAGTTACCGTCTTAGTGTGGTTTTTGTATGTTGGAGTTCTTCCAGCTGTACCGTGGACTGCATCGAAGTACATTGTAGACTGAAGGAAATACCCTGATGTGCAGAGGATGTTTTGTTTCCTTCCATTCACCCTGGTGTGGAAAATGATTCCCCTGCTAATGATGATTTAAATCCCAGATCAGTGCGTCCCTCCCTTATTGCCTGTCGTGTATACCATTCTGCCTTTTGGCTTAACTCCCAGTCTAAAAAGCAACCTACACGCCCCTGTATTTCTTTCCTTAACAGTGCTATGTTTTCCCACTCTCACCCTGTCCCTGAAGTGCTGTTTATTTATTTTTTTTAACAGGAGCTGGTCTGGAGGTTGCCCTCAGTGAGGATGGAGGTGATGGTGGAGGGATCGTACAGGCTGTCGTCGTCATCTGAACTGAGAGCTGATGAATCCAAAGCTGGGCGCATTGCTGCCTGGGCTTTTCTCCTGTGACACATAATCATCATTGTCATTATCAATGTCATCATTAACTGTTCAAACACACTGTATTTAACAGTCGCTTTATCCACAAATGTTAGCACTGCCAGATGGACAAAGTACTCCCTCTGCTGGCAACACAAGGGAACAACCTGCCTTTCCTTGTTGCTAGTGGGAGCATGTCTGTCATATGATTTCCCCCGAGGTACATGAGTGACGAGCCTTTTTAGTTTAATGAAATACCTTGTCAGACGTGGCTGATTGCTGATTTGTTTTCAGGGCGCTCTGTGAATCTCTACCAGGTGTCTGTTAATTGTGTGTAACAGATAAGGAATCTGGGTTTGCTGGTAATAACATCATTGACGCGCAGTTTTATTCATTCTGGGACATAGATAGGATGAGATCACTCTCTCTTACTCACTCTCTCAAACTGCTGTGAAAATTTGGCTGCCAGGAAGTGTCTTGCATAAGCGCACAGCGAGTAGCAAATTGGATGAGAGACAAAATTGGATACAAGGAAAAGGAAATGCTTACTTGAGCTCAGTTTCCAGTGCTGTGACTCTGGCCTGCAAGGCCTCTTTGAGCTCCATCTGTTCCTCCATGTCTCTCTGGGCCTTTCTCCTCAGTCCATCGAGCCTTTCTAGCTCCGTCTCTCCTTCGTCCACCTGCCTCTTTAGAGCTTTCACTCTCAGAGCGAGCTGCAACACAGGATGAGGTTAACGTGAGTAAGTGAGTTCTAATATGACACGCATTTTGAGGTGAATGTGTTTACCTGGTCCCTCTGCTCAGTGTGTGTTTGTTTCTCCTCATCCAACATCATGTTGAGATCTTTTAGTTTCCTCTCCAGACGTCGTTGAGACGCCACCACTAAGTTCTTCTCCCTTTACATACACAAGAGAAGAACAGAGCAAAAGAAATGTGAGCATGCTCATGAGTAATGCCAACCCCTATCTCGACTACTGCCAAAATGCCCTTTAGCAAGACATTTGCCACCTCATTGCTCTCATGAAGATGCTCTGTAGTCAGGTGTTAAAGTCTGGTTTTACTGTGTGTGTGTGTGTGTGTGTGTGTGTATGTGTGTGTGTATGCATAACTGAATTAATGTGAGGTTTAATATTAGTGAAAAAGAGCAGTTAATGCACCTAATGTTACAGCCCAAACATGGCTTCTATAACTTTACTAACATGTTTCCTTAAGAAAAGGAGTTAACTCTCTTTCATAATTAAAATGAACAGGTACATGTCTAATGTAGACAGTGGTGGAAGAAGTGCTCAGATCTTTTTAACTGAATTGAAAGTAGGAATACTTCAGTGCAAAACATACTCTGTTTCAAGTATTACACTTAAAGCAGCAAAAGGAAAAGTACTCATTATGCAGAATTATATAACCCATAATATTACGTCATAATGTATTCGTTGGTTTATATTTTGTATTAATCATCTGAATTTGCAAAATTACTAATAACTAATGTATAAATAAATGCACTTGTACTTGAGTAAATGTAATTAGTTACATGTAAAAACCTGAGCTGGGATCACCACCAAAATCATCTATTGCTCAGCTAATGACAAACGGTATCCCTCCACCAACTTTCAAGGGAATCTATTCAAAAACATTTGAGATATTCAGTTCAACAAACTAATAAGGGTGAAAATAAATGTGATCCAGAACTACACATGCAGCATGTCTAATGTTTGTTGCACTGTACCTTTCCTCATTCCGTAGGCGTTCTTCCAGCTCCTGGATCTTGTTCTCCAGCTGGGAGAGTCCAGCTGAGGAGCGAGAGTGGCCCTCCATGTCGGCCACGCGACCCCTCAGCTCCTTCAGCTGCAGGGACAGACACAGACAAACAGCAGGTCAACAAAACCCCAAAATACACTCGAGTGGTTCAGTCGAGTGAATGTTATGTTCCTGTTACGTACATGTCTCTCCATGGTGTTCTTGTCCAGCTCCAGGTCCTGTTTGGAGGATCTCTCCTGCATGAGGTCAGAGCGGAGCTGATCGATCTGGTCTCTGCTCCTGGCCACTCGGTCCGTCAGCATCTCCACACTGCTCTTCTCCTCCTCCAGCTCCAACTCCATACGCTTCAGCTTGTCCTGGCACAGACAAGAAGAGACCACTTTATTAGATGCTCAGAACGGAGACGGTGTGCGGTGGGTTCGCCGAAAAAAGGCATTTGATGGTGCTGGAGTTTGTACACGTAAGCATATACAGTAAATACATATATTTGATGTGCATTAAACAGGTCTACATGCTAATCTTTTAAACATATTTGTTTGATTTACAGATGAAAGTAATAGATGTGCAGAAAGATGTCTAGATATATAGACAGAGTGCTGAAGTCACATTGTATGCAGAGCAGAACTATTAACAGCAGAGCGCCCTGCAGTCATGCTTTATTCTCCCAGACCACGGAGATGCAGCTGCACATATCTTACCTCCAGGATGCGAATCTCCCGGGTTTTCTCATTCTGGCCGTTTTTGACGGCCTCCATCTCTCCCTCAAGGTGGCGCAGCCTGTTGGCCAGAAGCTCTTTATCCAGCTGGTGGTTGTCTCTCTCCTCACATAGAAGCAGAAGCTCCTTCTTCTCTCGTGACATCTAGTTAGATTTATCATTTTACAAACGGTAATGCCACACTGAATTTCCATCATGAAATAAATATGTGCGGTTTTGCATGTTTACACGCACATGAATACAATCAGTCACGCATGCACCATGAATACGATGTGTCAGAACTACTGAAAACATTCAGACCAGACATTCATAATAAAAACAACAACAACCAGGCCAAGCAAGTGAGCGAGCATGCACTCAAAACACAAACCTCTTCCTCCAGTCTCCTTAGATTTATATGACTTCTTTCCAGTTCACTCTGAGCGTCGTTTCCGTGCCGTTGTGCCTCCTGCATTTCCTTGCGTGCCCTCTCTCGCTGCTCCTCCAGCTGAACCCTGAGAGTCTGCACCTCCTCCCTCGAGGACACGGTGAGAGACTCATACTGACAGGCAGAGGGGGAAAAAACCAAGAGGATAACTTTTTATCCTCTAACGATCAGTTGGATGTTCAATGCTGCAGATGCTTTAATTTGCTTATCAAGGTATAGAACCAGATCCCTCCTTCTTACCTCTTTGTTGAGTTTCTCCAGAGCTCTTTCCTGCTGTAGTTTGGTCTCTTCCAGCTGGTTGAAGGTCTGTTTGAGTGTCTCCTTCTCTTTCTCCGTGTCCTCCACACGCAGGAGAAGTTCACGGTGCTCCTGACTCAGTCTAGAAGCTTTTCTCTTGGCCTCGTCTAGCTCCGATCTCAACCCTCTCACCTCAGTGTGGAGGGCGATCTCTGCCTCTGAGCTCTCCGTTGTGTTGGTCTGCAGCTGAGCCTGAGGGAACCACAGAGTTGTGCTTAAACATGTCTGCTGATTTCAGGGTATCTAACACGCGGACACTGGTGTGTGAGAGGATGTGTGCCTACCTCCAACCGTAAGAGTTTTTCTCTCAGACGCGTGTTGGCCCCCTCCTGTTCCTGCTGAGCATCTTGGAGGTTTTTAACGTCCATCTGCGCTCTATTGAGAAGTGTTTTACTGGCCACCACTTCCTCCTCGGCCAATGAGAGTTTCTCTTTGAGCTGGCTAGCTTCACTACGGTTCTCACCAAGCTTCTGCTCCAGCTCTGAGATGATGGCTGGGTCTGGGAGCTACAGGCAAGAAGTCAAGGGAATGATGTTGACAAAAAATACAAGAGAGATGATGGCGGTTAAAAGGTGAGAATTTCTAACACAAATCGAATCATCCCCAAAACTACCACATACACACCATCACTCTTGAGTAAACTAACCCGTTTGTTTTTGTCCTGTGCCTTGATAATATCCTCTCTGGCCTTCTGTAGTTGGTCCTTTAGCCGGTCAATCTCATACTTCAGTTCTGCCTCCTGGTTCTGGTGAGATTTTTTTATGGAGATGACCTCCATGACCTTCTTGTCAAACTCCATCCTCTGCTTCTCCACCTCAGACTTGGCCTTCTGAAGATCAGTATTGTAACGCTGAAGTTCCTGAACAGAAATATGGGCAATTTGATGGTTAAAACTAGTTGGTAACTTCAATAAAAATAACGTTTGTCATATTTGCTCAAACCATTAGTATGTCCCGACAGTAGGACATGAGACAGCTGAAAAATCAGGGTCCTCTTCCTCTTTTTAATGCTCCTGATGTCATTTAGAGAAAGAAAAACAACCAATCAGAGCTGAGGCGTCTCTGGTGCAGCTGTTCATCACTGCTCGTAAAGCTCATGAACGCTGATCAAATATGAATCAAGATTCTGTTATTGCATTTCCTACTTCTTGCCTCAAATGTTTTCATGAGAAAGTTTATGACCCGGCCGCCATGTTGAAAACAGCCGAGCCAAAACCAAGCACCGCCCAGCCGCTGGAGCAAGTTTTCTCATTTGACAGCAGACTCAAAAATGTTTCTGAAAACATTTGAGACAAAGAGAAAAAGGAAATGCAGTCACAGAATTGTGATAAATATTTGCTGAGCGCTGCCTAGTTTCACAGTTTGATCAGAGTTCATGAGCTTCAAAAGCAGCAATGACTGACACTCCGGGGCTCTGATTGGTAGTTTTCTTTCGGGCGTGGTGGAATCTTCGTCTTTTAAATTGACAAAATTCATGTGAGCAATTCATGGCACAACTCAAACATATAATAGGTATAATATAATATATTTACAAATAATTTGTCTATGGCCGTTGACTATGGTACATATTTTTAAGTTATATATATTTAAGTTCCCATTGTGGTCCAGCGGGAAGGGAGAAGAAGGCAGAGGAACCTGACTTTTTTTATACAGATTATCAGTCTCCTGTACCACTGTCAGGATGTGTTGGGCAAATATAACAACAACTTTATTATAATAACCAAATGTAGCTTTAAACTGCTTCATCTTTGTGAAACAGATCAGGCGTCAGGTATCATATGAGGCCGAGTGTATGTTCACCTGGTTGAGAGTCTGTGTGTGGTCCGGGTCCGGTATCTGCCGTTTCATGGTGCTCACTTTCTCCTGGAGCTCCTTTAGTTCCTCCTCAAACTCCTCTTTTTCCAGTCGGGCTTGCAGGAGTCTAAACATCGTAGATCAAACACAGTTGATCCAAACAGATTGTAGCAGATGAAAGCATTGTAAGTTCTGCTTGATTATCTGATCAGCAGCAGTTGGATTGAAGAGGCGATTCATGAAGTGAGCTTAATTTTCTTTCATGTACTCAACAAGCAAATACGCCTTTTAATAATCTACAAACAACAGGAAATAAATCAGCATTCCCTGTTAGCACAACAGATATATTCACAGAAAGAAAGTCTACAACACAATTTTCACTAAACACAGATATCTAAGATCATCAACACCCCCCCTTATAGTGTTGTAGATGTCCAGATTGTGACTGGTGTTCTGCAGCATTGTACATAGATGGTCCATATTCCCATTGGGACCCATTGGTACTTCAGGGTCCCTGGTACATATTTAAATGTAGACCATCTAGTCAGTCATGAATTAGGGCTGCAAGTGTGGATGACCTTGGAACTACAGTCAGACAGTTGTTAGCACAGCTAGCCACATCTACAGGTCTGCATATCTAGACACAAATGCAGTTCAAATAGTGACTCTCACGGTGTTTTAGGGCTGCGGGGTGGCTCTCTGACAGAGAGCGGGAGAAACATAGACCAGGTAGAATGAAAGAGAAGAGATGGACACACATTAGTAGCACAGCAGGTGTAAGGACAAACCGAAAAGACGGTGACTAAATCCACGTCCAAGTCAGCATTGGAAAGCCCACATCCAGTACTAGAATAAACTCACTCATGTTTGGTCGTTCGAAGCTCGTCTCTGGTGGTGTGGAACTGCTCCATCCAGTGGCTGCTCTCGTCTCGACAGTCTTCCAACTGCTGCTGAAGGGAGCGAATGGACGCATTCACACGCAACCGCTCTGACTCGATGCCTGCGTGAGACTAAAGTAAGAAAGACACGTTTGTTATATATTCCTTTTCATTTCATATACATAAATAGATAGATAGACCACTCCGCATTGTTTTGACCAAACAGATCACATTTCAGTTCAGTTCAGTTGTTTCTTGCACCTATGCTGAGCATGCTTAATGCACCTGTGCATGCAGATACTCCTGTGTTCTTATCCTTTCGCTTTCACCAGGGGAGTTTCAGCTTTCATCACAGTACTCAGAAAGGTAGTTCCGAGTACTGCACATATGTATAAATTTATGTATTTGGGTATTTATGTATGCGTGTGTGTATGTATGTTTAAAAACTCTATTAAAAGGTATAATACATGTTTATGTATATGTGATGTATGCTATATTTGACACAATAACTCTTCCAGCAGGTAGAAGTGGTTTCTCTTTTTTGCTTTGCTGGTCTGTTGTGGGGGGACCAGCTTTTCCCCATTTTGTGTCCAACTTCAAAACATTTTCAAGTCAGATGTACGTTAGTGATGAGCTGGCTAGTGGCTTCTGTGTTTCGCGTACACACCTGAGACACCTGCTCCATGCTGCTGCGGAGCTTCTCCATGTCAACGCTGTACTGCTCTCGGAGCACCTCGATCTCTTTGTCATGCGTGGCCACCTCTTCTTTCAGCGCTCCTTTGAGAGCCGTGAGCTCCCTCTCTCTCTGCCTCAGCGTGTCCTCCTGCTTTTGTTTCAGCTGGCACACCTCCATCAACTCTGCCTGACAAGACATCAGGTCCTGCAGACACGGGGAATACACAGTCATAACTTGATGCTTTTGACCTCTCGGCCTCCAGTTCGGTACAGCATTGCTCATTTGTTTCCACACAGAAAGCTAATCGTGCTTTTAATTGCAAAAGCCTTTACAAATCATCAACCTGTCAATGTGATGCGATGTGATAAAATTGCTGACTTCAGTGGGGTGAGAGAGTTTCTCTCTGTGCATCTGCGTGGGTACAGTTGTGTGAGCATGTTTCTGTAATACCGTCTTGTTGCCATTCTCCCTCCTCAGTTCATCCTGAAGCTCAGCCAGCTGGTCCTCCACGTCTCTGATCCGTGCCTCTGCATTCTCCCTGTCCATACGCAGCTGAGTCAGCCTGCGAGTAAAAGAGGACACACACAAACACTACTGAATGATTCTTTGAAATTCAAATGACGATGGCATACAGTTTGTCTTGTGAATAACTGACAGTAACGGCTTGTTTCATGAACTGTGAGGAGTGTGTGCTTGATAACAAAGTGGGTTAGTCATGCAGCCCTCGACCTCCTGACCACCAACACAAAAACAGACAATGGTACCATGCCCCTTCCTGCTTCCCTCTGTCTGTGCGTTTGAGTGTGTGTGTGTGTGTGTGTGTGTGTATGCTGTCGAGTCCTCACTCTGATTGTGTTTCATTTAATTCTTTCGTCTTCCGGTCCAGCATATCCTGGAGCAGCAGATTTTCATCCAGACAGGACTCCAGCTCAGCTTTCAGAGCAGGATCAGAATTGCTAACGGAGTCCTATGCAAGCAGACATGATGAATAAATGAGAGCAGTGAAACACAAGACACCAGGTGGCTCTGGTGGCATGAACAGAGAGTTTTTAGGAAATGTTAAAGCAGGCTTGCTTTTGCCCACCGGTCAATATGCATAAAGACTTAAGTCCTTAGGAGCTATTAGAGATTAAGACCTGCCCACCTTCCTGAAGCCAACGTAAAGAGTCATTATTGAAGTTAGATTATTGTGTGTGTGCACCTTTGACCAGGCCAGGGGGCTTTAAGGATTAATGTGAGGATTAATCTGAAGCACACTCCAAGGAACCCCCCCAGCCCTCCTGGTGAGATTAGTTAAAGACATAAAAACTCTGAGGACAGTTTCCTTCTCGCAACCAACCGACAGCCATTCCCTTCACTCGATAGCTAGCGCTCTCATTTCAGGACAGACTTGGATGAGTGTTTGTGTGTGGCATTGGATGTGCACCGTGTAATCAAAGCTGATTAAAAGTGGCAGATCACTCTCTGAATGTTAACTTGCTCTGGTGGCGGCCAGTTCCAATCAGTCAAGTGAATTCAGGAAGGTTTGGTGGGTCATCCAAAGCACCGACACTACAGTTTCACAGCACTGCTAATAACCTCGTAAGTATTGGAACAGTTATGCATATAAAAAGTGTCTATGGAATGCTCTATTTTATTTACCCGTCTTTCCAGTTGCAGGGTGTTTTGTAGTTCAGCCATCTTTCTTTCCAGCTCTCTCTTTTCTCTCATCCACTCTTCCTGAGCTCTTTCTTTGGGCTGTTGTAGAAAAAGATATATGGGCAAATAATGTGAGCAGCTTTCTTTCCCCGAATGAACCAGTGCAGGAATAACCCCTCACAGAATTACAAACCTTCAGATTCTGAATCTTCTTAAAGAGGACCTTGACTTTGTGCTTGATGATAACATCACTCTCATTGGTCCTGAGAGAAGGTGAAAATGGGCAATTATTAAACGCATTCATGTGTAAACATTTATTACTGAACACAGCCGATATGTGCTACGGCCAGGACAACACGCAGGTCCATACCCTTGTCTCAGGATGTTGTATATAGTCTGCATGACCTGCTCCTCCTCTCTGGTCATCTCTGCACTCTGACCCTGGTCCAGCAAAAGGTCAGGAGTCACCTTAAGACATAGATCAGAAAACTACTCTTGCAATCTTGCGTGCTATGTAGTGTTTGGAGCTCGCTAATAATCAGCCGTCATGCCCAGACATAAAATATTGTAATTCTTACTTGTGGCTCAGTCAGCGTGGCATGCGGGGTCTCCGCAGCGGCATATGTCCCCGAGGATGTCCGCTGATTGGCAGAGTGTCCGGGGAATTTGTTGACGGCGGCCTGACTGCGTCCCAGGCTGCTGCGAGTGGAGGACGGAGGTGAGGTATAAGGGTTGGGGGTGAGGAGAGGAGATGTAGCTCTGGGATCTTGATGGCCTCCAGTGTTACCACCATCAAACCTGTTTATTAGTCTGTTGACAGGAGTTGGTCGCTGATGTGTTTGTTGAGGAGGGGCAGGGTTGGACTGACTGCTTCTAACGGACCCCAGCGACCCGTTGAGCCCTGCTTTGTTTGAACCATCCCACATGTTCCTCTCCACGCCCCCCTCTCTACTACCGGCATGCCGAACCTGCTCCCTCTCTCCCCTTACTCCAAGTCCTCCATCCAGAGTCCCGTAACTTCCAGACTTCCCGTCCCCTGGTGGCCTAGACAGCTGAAAGTCCTCATTGCCTGCTCCTCCCTCTCCGTCCCTGTCCAGCAGTGACCCATGGGACTGGGCCCTGCGTAGTGCCCCACCCTGCCCGGCTCCTCCTTCTACATCTGGCCCCTGTGTTTCTGGATCTGCCATATCTCTTCTGCGGGGAAGGCTACTGTAACCAAAGGGGTACTGGGTCCTGAGCTGGACCCCGTAAGAGTCTCCTTTCTCTCCGTCCTTCAGGACCACGTATGGCTGGCCAGCAATACCCTGCACCCTGACCGCCACGCCGTACTTGGAGGTGGTCTGGGTCTTGGTCTTGGTCCTGGGCTGGGGCCCTGGCTGCCCCCCGCCAGAGTCCCGGAGGTCATTGATGAAGCGGATCTGGACACCGTAGTCCACCGGGGTCTTCCGACCTGAGGGTGATGTGCTCATGCTGGTAATACGGCAGAGAGCAGGGCAAGGAGAAGAAGAAGGAAGCAAGTAGATGGTTAGATCACACATTTGCTCTGGTCTAGTATTTTCATACCCAAAACATGAAAAGAAAATTGGGTATAATTGAGAAAATACTTTCTGAAGGTGTCATATTCACCCCCGAAACAATCCTGTTCAGGATTTGGCTGTTAGGTATTTCACCAGATTAGCACTGGCAAGTTTATTTTTTCAACTGAAAAATATCCTGCTTAGTATAATGGTCACAATTAATTAAAAATCTAACTTGAGGGGCTCTGTACCAAGATTGTTTGTTTATGTTAATCAGATTTTTTTAAACTCTTTTTAAAATCAGTTTCGGCCTCATAACTCCAGTATCGGTTGGACTATACTCACAGTAGCAGGTTCAGGGACACAGCAGGGGGAGAAAACAGAGACCGCTACAATACAACGAAAAACCAGCTTAACATAAAACAGTGCTTCCCTCAAATTAGGAAATCCGACAAAGAATACCGAGACACTCATTAACAAGCAACCCTGAAATGTCAAAACCTTGTTGGACAACGCTTTGAACACAAACGGGGACGCCGGTTTATCGGCACTAACACCAACACTTAGTTTGTGGCTCTTGACTACTTGTGTGGACTTTGTCCTCCGTGCGTTCCATTAGTCATTAACCTGAAAGCACACACCCACATATCACTTTCCCCTTGTGAGGACCAACAAAGCTTTTCCTAACATTTGGAGGATTCCCAGCGAGATACTGAACCTATTTCCCTCTTCAAAACGTTGACAGCTTGAATAGAGACAGGTACCATAATAACTAGTGAGGACTATTTCATTCTTTTACTTTGTAATTTCTCCACTTTGGTGTTTTTTCTGACTCCCTAATCCTCCCGTTTTCTTGTACTCTGATCGCCCTCAATGAGTAATTCTGAAACTATTTCAACGGGTCACACCTACGTCATTTATTAGTGATACGTCACTGTCAGCCTTATTGGTCTCTGCCTGGCAAGTAGAGTACTGCACTGAACAGATCTGATATTACATTGACTGACTGACCACGCCTTGTGTTAGTGTCATCCTCATGTCTATTACACTGGTATGGTTCAGTCAACTCACATTAAACCTGTTGCAACACTTCCTCACTGACCTCCGCACCTTCCATTTCCTCTCCACAGCTTTGCAAGGTGCGAGACAGAAAGTGGGCTGGGAGGGTGTGGTGAGAAATAAAAAAAATAAAAAACACCATTATCAGTGCCTTGTGTGATAAAAGTCAAAGTCAAGCTGTGCACAACCCCCCCACACATTTTCATGCAGGTTTTGGAAGCTGTATGACGCAGTCCAGCCCAGGCCAAGAACAAGATACAGTCAGCAAAGTGAGCCATGACGGATAATCTTATAAGTCCCCGCTGTGTGAAAACTAATACATAAAACAACTTTGCAAAAATAGGTGATGGAAAATGTCGTAGCTGGCAGTAAGCGAAGCAACACGACATCAGTGACCTTTGAGGATATCTGTGTGCTTGTTGTGCGTTAGCATCGTCCGCACACACAGACCTGCTCATCGGTCGTGCACGGCGAGTTGATTTTTTTTCTCCCACCCTTTGGGAACCCCAGAGGAAGCACCGTGTCACAACACATTTGAGCAGTCGAGCGTGAAGTCTGCAGCCCGCTGTCTTCACTGCAAGGTCAAGCATGTCGTGCACGGAAGAACGTGCCATACGAGGGCAACGCTGAAGTTCTGGGAGTCTGAACCGGAACGATCTGCAGAGTACAAGTGTGCAAAACTTGCGTACGGATAGGTGAGGTAGTAACGAGACGTTCCTCTCTTACTGTCGCTTAAAATGTAGTTTCATTTTTGTATGTCAGTGAGGTAATGCGGTCCCAGCTCCAAGAGGAACAGGGGTGAGGGGGGATCCCATCCCATTGTCCAGCTGATGTGGGGCAGAAAATGAGGGCAGCAATTCTGAGAATGCCAAAACAATGCCCATGGTCTTTCATCCCCCCTCCTTACATTGTTTATCTGATTACAAGTTTGTTCTAAAGCTGACATTGTTGTCCGCATACACTTTCCTTTCTAGGTTTCTCCCCAAAGCTAATGTCTTTCTACATCTCAGCGTCTGTGCTGTCAAATTAACATATCAGTCACAACTTATGTTATTGCTTTCCTATTTGAAAGAAACATTGTGTGACTCTGTATCCTTTAGAGCTGAAACAATAAACAATAAATCAATAACAGTTAAATGGTGATTATTCTGTTGTTCCTGCTTCTTAATTGTGAGGATGTGTTGCTTTTATCTAATGTCATAGTTAACGGATTATCTTTGGGTTTTGGGCGTTGGTCGAACAAAGCCGGTGATAAAGAGATCATTGGCTTTAGGAAATTTAGATTTTTCGTTATGTTGATCAAGCAAATAATCAAGTAAATAATGGGTGGCTTGATGGATAGCTGCACCCATAGCAAGCTTTTAGCAAGCTTTCAAGCAAAGGTCTCCAACCCACACTCGTATCATTGATAGGATGCGGCTTTAACAACAGTCATGTTACCCTGCAGGTATGCTGACGGGGTCTCTGCCTCTGGCCTCTAATTGAATTCCTGCACAGTAAATTGAATCGGAGCCGCTTCCCCGTCAACATCCGAGACGCAACGGAAAATATAATTAGGAGATTAGAGCAGCTGTGCAGAGAAATGGAACAGCAGCAATATGTGGAGTCATGAAAGTGCCTCTGCTGACTAACAGAGTGAGCAGGGCTCATGTGATCGGATCATCTCTGACCTGACACAGATACAGATACAGCAGCAGAGGCTGGAGGCTTGAGTCTTGAGGACAGGATGTCACAGTGCATCAGCTTTTAGGATGTAGAATGTGTTAACAATTTAGAAATTGACTGTTTGATTATTATCCATCATTAACACGTTGATTGTTGTTTTTTTAATTAATGGATGAAGGATTTAGTCTCTAAAATGTCTGAAAATCATTTAATTTGCTGATGATGAGAGCGCCAGTAGAAGCTATGAGTGGACCATGCGTTAAGGTTTCTGTGTCCAACTACTGTTTTTGAGGTCAATAATGAACTTCCATCTTTCAATAAAATAATAGAGAGAAAAGCAGCAAATACACAGATTTGGAAATTATTATTTTTTGCTGGATAATTGAATTTAAATAATGAATCACACAAATTTGTTGTCAATAAATTGTAGTCGATTGACTTGATCAATGAACTGTTTCAGCACTTGCATACATACTATTAGGTCAACACGGACAAGCTGTAAAACAGTAGTTTGGCCCTTTTCTTCCAGGTGAATCATTGAGGTTTACGGGTATAACATGGAAAATAGAAACACGAAGGTGTAACAGCGATGGACAAAATAGTAGCTCACGCCTTCAGTGTCCTCTAAGGACAGGCAGCCACACAGTCCTCAGGGAATCCTGCCTCTCCATTACATTCTTCACGTGAAACCAGGCTCCTCTTCCTCTCCAGCGGTCAGTCTCTTTTTAAACTTGTCCCTGCTCCCCTTACACTCTCAAACAAACAGCCATTTATTCCTCTTTTCAAATCCAAAGAGGTTCATTGGCATAACAAAGAGATACTTCAGTGTTACCAAATAGTGCACAAATGACACCATATTTGGAGCACATAAATACGCCCCTCCCTTACCCCACATTCCAGACACTTGTTTCTCTGTCCTTTTCACTTACACAGGCCGAGTGTGCGTGTGCGTGTGTGATAAAGACTTATTTATGGGAACCTATCTGCACACTACAGTTGTACCTGTAATATTAAACTAACCTTCATCACTTCGTCCAGAATTTAAAAATGGCGATGTGCAATGCTATGATTATTTAATCTTGTGACACCATCCATGAGCCATTCCCCACACTTTAAAAACTATAATCTGCACTTCTTTCTTGCTTGTGTCATCAGTTTCATCTGACTGAAGCTTACTATTGAAGAGCAGCTCTGTACCATAGACCTGCTCTTCAAAAACCTCCTTGAGAGGTTGCAGAGAACAACATGTAAGATTATCTTATTATTAAGTTATATAGATTATATAGATGTCAGGCCTAAAGGGGATGTGGTTGTAGGTACCCTCCTGTGTCCTAAACACTAACGTTACGAGGAGGAGGAGGAGGAGACACATCTCCCTGGTAGCAGGTAAAGTTGGGATTTAGCGTTAATTACCTGTTTTTAAATATGAATTCGATATTTAACGTTAAAGGTCTCACATTTTAATTGCAGAAACGTGTAGTCCCCCTGAGAGTACGTGCACATTTCACATAAACATCTCTCACGTGTATTCCACATAATACGAGGAAAGTAATCCTGAAGTAACGTTAGCTACCGAGCTAACGTTAAACTGGCTGATCAATTACCCCCACTGACACAACGCTGTAAGACATCAGTACAAAGCTAACTTCAACAAGGAAATAGGCGTCACAAAGCTCCTAACAACATCTCACACAAAGTAATAACTGACAGGTCGTGTCTGGTTTAGCTGTCTCGGTATGTGAAATCCAACAACAAGCGTAAAGTTACCTCTTTCTCTGGAGTTTACGTTAATCCGTTGCTGCTTTTACGCACTTCGCTTCCTTTATGTCGGTGATAATTCAAATGTTTTCCATCAAAGTCCACGCAGAAAAGTGGGTGGTATAACAACTCCTACCTAAATTAACACAGCAACAAGTTCATTATGCGGCGACTGCAACCTGTTACCTTTGTCGGGGATGTAAGAGTCCCGCCCAGTCTGTCCGGAGGGACGGCTGTGATTGGACCAGCGAGCTGACAGAGGCGGGACTATAGATATCGGCTATGTTTGCTATTGGTGTAATCTTTACGTCAGTCATTCCTTGTGCTTTTCCACTTTTCGCTGTAAAACGGAAGGCCGCATTATTACTTAAATTAAAATAAACAAAACAAAAAGCTACCGGTATGACCCAGATAAAAGTCAAACAAACATTTTTTCTGGACTAATGATGGACGAAATACAGAGTGGTGCCTACATGTGTTTGTTTGTCTCTAATTTACCAGTAGATGGCGCAACTATCTACCAGTAGGTGGTTCAGCATCATCATCCAGGGCCCTTGACAAAAAGATCTAACTCTTAGCTACAAGTGCACGGCCTCCAATAACGTGGGACTGCAGCTGAAGGAGTATGCAATGTCCTACTGTTACTTTACAGATATTACATTCATGTAAGTGGTTGTTGGGTTGCTATAAGAGGCCGTTTAGCTTGTTTTTTATGGTGCAATCTTTCATGATATCTCCGAAATTGGAGTCATCATTTTATAATTGAATTTCGGTTTAATTTAGATTTTGTGGCATATTTAGTGTCGTCTGTAATCCATTGTTTTTGCTACCTATTTTGGCTGATCAATATAATCTCAACTGTAGACAAAACAAATCTTTAAGGAACATTTTTTTCAAATTGTGTCAAAACTCACATGTTGGATCCCATTTTGCTTATTGCCAGGCATCTGCCGTCGTTGGGCCAACTACTACTAAAGTTTGGAGCTTTCAGTTGTCCATTGCAATGCTTACAGTAAAACTCCTACCCCGCCCTGTACACACAGCCCCTCCCCATGTCTCCAGTGACATCCCACAGTCGGTGCACACAACTTTCCTCTCCATCTCATCACTTCGACAGGCTGGACACATCATCTCACGCTCCGGGAATGGGAACTTTACTGGGTTCAAAGAAAAACTTTGAGTTCTTCCGCATTTACGCTCTACAGAGGCTACTTTTCAAATTGCAGGGATAGTTGTCACTGCAGGTACGGAGTGCCAGCAACCAGGGCCACTGGCCAATGCCTTCCGAGACGCACCAGACGTTGTAAGGAATGTTTTAGACGCAAGGAATCGGCTTAACACCACGAAGTAGGCTGACTGAATTTTACGATTAGGAAATACTTTTCAGTAATTTCAGGCTAACTTCAACCGAGGCGTGCGTAAAATATTTGTGCGTAAAGTTGGAGCTGACGCGCACGGTCCAAAGTTAGTTGCAGTGGGGCAGCTAATGCAAGTACGTACAAAAGACAACCAGTTTGTTAACTTTTAAGCCTGTGTTAATACCTTGACAGCCATGGCAAGATGGTTCAGAGATTTCCCCAACCTAAAGAACGGAAATGAACGGGTCCGCTCGGCCTCTGAATCTGGTCCACAAACTCGCCTCAAACCCTCGTTTTCTCGTGACAGCCTGAAAGGGGGTTTACTGGCAGGGAGAAATAGGAAAAATTCGGCTACAGAATTGGGTCGTAACAATGCTGGTTCTGGTGGGACAGTCTGGGATACTCTCACACCTGGAAAAGGTCGCAAAAACTCCAAGCTCGAGACTGGCACGTCAGATGAGAACCGTCATGTTAGGACCTCTAGTTTGGCGCAAGCGTACATCAGCAGGATGATCAAGGTGGACAAACAAGACAAGACCCCCAAACTCAACGGGATAAGCGAACAGAAGCAGCCCGAGAACGAAAAAGGGAGGCCTGACATCAAAACAACAGTGAGTAACTTTATAAGATTAAACACAGTTAATCCAAACCCCATTCATCTTCATATTTCATGCTATTTGCTATTTTGCTATTTATTCAGAATCAAACAAAACAAGGCAGAAGCAGTTGCAGCAGCGCGCAGATAAAAAGTCAATATACTGTACAGTGCAAAAAAAATAAAGATTTCACTGTGGGCTTGAGGTCAGTGCTGGCCTTTGTGTTTCCCATTCCCACCTCAGTTCATAGCCCTGTATTCAGTTTCCATGCTCTCAAAAGAATACAATGCAGTTTCACTACATTGTGTCACATCAAACAGCCAAACACAATGTGCTGACCTCTTTGCACTCTTTCTGCTTGTCCCTCCTTGTCACTTAGTCATGGACACTAAACACACTCACACAAACACACACACACGCACACAATGAAAGTATCAGATCCCTCTCCTCCTGCCAGCTCTGTTGTCTTCAAGTAATTGTAAGATCTGAATGCTGAAAGCAGCCCAGCGTTGTTCTTTCTGACGAGTCTTTTACCTCTCACAGCTGATTATCCTGGAGGACTACGCAGATCCTTTTGATGCAGAGAAAACCAAGGAGCAGAGGGAGGCTGAGAGAGCAGGAGTGAATGATGGCTACATGGAGCCTTATGACGCCCAGGTCATCATCACAGGTGAGTTTAGGATCATCATCCATCTCAGCAATAACAATTATGGAAGGGCCAAAGTGGCATCATCTGGACTGCAGAAAACATAAATACATGTATTTATATCTCAACACTCTTGGTATAATCATCTTTGGTAATGTATATGACACGAAAGCCAAGGAATACACAGCTAGGTTTTAAAAGGACTTGTAGGGTAAAACTAGACGAGTCTCTTTGCTGACTTCCCTCCCTGCTGGTGGTTGTCATAGGAACAGTGTTTTGCAGGGACAATGGGTGCAGCTTCCTCTTCCAGCTTCCTGTCTCCTGCCTCTGTTTCCTTTGCCCCATTCTCTTGATAGGAAGTTGGCCCCAGTGCCCCCCCCCCCCCCCCCCCCCCTCACACACATACACAAAATGCTTTATGATCCCTTATGTGTGAAAAGAATCGAAAGACCCCCCAACCCCTCTGCAAAACCAAGAATCCCCACTCGCTCCCTCTTGGTCTCGCCCAATCACTTCCCAGCAGCCAGGAAGTGGCCTGGTCAGCCAGCCAATCAGCAGTTGTGTTGACCTTTTCTTCCTGTAGCTCCATTGTTTGGTCACACAATAGGGCAGACACTCAGGCTACCTGTCAGACAGTAAAGAAACACAACAAGTGAAATTCCCCTAAACTTTAACGACACGTCACAACAAAACTTAATTTACAGATCAAATCACACTGGACAGGCAGATTTGGTGAATCCAGCTGGCCCCATAAAAACACAAGTATTAGCCTACAAACTTTGTTTACCGTATACTAAAATCTAAAAAAACATACAACTCTCTTATAAGCATACCACTGTTTAAGTTTATAGACAAACTAACCAGTCTACTTTAATAAAAATGTGCCTTAAGAAAGTGTATTTTAATCTTATTTATTTTTTGCACAGGTGTCAGTTTTGACATTCTCCTTTTTCTGTTGTATAGTTTTCTACTCTACCTGATATACACGTGTACATTTACATCAAATGTTACTCATCTCTGTGGATATGAGACAGAAACGTCATGCAAATGAATACTGGGAAGCTTGCACGCTGTGCATGCCTGATTATAAACTTATTTAGGTGATTTTTTTGTTTTTCTTTATAAAATATACTCAGTTGTCAGTTTATAAGGTGCATCTTACCAAAGCTAATGTAGTTATTCAACAACTTCTCAGCAATAAATTGTGCTTTCATGAGGGTTAAAATAATTCATTTTAATTTATACCATTTTAGAGAGATGTTGATTTAACTTTACAGTCATTTTGAATGCTCTCTGCTGCTATTGACTGGTTGCATTGTTGTCCTATATTAATAGGTGTTCTCAATATTTTGTCCACCCCACTTTCTTTTCAATATGCGCAGAGAAAATATTAGAGACACCTCTCAGCATAACCAAGGACCAACAGCACCACAAACTACAGCCTCCAAAATGATCATTATGTTGAATCAACATCTCTCTTGAATAGTTTCGACAAAAACTAAACGTAACAAACTTCATGAATGTTTAATATATTGCAGCACCGTTGTATTAGACTGTATTAGTTTAAGCTAAGTGTATCTAATAAATCGGCAGCTGAGTGCATCATTTCAAGGCGTGTGTTATGAAAAGTTACACTGTGGAAGAGCTCACTATCATGTTGATCCAGCTCAATGCATGATTATTTTACAGAATCATGGTGTGAATGTAGCTGAATATGTTTTGAAAAGATTAAGCAGGTACGTTTGCCATATTATAAATTTAGATTTGTTTGAGGTTGGTTGATGTGTGGCAACTCAAACAGAGGAGGATAAAACAATACAAAATAAAAATAGTTATTGGACATTGAGCTGATGACTGCTTTGTCTATAATCCGTGAGAAAACACATACACATGTCTAAGTGCTGAGTCCAAAACAAAAGAACAGTCAATTCTACGTCCCTAAGGACTCGCCACACTGTCACCTGCTGTGATTCAAATGTCTTCTTTATGACGTTTTGAGGCCAAAGAGGCTCTTTGTCAGGTTGGTGGTTATTCAATCAAAACACAGAGGAGCCAATTTGGGCTCAAAAAAATTCTAAAAGAGAGAAAGAATACATCTTAACTAGAGCAGATGACAGTGTCCTTTGGGAGATACAATGTTTGTCTAATATGACGTACTGTATGTGATATTCATTTATCTTGATGCCATTTACTAATCACATGAATCACTGTGCTGCAGAGGTCCGTAGACGTGGCTCCAAAGACCTCCTGAAAGTGTGTGTTCTGCTGGACAGAGGCAAGAGGGAGGGGAAGGGGGACGAGGGAAAACCCACACCCCCAAACATCTACGACACACCGTATGAGGGCGGCCTGGAAGGCGACAGTGGGGGGGTGTGGATCCCTGTCACACGGCCAGAGTCTGACATCCGTCCCGCCGGAGAGTATGAACTGCCCTGGGAGTGGAGAAAGGAGGACATTGTTAGAGCGCTGTCAGGTAGAGAAAGGGAGAGAGGGATGATGGGAAGGGTGGGGGTTTAGGGTGTGGAGGAAGGATGCCATGAGTTTTATTTGTTCAGTAATGCCACAACAATTTTGTGTTTGCTTTAGAGAGGAAACAAAACAATCCTGCTGAAGCAGTTTCCAGAGATGTGTTTACTTTGGTAGCTCTGGCATGCTTTAATAGAACTATATTATGAAAGGTTGATATTGTCTCTCCTGCTTCCTTCAGCTCAGTTCGAGGCAGTGGATTGTTCTCCCACTAAAGAGAACGGTTCAAGTTCCACCCGCCAGCAGCAGCAGCAGCAGCAGCAGCAGCACACCCTGAGGCAGAAGAACTGGAACCATAAAATACTCGTGCCATCTTCTCCATCCTCCTCTTCCTCTCCCTCCTTTCCCTCCTCTCCTATTCTCAAACTCTCCCCTCTCTCGCCCCCATCTCCCTCTTTCCCCACCCTAAAACTCTCACCCCTCTCACCCTCTTCTAGTCCCAACAAACTTTCCCCTCCGTCTCCTACCTCCCTCAGTGCCCCATTGGATGGGGAGGCAGTCAAAGTGGACCCCAGCCTGCCCCTGGAGAAGCAGAGGTAAGGAGGGAGAAGACTTACTTATCCAGAGGAAGGAGTGGATACGACATTTATAAATGTTACTAAGGGAAAATAAGAAAGCTTTTGCACACTGAATTATAGCTCATAAACTTCATTGGACTGAAACAGGCAACATATCAACCCTATTAGTTCATCACCAGCCCAATGTGCAACAAGACAAATCAATGTATGTAAAACCGTTGTGACACCATGCTGACGTCACGTTTTTTTCTTTCTTTTCTTTTTGTCTTTATCTTAACCATTGCTGTGATAAACTCTGAAAGAACAGCACCCTCCACAGTTTTGGTTCAAAATCTATTTCCCTTAGTAAAAGTTGTAAAGCAATGTAGCAGATTTCCTTTCACACCCGATCTGGTGACTCACAATGTCAAATACCACAGAGGCTGCCATAGTGTTGGCCAAAACCACATATATTTTACACTTGGCACATTAAACACTTTTAAGTGAAATTTGTTTTTTATCAGTAGGAGCATTGGCCAGCAGCAGGCCTTGAGCTCTCCCCTCATGATAAGGTGCTGAACATAACTGCTGGAGGGAGGTACGGCTTGAATAGAGAGAGACTCATTTTAGCTCTAAACCTTCTGTCCTCAACTCAGAAAGTATGGCTTTTCTTTTCAGATATGGGGACATGTGGGGGACATGCTCAGAGCATGTTCCAGCATGTGTCCAGCCGTTGTTCCTCTCATGTTGTGGCTGAATGTCAGTGTGTTTTGCCTTCATTAATCAAGGCCACATACAGTCTGGTTATATATGGCTCTAGCCTGTAGCCACTGTCAGCACCACCTTGTGTCCTAATAGGCCTCCCTCCACACTCTGTACAACCACGTAAATTAAGTTTGTTCATTTTATGTATCCCTTTGCCCTCTCAAGTTGACCCTAGATACCGTTAACTCACCATATACACGTCGGTCTGATTTATGGAGACTGTAAATCTCTGTTGGTGTCATTTCGTTCCTCCCGTCAGTCTCTTACTCTTTTTTTCTCTCCCTGATCATCATCACCTATCATTCTTTTGACATCTGACTTATCTCCATATGTTGCTGCGCTATATGTTAGTGATCTGTTGTCTCTCCAAGCTGGTACCATGGCAGTGTGAGCCGGCAACAGGCGGAAGCTCAGCTGCAGCGCTGCAGGGAAGCCAGCTTCCTGGTGAGGGACAGCGAATCAGGAACCAGCAAGTACTCCATCGCTCTGAAGTGAGTTCACGGATGTGTGTATTTCATTTGAGCGTGTTTGTTGAACACGGTAATGGCACGCTATATAGTGCAACATGTACATATTCATTCATATACATTTTTGTCAACTTTTATACTGCTGCATCATAATCTCAGGTGACAGTGAGACATTGTTCTTGAAAATCAAATATGATTTTCTGATTTTTAAAATGTCCTCTTCTAATGCCACGTCTTTTAGCTCTGTTTAAAAATGGGCATGGAACATTTATCTTGTGTTCTACAGTGTGTTTCATACTGTACACAATATATTTAGGTCGGAGCCCAATGGCTTTGCCTCCACAGTGATTGAGGAATTACTAAGGTGTTACAGCAACCGGCATTGTGGTGGAAACCTCTGAGGCGTTAATGCATGAGAATGTGTCATTTGTAAACTTGACACTACTGATAAGTGTGCCAGTAACAGGTTCTCTGGATAAAGGCTGAAATCCTGTGGTGCAATTGGGCATACGTGTGTGTGTGTGTGTGTGTGTGCGCACGTGTATGCATGTGCCTGAGTGCACATCTGTTGTAAGCTGCTCATTCATTTGAGAGTCCACATCATTAATCCCATTTACACATCCGACTCGGTAAAAATGCGCAGCCTCATTTGGGGAGAGATAGATAAGAGAGTATAAGAGAGAAATACAACATTATTAGGTTTCCATTCATCAGCATTGTATAACTCCTAACTATAACTCTTGCTGTGTGTCTTTTACTTGCAGTCGACACTATATCTGTATTTTGTGTATTTTTGTTCCTGTTCCATTAGGACCAGTCAGAGTTGTGTGCACATCATTGTGGCCCAGACGAAGAGCGTTAAGGGTTTGGGCTTCACACTGGATCAGAGTAGCTGTGTCTTCTCCAGCATCCCTGAGCTGGTCCACCACTACTGCACGCACAGACTGCCCTTCACTGGAGCAGAGCATATGACCCTGCAGCATCCTGTGGCCAGGCCGCACTGATTACATACGTAAAGGACGAGCAAACACGCTGGGACATAAATACATATGCGCATACATGTATTACACATGTATGCACAAATGCACACAGACACGCACATTAACTTGTCAATACATGTGTGCACACACATACTCAAAGATATGCTGCTTAGGATCGTCCTGCGTACCACCTTGTTAATTTCATATGTTTGTATCTCTTACATGCGCTACAATGATCAAAGCCATACATTACAATAACCATTGATGACATTGTTATAGTAGTATTTGTTCCCAGTCTAAACACCCTACTGAATGTATTCATAGTTACAGGAAAACCATCCCTTCTTCCCCAGCATGGTGTCTTTGTTTGCCCCATTTTCTTGTCCATCTGCCCTGCAGGCATGATGCTGTTTTGGCCATGCAGTATTGTTGATTTCTATAATACCTGAAACAATGCACATGAAGCCCTGCACTTGTAACCAAGCGGATATCTGATTTAAGTGGAGAGGTTTGTAATCTCCTCTTAGACAGAGGTGCCTGATGAATTAGCTCCATGCCAAACCAGTTAGGCTCCGTCTGTGAGGTCAATACATCTGATTAGATCTATCCTGAAAATCAGGCTCATTTGCCAACCACTGTCTGTCAAGAGAAAGAGCTTTATTGATTTGGCGTTTAGAACTAGTGAAGTGGGAGGTGTCTTATAACTTTACAGTAGTCAGCAAAATAGTTTGAGTGTGTGTGTAAGTGTGCAAAATAAATATGTGAATTTCCATTCATGTGCCTTCACTGTAATCTAAATGAGGCTGTGATTAAAAAGCTATCTTACTTTATTGTGAATGAACTGAAAACGTAACCCTGAAATGTATCTACTGTTTGCATAAATGATGTGTGTATGAAGTGATTGTTGGATATTGTCTCGTTTTTTACATCTACCGCACAATGATGTGGGTTGTAAATTATTGTTGTAAGGCTTTTATTCAGTAAGGAAAATAAATTCATATTAACTGTGGACAAACAATGTTATTAATAGACATGCCGGCAGCAAAGTCAAAGCAGGGTTCAAGAAAAAAAAACGCACTGAAACAGAGATGAGAAGCTAACCAGAGCACACAGATTCACCGTGTGCTTTTCTCTTGTAGCTGTAAAACCGCTGACCTGAGTGTGAAATCAATTACAGTTACACACACATGCAATCTCCTGCACGCACACACCTATTTGTAGCCAATAAACACTGACAAACACACGTACGTTTGCTACACCTACAAAATGCATACATGAATAGTGCACACACAGATAGCTAGTTTACTCACACAACCCCCGAAAGGTGGTGCATTTACAGGAAATCCTCGCCAACGCACACATGAAGCTTCTCACAAAACAGAGAGAAGCTTTATCCTCACAATGATGCATGGAAGCATGTGTTTGCGGTAAGATATGGCTAACCAGTAAACACCAGTGTATTGGTATGCATGAGTATCTCTTCGAGTGTGTGTGTGTGCGCGCGCGCGTGCAAGCGTGAATCTGCCAGTGTGCGCACCCATGTGTGCATTTATGTATGTGTGCATGCAGTCCTGTTATGCGAGTGTGTGTGTGTGTGTGTGAGAGAGAGTCAGAATTTTTCTGTTCAGGGATTACCAGGTTGCCATGGTGATTAGTTAGAGTGAGGTAGGGCCATATCTACAGGGAACGAGGAGAGGGAGGAGAGAAGAAGAGTAAGAGGGAGGAGAGACAGGCTGCAATATAAAAAGAGCTATGAATAACCGTGGCCATAGTGCCATAGTAGCGATGAGCTCCCCCACAGAATAGCCTGCTTGGTTTGTGAATGGAGAGCTCAACATGTAATGTCAGAGCAGTACCATACTTGAGTAAGTAGTAATAGGCTACACTCCTCTTACTGTCTTATGAAACTGACTTTGTTGATCATATGACACCTCCTCAAGGGTTCCAAGCACAGCGGCGACTCCAGCACAAATGCCTTGCTAGAGGGCAGACGCTGATTTCTATAAGCTTGCACCGAGGCTCTCTGGTTGAGGAGCCGTCTCTAATCTTGGCCATCCTGCTGTACCCAGTGTGTCACAAACGGCAATGTTACACAACAGCAGACACCGCTAACTATCACCCTTCCTTCCATCCGTGTTATCTGTTGTGGTTAGTCCTCCATGTTCTCTTAATTAAAATCACAAAGTAGGTCAAAACAAACAAGAGGCCCGGGGTGCTGGACACATGATTCTTGCAGAGCTTGTCAGTCTGTTTTTGGGAATGTTGGGTTCTATAACCATCTAGCCTACAATGTTAAAGGCTTGAAACTCTGTCTCATATTTTAGGGATTTTTTAAATTATTATATGAAGGATTATTTGTTCCTTTTATTTGGCTGAGAAAGTGATCCTGCTAAAACATTTAAAAACTGCAGGATCTGCAGTATGAAAACTGCATCATTACATTGGGCCATTTTTCATAGCCTCACCTGCACCTACACTAAAGTATGTTTTACATTCTGTGCTAGCCTGTCATTTGCAAGTGCCTCCATCATTTCAAGTGTTGATTGTAAAACGGATAGTTATTTCTGTGCCCTGCACTCTGAATATGAGCTTATAAAGTATCAGTGGTACAAATATATGAAGTATTAGTTATAGTGGCAAAACTAAAATATAAAAATACAAATAAAAGTGTTGCCTTCAAAAGGAATTACAGAAGTATTATAAGAAAAACATACAGAAGTAAGTAATGCAGCAAAATGTCTGTTATTTTGTTTTGTCATTAATAGATAATTGTTGCTGTTACATCGAGGTGGAATTGGATTGCTTCATCTATAACAGTACATCATGATTTTGTAAAAAAAAAAAAAGTAACCACAGCTGTCAAGGAAATGTGAAGCAAAAAGTGGAAATGTAATCAATGTGAAAGTAATTATGTCTTATACTTTGTGTGGTGTTACATTAATCAGTCTGTGATTCATAGATCATATTTCTATGTTGTTAATCAAAGTGTCGCATGACAGGACCACAGGAAGTAATTGCAGCAGCAGAAGACAGAATGACAGCAACATAGGAAGGGACAGAGGGAAGAGGAGAGAGAGGGAGAGCGTGAGGGGGTGTTAGGGGAAGACAAGCACTCGTGGGGGTCCCAGCTTTTAAATAATTCAGAGAGACTCACAGCACTCAGTGCAGAGGAGGAGCACTGTCAGGTCAGCTCATTCACTGCAGAGGAGAGGTAGGGAGGGAGAAAGGAAAGGACTGTACAGAGAGGGCGGGAGGAAGAGTGTTTAAAGATAGCATGAGAAGAGGAAGACATTACTGTGGAGGAGTTTGCTGCATGTTTGTGCATGCATATGTACATTTGTGTGTATGTGTATTGTGTGCATTTATGCATGAGTGCATGTGTGTGTGTGTGTGTGTTGTGTGCCAGCTGCGCATAGGTATTTTGTCTGCGTATGTGATGAAAATAGACAAAATTAAGGAGAAACAGGTTGTTTCATCCTGGAGCTTTCTGGTTTCTCTTAGTCACCACGGTAACCACCTCCTCCCTGTTATGCACTCCTGTTTATTAGTTTACTCTTCCCCCCACATCCATCCCTGCCTCCCATGCTCTTTTAACTCCTCCTGTACCCCGCTTCATTTGCTGCATTCCCTCCGCCCCTCATCATTCAAATCTATTGTTATATTTTTGTTACCATCATGCACCCGGACTCTCAGGATGACCCGTAAGTATGTTACAAAGTCCAGAACGAGTCCCAAGCTTCTATATGATCGTCACAACTCATGTCTATACCTGGCTACCCCGCCTTCTTAACTCCTTACTGGTCTTTCTTCCCTTCCCATCTACACAACTCCTGCATGCTTGACTTTGTAAATGTGGATTAGAGGTCACTTCAGTTGCCTAGAATGGAAAAAAAACAAAAAGAGACATTCAATCAAATATAAGTGACAGGAAGGGGAAAATAGAAAGAAGAAGAGGTTACACAGAAAAGACAAGATACCCCTCCAGAATGTAAAAGGTGAAGCATTTTCAAAGAATACTGATAACATTAGGCTCAGGGAGAAAGAAAGGTGGTGTGATGTTATTTTAATGGGCAGAGATGCGAGGTGTATCAGATATACACAGAAACTAGGGCAGGGAGACTCACACCTCAAAATCTATTTATACATATTTACAACTACATGTCCAAATCGTGCTTGTTTTACTCTTATCATATGTTTCATCTATTTTCTCAGGAAAAGTGCATGGAGTAAAGGCCTGCATGCAAATGTCAATCATGTGTTGCCTACATTTCCCTAATTGATGAAAGATACATTCTAGAAGATATGAAATATTGCTGCCACAACAATTTGGCCTGTGGCTAATATTAAAGATAATGCAGATGAGAGATGCCATTAAGTTTGACAGTGTCACTATCGGGCACCACAAACACTATACGTGCCTAAGAGCACTGAATATTATATGGTGATGTGAGACTTTGTGCGGGGAAGACACTGGCATCGCTATCTGAGCTGTGGGTCCTCTGAGGTATGCCGCTTCCTCCCCTCCCGCCTCCCCCGTTCCTCTCCGCGCGCAACCCGCCCCGCCCCCGCCTCTCTCCAGCGCGACGCATCGCGAAGCTGTGTTCAGCACGGACAGCCAGCACCGCACGACCCAGCGCAGAGCGTAACTGGCCCCGCCGAGGTATTTCCATTTTCTCCCTTTTTTTCCGGGCGAAGAAGTGCGGACCGATGGAGAGCCCTGACGTCACCATGCCAGGTAGAGAGTGAAGGGAGCTTTGGGTCGTGAGGAGGAGGGGAGTAACACTGCGGGTGTGCTTCGGGTGGCCTCTCCATCGCGGTGAACACCTTTCGGGCTCGGAGCGCGCTCGGACGCACGTATGATGATGGACGGCTGGCTGCCGCTGCTGCTGCTTGCTGTCCTCGCCATTGCGGGAGGTGAGTAACTTGTCCGTCTAATGGCTCCATCGATGCGCTTTGGTGTGCATCGTCACCTTTATAGGGCCAAAAACCACCGCGAGTTCGAGCATTCAGGAGGATCAGGTTTCTTCAAAGTAATGCGGGAGTGAGTGTGATAACAATAGGGGTGGTGAGAGGCTGAGGAGAGGTTAGACGCGGAGAAAATGACTCTTTCATTGCTGTGTCACCATTTTTCTCATAATAGCAGTGAGCGCGACGGAATGATGAAGAGGATAAATATTGCCCACTGCTTATATCACATGCGCACAATGTAGAAGCAAATGCAATGGCTAACACCATTATCCAATTGCAAACTAAAATAAATCCTTTAATCTGTTGTACTCAACATATAGTGCGTTTAGAGGCCTTACTTTATAAAGTAACACCATGTGCTCATTATTGTATCACAATAATATTATTGTATGGACTTATTAGTCTTAATAATATTAGTTGTTATGTATTGTTGGGGTAAATATCACACAAATGAAATAGAATACAGCACATTCTGAAGACGTTTTTAAAGCATTTCAATGTTGTTTTTTGCATCAGTTATCTCTTTCAGTCTAAATATACCAGAGAGAGAGAGGGGAAGAAATTATGTTATCACCCATTACCCCCCTCCTCTCTCTCTCTCTCATTAACACCGAGGTCTTGCATTGAGTGGGCAGGTTAATGAGAGACACGTTGAGCTAAACCAACTTCTACATCCTGTCTTCAAAGGACAAATGATGTGTCATTCAGCAGGAAAAGCCTTCTGCCTGTGTTTGGACAGATAAATGGTCTTTTTTTGTCTTCATTGGGCACATGCACCGAGTGGATGAGTCTTATTTACAACACTGTTGTTGCAGTGTATTAGGAACAAATGAGGTATGTGTTAAGTGTAAAGCCATTAGGGTATTTGGACATATTTTACCTCCAGAAATTGGCTCTAATTTGGTGTTAATTCCTGCTCAGTGAGGGTTTGTGCACGAAGCACAGCGGAAAACACATCAGCTGATTGGTTGAATTACAGCCACCGTAATATTTTCAGCCAATCCATAGTAGTGACAGGACAGAGACCAGCTTAGTGCCTCCAAGCAAAAAGACTGTTTGTCACTGGCTGTGTAGCAGCACACATAACCACACACACACACACACACACACACACACACACACACACCTCCATCCACTCACACATGCCTGGCCATCTGCCTTGCATTGACTAACTGATCATCATCACCCATGGCGACAACACGCTCCTGCTTTCTCTCTGGCACACAAACACTTGCAGTCTTTTTGTCACACACACGCATACACACACACACACGCACAAACCTACACACACACACCTAAAGAGAGCTTTATGCAACGCTGTTCAGCACAATTATAAAGCAGATAAAAATAGGGTACTCACAATAGCACATACAAAACATTACAAATATAAAGTGTACTGGAGAAATATTGGGTCTCTTTGTATTACAATACAAATATAAAAAAACAGAATATTACAATAAATAAAAGCTACAAATAGTACTAACTAATAGCTAACTAATTGATTGTGACAAGGATTTATCTTGTTTATGAAGCTGCTCTGAAATTGCTGCATGATATTCGGTGTCCCTGAGCACTCGGTTTTGTTGGTCGATCATTCCCTGACTTCAAACAAAAGGTATGTGTACTAGAAAATGCTACCAACATGAACTATCACATTAAGGAGCTTCATAAGCGGCGGAGTACTAATGAGTCATCCCCCCTTAAGGTAGAAAACCTGATTAGCATCATCCTCAGAGACTATAAACTCAATCCACACGCAAACACGCGTTTGAAGAATGCGCACATAGTCGCACACCTGGGCCCTAACACGTTTTAGAGATTCCCTACAACGAGGCTAAAAAAAAACACGTAATTGTAAAACACGCACTTAGAAAAGACAACATGTGCACAGACTCAGACCAACACACAGTTCCCATTTGTTCATATTGGTGGTGATGGAATTAGAAGGGAAAAAAATCATAACTTTACAACTCCATACGCACAACACTATTTTCTTACATAAGACGTTTTACATTCACAGACTTGCACACAAAAGGAGTCTCGCATTCAGTGGCTGTTCAAGGGCGCTCAAGGACATTTCACCACCTGTCTCGGACGCTGCCGCAAGGATGTGGCCGTCCTGTTTGTGTGAGGAGGATGTCTCTTGTCATTTCCCCTGCAGGCCATGCATAATAAACAGCTCTGTGGTGCTGAGTTGACCTGATGCAGGAGTTACTGGATACGGAGCACGGTGTGCGACAGTCTCATCACTAAAGGACGTATAGTGCTTTGATTGTTTTCGCAGCAACACTTTTATCAGCTGCATCTCAAAGCAGATGTTTGACACGGTGCCAAGTCATCCTCTTTGCATGTGCGACCATGTGTGTTTATGCATGCGCCATAATCTCTGTCCTCTGCTTTATGAATGCACTCAGTGAATATCAACTAACCATTTCCTTGGCACAGCTACGGTCGAGAAAGTTCTGCACAGTCAGTTTAGCCTGTCATCACTTTTCTGCTGCACTGCTCCGGCCCACTGATCTCTGCAGCATCTCGACCTGCACATTACAGCAGCCATCCTATTCTCTCTCTCTCTCTCTCTCTCGCTCTCTCTCTCTCTCTCTCTCTCTCTCTCTCTCTCTCTCTCTCTCTCTTTCTGTCACTTTTTGTCTTTATCTCGCTCTCCCTCATTTTCTCTGTCTCTTTGGACCAACTCTCAACACGCGGCAGCAACAGGATCAGATCAGCGGATACAGGGGCTGCATCTGTGATAAGAAATGCACAGAAGTCACTCAACAGAGGCCTGCATTTGACTGTGAGAACATGTGTGTGTGATCCCCTGTGTAAGACTGTGTGCTGTCATGTGTGATTCAGTGTGTGAGTGTTCGTGTGAATGAATGTGCAGCAGTAGTAGCGTCACACAGCAGTGTGCAGCCCTGGAGATTAGAGGGGAAGCACAAGGAGAGCACAGAGGTTTAATAGAAACTTAAGCAGTGGAGAAGAAAATCAGATAAGAGTCGTTTGGAAAGTTAAGAGTTTTGATTCAAGTTTATTTTTTAAAAAAAGTAAAAGGTTGACTAACATTGAGGCAAGGTTGTGCTTAGGTTGCTCCGATGCAGGCGTGTGTAGAAGTGTATTCAAGATAACGCAAACCTTCATCCGGTGACAACATGAATGAAAGGTAAAACTGTAAACGTGATCTCACATCTAAAAGTGCAATACAACTAGAGAAACGAATGCTTATCAATAATAAATAATACTTCTGCAGAGAGCGAAAAAAAAATGCTTGTTTGTTATGATTGTGATCAAGACTTCTGCAAGATAAGACGTAAGCCCAAATGTGTTCTGGATGTATTGCTGTCCTATCTCCACATGTTTGCATATACAGTATAACTCACAGGCAGCAGACTTCGACCTGCTGATAATAACATATATGGATTTATCGGTATCCAAATAATAGCTCAAATAATAGCTGTTATAAGAGGCATTATGCAGTTCAAATGATGTATTTATTGCCTGAAATATGCAACACCATACCGTCTGTCGTCAAACAGCTTGAGCTCCTCGGGCTGTAAGTAATACAACTAAAACCATGAGGATTTCATAGCTTCTGAGTTTTTCAGCTGTATATTCTTCTGCAGTCTAAACCACTTCAACACCTTCCCCAATGTTAGACTACCTATTTGATATTCAAACCTAAGATGTAACATGAAACAGAACACTTTTTTATATTTAGCATCACTGTAAACGTTGAGATGTTTACTTGACAGCACTAACTTCACTGGCTACACTTTTCCTGACTGTGGAGTTTCTCAGATTTGGTGACAGTAAAGCTCCTTCCACTCTCAGTTAGTCCACAGTGGGATGAATTTGTGTTTGGAGTGCTGCGATATTGCGGTTGGATGGAGGATCAATATTAATATCTCAGTTCTATGGGCACTACGGTGCCAATTGGGTGTTGCTAGTAGATCAATGGATCTCTCCATTATTGATTTAAGAATATTTCAGCATAAAAGGTCCCCGCTGCAGCCAAAAAGCCTCTTTGGCAGAACGCAGCGCAGAAAGCGACCCTACTTCCCCTCCAACCTTTTCTCATTTGAGCGAGCTGTATAAATAGAGATCATCACTGTAATAGTCTGAGCAGGATAATTCAACTGAGCTCTCTCTTCGTCCTCATTTTCTCCACATTTGTCTTTACAGCGTGCGTGGCCTCTAATGGCTTTGTAAACTGCAAACAACACAGTTTAACGATGGATGGATTTTAGTACATGCAGCGATTTTCCAAAAATCATGACTAAGACCTACACACTTTGTGAGGTCGATCAGCATGCTGAGATCCGTGGCTGTTTAAAACAAGGAAAGAGAAACGGATGTATATGGGAAGCAATCGAACACTGAACATGGCCACCATCCCGCCTGTTCCCTGTGCTGTGTCACAGAGGTGTGTGTGTGTGTGTGTGTGTGTGTGTGTGCGTGCGTGCGTGGTGTGTAACTTCCCTCGCTCCAGGGTCTAATGGGGGAGCCCTGCTGAAATATTCATAGTGTCACATTAAGTTTGCAATATTTGAACTGGAAAACAACCAGAATACAACCTGAGCTACCGTCAACATTACGACCACTCAGCGGGGCCTTTAGCACGACAGCGTGTCGTATGAAGGAGCGAGATCAGTCTTTGTTTAGAAGCATAAGTAAGTGCTGAGGATGAACATGTTTGTGCAGCGATCAGGCTGCAGTGTGTAGATATTTTTATCAGTCGTGTTCTTGAGATAAGAATAAACCAGAAAAGCTCTCGGTTTTGGTCTATAATTTGTCTCAGTGTCGTAAATGATTAGTCTAGACTTTCATCCTGAGCGCATGCATGCAGATATTTTAGTGAAAATAAGCAGAAAATACGAAGACTCATAGAGTGGATATGTAAGATAAGACTGCACAATCCTTTTGCATATTGATTCAGATTTGCATGGGATGCGAATGCTTGGGATGTTTTATTCTGGAAAGTGCAGTTGTGTTTATATATAAAAATAAATCAAACCTGAAATCATTTTTGGCAAGTTTTTTAAATATTATCCTAACGTCAGAGAAAGAAACACAATAATTTGCTTGCAATAAACTGAATAATTGTGGCCTTGGACTTTGTTTTGGTCTTAGTCATCTTCAGGGGTCTTTGACTGAGCAGCTTTTCATAATTACTTCTCATGCAGCGACTCATCATATCAAAGATGAGGGGAATCGGCATACAATTTTTCTTTTCCATAGATTTAAGTGCACAGATGCTACAAAATGCTTGATATAAGGTACGATTTAAAGTAAATATAACCCCTCTCATAAACTGTGTTTACAAAGAGAAATAACTGACTTTGACAATTTACACGTCATCTAGTTAGTTTGAGCAGGAAACTACCTTTTACATTATGAGAATGACGGATGGAAATGAAGGCCTTTTTCTGCTTCATCATTGTTTAAGTGAACGGTATTAGCTTCCTGTCTCATCCGGTAGTGTTATTGCCCTGGGCTTCTGGGAATATCATGCATTACTCATACGGTTCAGGCACAGACAGTATTGTTTATTTCCCTCATGAATATGTGCACGCAAAAAAAAAAACACGCACATGAAAAAAAAACAGCAAACCTGCGCCTGTGCACAATAAACAACCAGAGTGCTACACACATGTGCTGACAGGATGTGTATTGATGATGGTGGATTAGCGAGAGAAGGGGCAATAAATGGACAGTGGCTGTCAGCGACAGAGAGATGGAGATAACAGGAAGGATGGAAGGATGAGAGCGAGGCAGACAGTCAGGGGAGGGAAGAGAAAATATGGGCCAGCTCGGATGATGGAAAGACGGAGAAAGTGTAAAAGAAAATGAGACGGAGAAGATGGGACACGGAGGAGCAGGAGATTAAAAATCAGGTGGCAGCGAGGAATTGCCTGTTTAGTTTATGGGGAATGAATAGAGTCCTCATTGATCCAGAGACAGAGGCTATCATTCCTGCTCAGCAGTGCTACAGGGCAAGGGGGGGGGGGGGATCAGGGAGGACGTAGAGGGGAGGGACAGTGTCAGAGGAGCTCAGAAGCATTTTCAGAGGGAAATGGTGAAAAAAGTGGAGTATGTTTAGTGTGTTTAAAGCTTTTTGATATCAATTTTAAATTTCCATATTTTTACATCACTAATGCAACAAATCCCACTGTTGCTGTTTTTTTCATCTCAGATGTACCTGTTCTTCTGTTTGATTGTATTTCCCTCCATGAAAAATAATCAGTTTTTTCCTCTTTGTTGTGTGTAGAATTGATAGAGCTGAAACTAACCTTTGTTTTCATTGTTGATTAATGGGGTGATTCTTTTATTAATCAATGAATCATTTGGTCTATAAATTGCTCATCAAAATGTCCTAAACAAGCCTAAGAATTTTAAATTGCTTTCTTTGTCCAAACCCCAAATATATTCAATTGACATTGAAATAAAACAGAAAGCAAATGACTTTTCTTGTTAGTTTAGTGCAGATGACGCATTCCCAAAGAAGGGAATAAAAGGTGTCGAATGAGTAGTCAGGGGTTTGTTTGAATCTTTGTATTTTATTTTATAATATTTAGATTATTCTCATTGTTCTGTTATTTTTCTGTTGTAGTCTTCATTTTGTTAACATCATTAACAAATGAAAGGGTTCATCATCTCAAACGTAACATCATTTACTCACATCAGCTTTTACATGTTATAGGTATCAAGGTAACAGTAAGCAGCCTGTGTTTATCTTCAGGGGGAACGTGTGAGGGGATTGCGAGAGTGAAAAGATGCAGCACAGGAGCGAGCAGATGCCGGAGAGGCTGGGAGTGAGTAGCTGAGGAGAGGGAGGAAGGACGAGGTGCAGAACAGTTGTTTTTCTCTCAGTTAAACACCTCCCCTCCTGTGTGTGCTGTTGTGACAGCCCGAACTCAACCACTCACACGGATTCGACTAAGGTCTCCTACAGATGGAGGGATGGCGGACAGAGGGGAGGGACGGAGGTGGGGAAAGACAGGGGCAGGGAAGTGAAGTGAGAGACGGAGTGAAAATAACCCAAAGCTACAAAAGACTGGCAGTTGGGAAGAAGTGCAACACAGCAGAGGGGAATAGATGGAGACAGAGAAGAGGCACGGAGAGAGCGATAGAGACATTCAGACTGGTTGACTCATTCTTGTGATGTCAGATCTTGTAAAGAAATGTGTTTCGAGCTGTGCTGACTTGCTCCATCCGGCACTGATGAGTAATGCCGTGGTTCAAAGGCTTTGCATTCTTGATACACATGGATAGCCAACTCTCAATGCTGGTAGTGAGGGCAGTGGCCAAACAGAGAAACTCAACAGCACCACTGATTTCCTGCTCTTGTATGATTTAGACTATCATCCAATATGTGACAAGAGAGACACATATGTCTACACCATTTTCGTTTCATGATCGAGGCAGATGAGGATGAGGATGATGATAATGCGTTCTCATTACAGGCGGCCTCGGGGCAGACACAGAGGAGCGGTTGGTGGAGCATCTCTTAAACCCCGCCCACTACAACAAACTGATCCGTCCCGCCACTAATGGCTCCGAGCTGGTTACCGTGCAGCTGATGGTGTCGTTGGCTCAGCTCATCAGCGTGGTGAGTGTGCATGTGCCCGGGTTTGTGTGTTTGACTCTGAGTGCACCTTTTCACAGTATGAGGACACCCCTTTGTGTTACTCATATAAAAAGATGCCAAATGATTATTTACACATGGAATATGAGAGGTGCAAAAACTGCAGTAATGCTGATTAATGCGGTTCTTTCTGATTTCTTGAGTCTGCAAAACATGATTTGCATTCATGTGTCAGCATGGTTACAGCAGAAAATGAAGTTGTCTAATTATGGAAATCTCATGTCAGTCTTATTTAGCCCTCGGCTCAAGGCCTGATGAGTATTAAGATCTTGTACTTTAGCAATACAGCAATTTAAAAAGACTGTCTTAAGTAAAAATTCTGCTTTTTACATCAATAAATTGTATTAATACTAGGTTGTTATAATTATAAGTAACTGTCAAATAAGTGCAGTGGAGTAAAAAGTACAATGTGACCCTCTGAAATGTAGTAGAGTAAAATTATAATGAAGTAAAGTACTTCAGAATTGTACTTACAGTAAGTACAGTACTTGAGTGAATGTACTTTCCACCACTGCAAACAAGCTGCACTGAAAATGATTACTGCAGTACATCTTTACGTTAGTTAAAGATCCACTCCACTGATTTTACACATGAAGATCGGTTTCCTCATTATGTTGAGTGCCACTCAGCCAAACAGTTGTATGAAGTCTTCTGTGATTATGGAGTTTTTTAAAACCTGAGAAATTAACATACGTGTTGTCATCAGGATTATTTCAGCTTGAGCTTGAACACTTTTATTTTTTTTCCCTAAAAAGTGATATAAACTGGGGATTCACATTTTGAAATACGGGTATTTACCAAGAAATGAACGACTACCAAGCTGCATGATGCAACTCGGTCTATAGGGACTTAAAATGTGGATATTTTGACTTTGTTGCATCCATTTAATGCCACTTTTGAAAAATCTGTCACACGCGTCCCCTAGCTTGTTACAGGTGTTGTGGTACCCGTTTGATCACAGTTTGTAATTTACAATACATGTCTTCTATTTCTGCAGCATGAAAGAGAGCAGGTGATGACCACCAATGTCTGGCTAACGCAGGTGAGTCTTCCCACTCTTCTCCTCATCTGACCATTCTAACATCGTAACATTCTGCCACACAGAGAAGAATTCATTTAGACAGAAAGATTAAAATGTCGCGAAAAATATTTGATTTTGGATGGTTTTACCTTAGATTTCAAAACGTTACTGCCAGGTCAGTGGAGGTTTATCACACACCACAAGGGGCATGGATGGTAGTAACAAATGCAGACACTAAGTAATGCTCTCTCTACAATAGAATACAGTAAACATGCTGATGAACATTATATAATCATGGGCCACAGTGTTATTCCACCAGTGGACCATATACGAGCAGTGGTCCAGTTACTGGAGGGGACGGATGCATCCCCGTGTTTCACTGGTTATGGCTGATGTGCAGAGTCTGATCCTGCCTCTACTCATGTGGAGCAGCAGCCCTGAGAGCTGACATGACTGGTGTGTCAGACAGAGATTTCTTTTTTTTTTACACCCAAATCACAAATAACTGGTGATATCAAAATCCCTTTGCACAAATGCTGAGCCCTTATTTGTCAGCTGGTGAAATTGGCAGTTTGTGGATTTGGATGAAACCTAACATAATCTCACCCTGTAAATAATGTGACTCTGACTGAGCTGTGAAACGCTTCTACATGGCTGGCTCTTTATATGCTTACAGCTGAGGCCTTTAACATGGTAGAACATGTAGGTGTACACATGTACACACATCAGGTATACAAATGCAGTCACTCACACACATCATCAACATACGTGTTTGCTTTTAAGAGCAGGTGTTTGAACAAATTACACAGACGTATGTTCAAGTTGGATGTTGATTTAGATCTATATGATCTACTTTGTAGTGCATGCTGCATTTTTGATGACATTGTTTTATAGCTTCATGGGGATTTTTTTGTGTCTTATATTCACAAACACACACTTGCACCTGACCAAGTCAAGATTTACGACATGTAACGGAGCGTAGAATGACCATCAGTGCTCTATGGATCCCTTGCAACTGGTAAGCAGGGGAGCCAAGGACAGCTGTCCTCAGCCAAGACAAACTGTAATGACCACAGTGCATCACAGTTACTGCAGATGACCTAACATGAGCATTACAGCTCCAACATTGCCATAACATAGAAGAGCCAGACAGAACTGCTGTCACAGAGGCTTCAATGCGGCAATGTCAATGACTGACCCACAGCGTACAGAACAAGACAAGGCAGTCTTTTAAAAGAAGGTTGCACAGAGGACGTGAGGAGGTTTGCTGATGCACACACATGCACACTCATAGGAGCAGCCTTACTGCGTTACTGGGTTACGTAAAAGGGGGATGGAGTGATGATACATGATACTACTGTTAAATTAAAGAACATATTTAAGCTACAAAATTTCAAAAATGCAGAAAGCCCTCAAACACCTTACTGGAGGTAAAAGTTCTTCAGTGGAGTGAAGTGAGGAGGATCCACGAGCATGTTAGCATTTAGCATGTTAGCTTAGGATACAGGTGATGAACATCATTGGTGTGTCACTAAGCCTGCTTGCAAGGTCAGTCAATACATTGTTTTTGTTACTACCCCGAGGTACAATAATGCCAATTAACGACACCCCATAAGTTACCCTTTTTTGACGTTTGACTGTGCTTGTAGTGTCCTCGGCCCGTGAACTCGGCGGGCCCGTGAGCAAACATTGGTAACATATTCTTTCTGGAGTGTCACCTCTCTGTTCACGGAGCTCTGCCCTAGCTTCTTCTCTGTTGCAGCTGCCGGTTTATCTTATTTCTTCAATTTCATTCTCAGTTTATCAGGACTTTTTTCACGCAACTTTTGTTGTTGCTCTGTAACGGATGTGATTTGAAATGTAGCGAAGTGCAATACTTGTGATAAATAGAACTAAAGTAAAAGTAAGAATACCGATTCACAATACATACAACACGTAACAAAACAACTTTGTTAGATTAGAGGTCGTACTTGTAATACTTCCACCCCTGAGCAATTTTAATCTTGCTGATTGGTCTAGGTCGGGGTTGACATGAGCGCTTCAATCTCTCTCTGTGGCTTATAAACATGTGATGTAAGCATGGAGGGACACAGCACAGGATGTTCCCCAGGCTTGTGATGTGCCATATTGACCACCGACTGACAGACACAAAGACGGACAGACAGACCTTCTCCTCACTGCTCCTCTCTTGCCGCTGTGTGCTTGGCTCACGAGTGATTAAGCATTTTGTTTTTATTGGACCCTCAGGAGTGGCAGGACTATCGTCTGACTTGGGTCCCTGAGGAGTTTGATGGGATGTTGAAGGTCAGGCTGCCCTCAAAACACATCTGGCTGCCTGACGTGGTGCTCTACAACAAGTGAGTCACTCACTCACTCTCTTGCTCTCACTTCTGACGACACACAAGGCTCATGGATGCATGCACTGGCATACAAATGCACAACAAGAACACATACAAGTCTCATATTGAACTGTTAATGTTTTAAAGCGAACTCCCCAGCGATTTGAGCCAGCTGCCACCATTGTCCTGCCAGAGGTTTCACTGTGCAACACGTGCACGCTCCGCCACATATGACTGAATATGTCCGCTGTAATCCGCTCATATCGCTCATGCTACATTATACAGTATCTCCAAGTCTCGTGAGACACTTCAAAGATGGAGTCCTCTGTGTGCACACTCACATAGAGACTGTACATGTACAGCAGATGCAACCGGTTAACCGGAAATTCGTCTTTCTTTTTCTGTTGTTGTAAAATGTGTGATGTTGCATGCAGAGATGCTTGATAACTAACTCCGTATTTGCATTTTAATTTAGTTCGTCATTCTTAGGCCTGGATTAACCTATACCTTTGTAAATTGTGAATGCACCTGGCCAGTTTCAAGTTCCCATCAGGTGCAGTTACACAGAAACCAACTTGTTTTGGTAATTTAATTAAACATCAATTTACTTATATATATAAACCAAAACATCTAGTTTTTATTACGTTGTAAGACTCTGAGCTATCGCACGCTTTGCTGTTAATCCAGTCTCGAGTGTAGGTCTGGGCGACATGGTCAAAATCAACCAAATGGCAAATGTATGCAAGATCACATATACTGTATGTAAAATTATTAAATTTCATCTTCAATGCAATTAACTGTAATGCATTAAACAACACAAAACTCTTCATGTGTATAAAACAGAAACTTGCTTTGCTAGGCTTTAACTCCAATTAGCTTGCATGTCTGAGGGAGGTACGGGTGCAGACCACTAGTCTCAATGTAATGGAAACTGAGTGTCAGCCTCCAGTATGTAAATCAGCTCATCAGAGAACAGTGATCTGTCTGGCCTTCTCATCTTTCCCTGCCCCAGTCCTTACTTTACTGAAGATTAAAAGATCCCAGGCACTTTGGATGAAATGATCCTCCTAATCCCACTAACCCCAGGTCGACACGCTATCCTCCCAGTCCTCTTCACTGCGTCGAACTCCTGTCAGGCACCTAAACAGCAGGATTAACTGAGGGAACAGCGCTAATAGAGCAGAAAAGTCGTTGTTTCTGAGAGTGCACTTTGGTAGGTGGTTCAATTGTGTAATCAGTCAAAAACGATGACATTGTATTTTGCATATGTCACATCTCACAACATTAATAGCCGCCATTAATTAGTTCTCTTGTCAAATGCTTGAGTTAAATGGAAATTCAATCTAAAGCTTTAATGTAGTCAGCCAACTTCTGACTTAAGTGTCTAATTCAGGCTGTTTAACTCGACCCAGTCTGCCCTGTGAGCTGTTATTTCTGTCTAGACTGCAGGTTCATCCTGTTCTTTGGGTTTGTAGAAGCAGGTGTGTTTGAACCTGCTGCCCTGAGACACCTCAAAGCCTCCACACCCATGTGTGTGTGGTTGTGTGTGTGTGTGTGTGTGTGTGTGTGTGTGTGTGTGTGTGTGTGTGCCCTAGAGCTCTTTGATGAACCCATACTGCATAAAGAGATGCGTCATGTTCCACTGTTCATAAGACTCAGGGAAACATGGCCTCTCATTATACTTTCTGTTTACAAAATATAGATTTTTAATTAAATCATCACACAAAGGTTTCTGTTCGTGTCTGACACTTTATTTCTTTTATCTTTCTCCTCTTCCGCTTCCTCTCTCTCAGTGCTGATGGGGTGTACGAGGTGTCGTTCTACTCTAACGCGGTGGTTTCCCACGATGGCAGTATCTTCTGGTTGCCTCCGGCAATATACAAGTCAGCCTGTAAGATCGAGGTCAAGCACTTCCCCTTTGACCAGCAGAACTGCACGATGCGCTTCCGCTCCTGGACCTATGACCGCAACGAGATCGATCTGGTTCTCCGTGCTGACGTGGCTAGCATGGACGACTTCACGCCCAGCGGCGAGTGGGACATCATCGCCCTGCCAGGCAGACGAAACGAGAACCCAGCCGACCCCACCTACGTGGACATCACGTACGACTTCATCATTCGCAGGAAGCCCCTTTTTTACACCATCAACCTCATCATCCCGTGTGTGCTCATCACCTCGCTGGCAATCCTGGTCTTCTACCTGCCCTCTGACTGTGGAGAGAAGATGACGCTCTGCATCTCTGTGCTGCTGGCTCTCACTGTGTTCCTGCTGCTGATCTCAAAGATCGTCCCCCCCACATCACTAGACGTCCCACTCGTGGGGAAGTACCTGATGTTCACTATGGTCCTGGTCACTTTCTCCATCGTCACCAGTGTGTGTGTGCTCAACGTACACCACCGCTCGCCGACCACACACACCATGCCCCCTTGGGTTAAACTGGTGTTCCTCAACAAGCTTCCTGCCTTGCTCTGCATGCGCCAGCCCAGAAACAGCTGTGAGCGCCAGCGGCTGCGCCAGAGAAGGAGGGCCCAGGAGCAGAAGGAGGGTGGGCGCAGCGGAGAGGCGGGGGCCTTGATGGTGGGGCTCGGGCTGGGCAACGCTGGTGGGAATGGAGGGGGAACCTCCACAGGGGTGTTCAGCAAGGAGGACAATGAGCCTTGTACCTGCTATGTGAACCGGGCGTCCGTTAAACAGTTTGGAGGGGATCTGGTAGGAGCGGGTGGGGGGTCCACGGATGGTCTGAACAGGGTGAGGGAGGGCCGGGAAGGGGGCTCTGGAAACCTGCCACGGGGGAAGCAAGCAGCAGGAGGTCCTGCTTTGACTCAGGCCCTGCTGGCTCAAGCCTGTCCGGGCTTTGAGGAGGCGGTGGAAGGAGTTCGCTTCATCGCCAACCACATGAAGAGTGAGGATGATGATCAGAGTGTAAGTATTATATTATCTGAATGTTCACACCATTATAGTCATATCACAGCCTGACTGGACTTTTTAGAGTGACAGTGATATTAGGAATGACTGATATTCATTTTCCAAATAAACATTTTGTGATAATGAGTATAGATACTACAGATCCTGTTTACTAGAGATGACAGATAAAAGCAAATATTACTGTACTTTTTTATCAAAGTTTTGTTCACTTAAAGCTGCTCGAATGAATATCTTAAAAAATGCTGATTAACCTATTCATGCTACCTGCCCAGCACCAGACAACTGACAGACACAGTTAGCGTCTAGCTGGTGAACACAGTGGAGCATTCAGCAGCTAAAGAGACAGAGATTTCTGGTGAGGTAGAAACCAAAACACAGCAGAGAAATCGTCAGGTAGCCGCTAGCCAGCTATTTAGATTCTATGACTGCGTAAATAGGCACCTGTTAGCTACACGTCCACTAAATCAACTTTATGATTTACTATTTGTTTGTTTACAGCTTTTTGCTCTGCACCCAGTGAATGTAAGCTTAAAAAACTTAACATATTAAATTATACAGCTAAATAGATTCTTTAAATTAAACACAAAAAGGCAAAGTGTTGCTGATGCCAATAACTCCTTTATTGCTGCAGTTTACTGCTCTGCAATGTCTTGCCAACACACACTTTAATACCAATACATCCATATTAAAATAAATAGTTATCTTGTCTCTGTGTGGATAAAAGGATAAAAACATAGCATAAATCGTCTTATTCTGTGCAGATGTTACTAACCATAAAAGGCATCATGAGCTGCCCAGGTCTGTCCTCTCAGTGCCAGCAGTCCCGTTTAGTGCTGCCATTTGAAACGCATGGGGGACTACACCAGAGCATATGGAGACAGATCTGGTGACGCAATCATAGCTCTCTGAATATTCAACAAAGACAAGTAATTATAGCAGCGGCATGACGTGTGCATAGAGAAGGAGTACAACTGGAGAAGTGCTGGAATAGGGGAACCAAGACGGCGGAGAGAGGGAGGCATTTTTTATCGCTTTTCCTAAAGGCGTCTTAGGAGAGCCTTCTCTCCTGGAATGAAAGAAACCGACACGGGAATCAACAATCCTCTGTAATTCTGTCCATCGTAGACATAGTAACCATCACGTTGCCATACCGACCACAATCCTGGCCCAGTGCATGCCCTCCCCCTCCCCCAGGTCGCCAGTGCAGGGGTTACAGTGTGAGCACACCCCTCTGGTTCTCTGCCCTCCATCACTGTCTCTCATCTCTTACGTCCTCCCCCTCCTCCTCGACCCGTGTCGGACCTCATCAGAGCTGTGTGGCAGAACGAGTCTCCGCTCACATTAACCCCTCACCTCCATTAACCCGCTGCATAGGGAAAGGCAGGAGGGTAGTTAGAGAGGGAACGACGATGAGCGATGTGATTCTGCTCACCTTAATCTGACTCTTCAACCTGTCCTGAATCCCCTTTTGTCTCTCCCCACACACAGGTGAGCGAGGACTGGAAGTACGTTGCGATGGTGATCGATCGCCTCTTCCTGTGGATCTTTGTGTTTGTGTGCGTGTCCGGCACCCTGGGCATGTTCATGCAGCCGCTTTTCCAGAATTACACAGTCAAGACCATCACCAGCTCGCCAGGCTGACCATTCCCAGGCCGAGAACATGCTGGCCTGACAGCTCCCCAGACCAATCAGCACAGCAGGACAAGGGCCGGGGGGGGGGGGGGGGGGGGGGGGGGTGTCTGGGTTTTATTGTGTCTATTGAACTGGAACTGAACAGCAATCACGCCCATTACCTTTATAGTAATGTTTTTTGCAACAAACAAACTGTTTTTCTTGGATGAACAAAAAGGAAAACACCATCATACTTTTACCTGAAGTTTTTTGTCCAGATGTTTAATGGACTGACCTCCCCTTTCTGGTGGAAAGGTCCTTCCCTGCTCTCCTCTTCAGCCAGTCAGGGAGGGAGGGATGCTCTGATTTTCTCTTTGTTGGACCTTACGCCAGCCCATCAACACTCTCTGCTCGACGCCGACTGCTTAATTGACACATGACATGCCCGCCTTCAACTCTGACATTACTCATCCTCGGTATTGACTGACGTCAGAGGGAGCTAATCAGAAAGGGAAGGGAGGTTCATACCAAGGTTCTTAAACATTTATTTAATTTTTTCAGAAATCCACTACGTCAGTGAGCTGATTCAGTATATTTTATCATAGCATAGCGGCTTACCACAGTATAGCATTAGGAATATATTATTAAGATTTCTCTATGTGTTAGCTCATGCAAGGGTCTGTTGCTGATAGAGAGGCTATGGTGTGTTGTATGATTGTATAGATTAAACAAGAATGTGATCAAAACTGTACTACACAGCCTGTAATGTGCACACCAACACAATATGTGTACAAGCAACAGATTGTGAAGGGAAATACATAGAGGAGACTTGAATTATTCGATTTGCTTTTGGTGGCATTATTCGATGAAAAGGACACAGTAATATATGCATGGACGGGGTTACGCTCAGAGAGTTGTGCTCACTAAATAGAGGACAGCAGCAGCCTGCTGTGCCAGAGTGCACAGCTGCAGTGAGATGAGTTCAGCTCCAGAAACAAGATGGTGGATAGGAACCCCTATATGATGGACAGTGGAACAGGATTTCCCTCAGACCGAGTATCTACTGAAGAGCTCAGTTGGGATGGAGCAAAGATCAGTATTGGAAAAAGTAACATGTAAAACAAATTGTATTGATGGAAGGAAGGGAATCATGAAAATTAAGCTATTATGTGTATTAATCTGTAATTTCATATTTCAGTATGTAATCGTCAGAGCGTATGTGTGTGTGTGCCCCACACCCGGATGCATTAGCAAATCGGTCAGATACGATGTTCAGAAGAGCATACTGTATGTGTGTCTCCCCCTCCCTTCTGTTAATCTCTGGCAACCTCTCTCCAGTTCTCTCTCCTTTATCTGGACTTCCAGAGACAAACACATTTCTGACATTTAGTCTAATTACAATAACGATTACCTACATTCTCCGAAGACCTTTTCATTACGACACTTTTCCTTTTAATCATGGACTGGCTGATTTGTCTTTTTTCACAATCTTTCCAGGTTCCCTGACAACCAAGCGAGAAGCAAAAGGCCTTTTTAATCATGCAGGGAGTGGGGGTGAATAAAATGCTGAAGGCCTATGCTGAAGCAGTCGCACCAGGCAATAAGTTACAGATCTACAGAAAGAAACAGGATCATCTGACCTCAGCAAGCACAATCCAGAGAGTGAGGAGGAATAAAGCAGGAAAGGCAGAGACGCCGTAGGAAAGTCACTTTGCTGTCTAATCCTCAGTCACTGTCACTCGCTGTGGGTTTTTTACGGTCATGTGGCTGCAGTCTGCGGCTCGGATTAGTTCTGGACTGGGAGCTGTCTGTCTTTCTCTTTCTGTGTCTAGAGGATGGGATTACCCAGGGGGGGGATCCCCAACCGATCCTGAACAAGTGTGAAAAGCCTGTCAGAGACCTGTGAAAACTGTAGCCTGCACAGCGCCACACGGACAAAGTGCTGCTGTCCACTCCATTTCTCTCTCTTTGACCTTTCCACTTTACTTCCTTTCTTTTCACTTCCTCTCTCATCATGCTCCACCATCTCTCACCCTTCTCCTTCCTGACTCTCAAATCTGCTCCTGTGCACACCTAACCAGTCCAATAAAGGTTGTAGGTTCAGATTAATCAAAGTATGCATCTGTGTGGCATGTTTTTACCCTCATATTCACACACAGACAGTCGTGTTTCCATCACTTTAGAGAACATTACATTGACTTGCATTCCACGTACTCTAACCATAAACGCTACTTCCCTAATCCTAACCTTAATTGTGACGGTTATTCATGATGGTCATTATGGGGACTGGCATTTTGTCCCCAAAAGGAAGGCGAGCCCCCACAATGTGACCGTGTAAACAGATGTATGCCCACACACACACACACACGTAACCATCACAACTAAATGCCTGACCACTCTTACCTTAACCTTAACCTTAACCTAAACCTTAAGGAACCTTAAAGAATATAAAACCAAGTCTGAAAGATAGCTGTACAAGTATACGCATGCACACACACACACACAGGTAACCTATAGTCGGTAAATTACAGTATTACCCAAACTTCCCATTAATCTTTCACCACAGGATAGAATGAAAGAAAGAAACGTTTCCTGGCTTTCTAATTTTCAGGCTGGTAACTTCCTTTGTTATGTATTCACACACACACACACATACCTTCACACTCCCGCAGTGCTTTTTTTTCTAGGAAGCAGGACTTTTAAACAATCATGGGTGTAGTGCCCAGCCAAGGTCACTGCAAGTTCTCATTATTCTGCTGTAAAAACAGGGTACAGCCGGTACCTGCTCAAAACGATGAACGTCACACCAGAACAGAGATAACTGTTGAAGACTTAACTATAGCCTCTTGTAATATATATTTAATTAATATAATATCTCTTTGTTAGGGATTCACATCTCTAATCTACATCCATCTACTTCTGAAATAAAGTGCTGTACCAGCGTGTGCGAAGCAAATTGAAAGTAATGCAACGCTCTTAAGTTAGATTCAATTGAGGGCTATTTGCTGCCATCTGGTGCCCACCATGTGTTCTCACTCATCTTCTTTGATGTAACAAAGTACCACCAACATTGAATTGTTCGAGAAAAGGGCACATTTATTAATTCCTTTGCTTGAATGTGTTATAAAATACACAAAAAGACAAAAAGAAGGTGTTGAAACCGACTTAAACTCTTCCGATGTTCACATTGCAATACATACAGCTATGGAATAATTGGACATTTACTGCTCAAGGGACAATTAGACAAATGTGTGAGTGTGTGTGTATGTGTATTTGTGAATGTGAAGTCCATGAGATGATGACCTCTCCTGTCTCAACTGTTTCCTCCCTGGAGTGTGTGGGTTTGCAGAGTGGATGTCTTTGTGCAGAGGGCGTGTTCACTACTTCTTCTCTGGCTTGTCGTTGTACTCCAGGAAGAAGTCGTTACAGGCCACAGTAAGCGCTCCGACCAGTATGATGAACTCTGTGAAATCTACCTCCCCGTCGTTGTTGGAATCCAGGTCTCCCATCACCTTATCCACTGCCTCCTTATCCTGGGCATTCTGCACGTGTGTGGATAGATAACACAAATGTAAGCTGGCTCGGTTTTATACGCATGACACTGTGCATTTGTATCCCTAAGTATCTCCTTACCCCCAGGTAGCTGCCAAGCTCTGCGGTAAGCATCTCTTTGAGCTCAGCCCTGCTCAGTGTGTATTTGTCCCCCTCATTCCCAGAGTACTTGTGGAAGGTCTGGATCATGAGCTGCATTGCGTTCTCCAGGGTGGAGGCGTTCTCTGAGTTGGGCATAGACATTCTGGAGGAGGACAGAATAAGAGGAAGAGTGAGAGAGTACTCCTGCCTGCAAGGAGCATGGAGGACAAGCCTGCTGCAACTCAACACATGTTAAAGTCTCTCTAGGTTGCTCTCTCTCTCTCGCACACAAATGCATGCACACACACTCTTTCTCTCTTTCTTTCTCTTGGACACATGGACAATCATAGGCTGAATCACCATCACTGACATCGCTACAAAATGATGTTCTATGTGGTCTCTCTAGTGACAGGATAGGGGATGGCAGAGTCGGAAACTCAAGTTTGCTCGAGCTGTTTCCTCATCAGGAGATTTTCCTCCCTGCTAGTTGTCCTGATAAGATTCTGCAACAGATTAAACAGATCCTCAATCTGTTTGTTGCTTTGCTCCAGCAAGAGGACCTCTGGGAGTCAGGACATTGACAGCAGCCGGATATGTGAGCCAGCTGATAAGAGTGAAACTCTAAGCTGGTAAAACAGCCAAACCAGCGGAGGAGATGTAACCAGGACACGCTGAGGCAACCTGATCTGCCTTTTACTTCAGCTCCACCGGATTGCAGAAAACAACGGAGACAGGTGTAAGTCTTTGCCTTTCTTGGACCCACATCACCTATGAACTGTGAAGACTTTTCCGAACTGTTCATCACATCTTACATCAGTCTGACCCGGTTGACACAGTGCTCCACATTCTCATGAGTCAGCGGCATATAAAATATATATCGGAAAGACATTTTTGGCAAGCTCTGTTTAAGATAAATGAAGGTTCTATAAGTTATCACTGAGTAAACAGAGAGCTTTTCCTGTCTTTGTTGTTGATTTGCTATCACTATTATTTTCAACAGGCAGTCCCCCCTACAGACAGCACTGTGCATTAGCGGCACCACTAAAACCTACTTTTAAAAGGGACAAATAGACACAACCTCAGAGAAAAATAGAGAAACAGCTTTCAGTTGAAGTCTGTCCTCTACATCATCGCTTACCTGAGGGAAGAGTGATGGCCTGCTGGTCAGGTGCAGAGAGAGAAGGCAAGAGCGACTGATGAGGAGGATGGGAGGGACACCGTCTTAAATACATCCCTCAGTCCACTCATTCCCCACCACCCCCAACCCCCCACCCCCTCCTCCATCTCTGTTTACGCATCAGACACCTGCTGTCCTCTCTAAATGGACACATGAAAGATCCATCTGACCCCCTTCTTCGGAGACAACATATCGACAATGATATCATGAATGGAACTGTAACTACAGCATATCCATCAGCATTTTTAAGCACAATGAGTATCCTGTTACCCTGTTATGCAACCATTTTATACTTCTTGTCAAAGCAAAGAACAGGTTTAGAGGGAGTGCTACGGTAAATACAGTACCAAGAACAAGATGAATCACGTGAATACTCATGATATGAGTCTGGTTTTAAACAGCAAGGAGTGTTGTGTCGAGGTAGGATGTTTACTGTGTGTGTGTGTGCGTGTGTGTGTGTGTGTGTGTGTGTGTGTGTGTGTGTCTTGGGGGGGTCATGCCTGATACAGTCTCCGAAGGATTAGTGTAGCCCCGATGAATGGAGCCATCACACCCGGCAGCCATACAGAGAAATCCCCAGACAAAGACTTTGCAAAACACAGGCTGACACTTTCACACCTCAAGCTCCAAAACACGCCGCATGCAAGCGCTATAATAGAGAGAGTGAGAGCCAAAGTGCATGAAAAGTAAATGAAGAGCAAAAATAAATGATGGAAACACATATTTTCATGTACACTTGAATTAATGATCTCGAAGATCATACTAAAGCCCTGCAAGATGTCATGAAATGTAAGTTTGATCTGCCGTCCTAGTGAGTGCATCTTCTTGTTTGTATGTTGTCGCTGCAGTATATTGTGTCAGTGAGTGGGGCAGCACAGTGTGTGCGTGTGTGTGCATGCTTGTATGCACCAAATGTGTGTATGTATAGTGTTGCAGAGTGAAGGAGGGTGCACAATAGGAAGCGTATACTGTATGTCAGGATCTGGTTGCAACAGTTGATGCATCTAAAGGCTGCTGAGTTTGACTAGTCAGGGATGTCACAGCTATATTTAGTAAGTGTTGCTAGTAGCTATGGAAGAAGCAGGTATCATTGCAGCAGTGCCTGTGGGACAATGTCAAACCATATCAGAGAAACCACTGGACACATACAGTACTTTGCTGGGTTTCCCAGCTGAATTTTATTTCATTTGGAAGCTAAACTTCAAAGCAAAAGCAACTTAATAAAGATCGAACGCCAATTAAAAAATACACACAGTATAGTTGTATTATATAAAGCATTTATTTTGAAAATACAGTAAGTATCTTTTGTATAACTGGTATATAAAAAGACACTCCCAGCAAAGAGTCCTTCAATGTGTCCTTGAGATGGACAATGGATATCAATATGGTGTGACTGAAGAAATGGCTGATCTGGACAGACGTTAAGAGCATTTCACAACTGGTTGATTGTATGTAAAATGATTATGGACTTAAATGAGAACAAATATTTTTAAAAAATGCCAAAAAGGCTGTTCATTTTCTGATCCACCAAACAGAAGCATCTATGAAGCATTTGCATTAGCTCCAGCCTTCCTCTCACTGGCGGAGTTGGCCAGGTAGCCAATCAGAGTGAGGTATTCCTGGAAGCTGACCTTTCCATCGTTGTCCGCATCCAAACCCTGCTGCATCTCCTTAACAGCAGAGGAGCAGGTTGCATCCTGAGGGATAGACAGAATATGTTAGTTCTATATAAAACATAATATAATGATTGATTATTTTTGTGCAGCAAAGGGTGATGTAGGACAGCAAAACATTACGTTTTGCTGTAATGTTACTTTACCTCCATCATGCCGCCAAACTGTTTCTTTACCAGTTTCTGGAAGGCACCCCCTTCTAGGTTCTCCTTCCCCCTGGTAGAAGTAAGAAAAGTGGTCACCACCGTCTTAATGGCTGCCTCCATATCTAAAGAGAGAGAGAGAGAGAGAGAGAGAGAGAGAGAGAGAGACAAGGAAAATAACGGGAGAATTGAGTGTTGGACGTAGCAGGAAGAGATATGGCGATATCTTAGACACTCAGACGTCATGCCGTTGGGTACAGTACCCAGGAATTTTATTAATATGAAAATATATTAACTTTGGGTCTTTGGTGGATAAAAGGCTTATTTCAGTTATTGAATGCATCATTGCAGAAGAGAACAACTTTGGAATCAACTATAACAACTATAACCTTGGAATCCTTGGGAACAACTGAATGCTAGAGAATAAAGATTCATAATTAACTCTGTTAAGTTATAATGCAGCATTTCACTTAGGTTTTGTATGTGTGATATAACTGAAAACATACTGAAATAAAACACATGTTAAAAACCACATCATCCTGCAAATAAATAGTCATAACAGTGATCTGCAAAGCAAACTTGTCTGAATTGCCATTTATGCCAAAAAACGTGAAGATGAGACAAATGTAATTCTTTGGTGTTAGACGGATCACATCTTTATTTGTATTAAATAGCATTTGCATTTTATCTGTTTGGATATTATATGATATGTTTGGATATGTCTCCTGGACACAAACATATGAGAAAGGTGATGTCAGTGTAGAAGAGGAGGAGGAGCCCAGGGGAGGAAATGGACAGAGCCCGGAGGCTCTCTGAGGTTAACAGAGCGAGAGAGAGGGAGTGATGGAAGGTTGAGGGGGAGGAGGGGAGTCTCTGAGGTAAACACAATGGGAGCTCTGATCTCTGACGGTGGACATCTGATCCCCAGAAGCCATCGGGAGGATCCAGGTTCAGATTACGGCCTGCTGCCCATCTGCTGCAACACACCTTCCCTCACACTGTAGGAATAAGCTAGATAGAAAGGCGTGCTTTCATTGGATCACAATTCCATACTACAAGCTAATTCTACACACTTTGATTATGTTGTACACAAACGTTACAAATCGTCAGTTTGCATACTAAAACCACTGATATACTCATTGTTTTATTGTGTTGATGATGAAGACTATAAGCCTTTTCACAGAAGACATTTTGACATGTCGCAGGTGTGAATGATAAAAGTAATGATGGCCGAGTTGCATTTAGCTGCTTCACTTTCGGGGTTTTGGTGTTGTGCATGCTGGTTCACTAAAACACTTTAATAGAACAGAGCACTCCTTAATGTTAATAGGAACACCTGTGCTTTTCCCACTTTGAAAAGTCAGAATGTCTGTTGTGATGTCTTGTGTTATCTCACAATGCACTGCACAAATGAAATAGAGGAGCTGCTCACAGCTGCAATAAATATGAATATGAATTGGGGGTGGTGATGAAAAAGCTCCAAGAATATTGTAAAAAAAAACAAAAAAATATGTATTAGAGCGTTCCGCTTTCTCCTTGTGAAGTGCAAAAGTGACAAAATGAAATAAAATCAAAACAACTCAAATGAGTGTCCTGTTGAGGTTCCCTATATTCTCCTACAGTGCATCGCACGAAGGAAATGGAGGAACTACTAGTGCTAATGCTTCTTTTCTGCTTACTAACAGCAAAAACAGCATACTACAATGATTTGTCTGTTTCCTTTATAATGGTTTGTATACTGTGTGCATTTAGTTTAATATGTTACAAAATTAAATTGTTTTCTCATAAAGAAAACTAGGAAAACAGTAGACTATGATAATTAGTATTTAATATATACTGTACATTGTTGGTGTGTAGCATGACATTAAGACAGATATATTGATTTAGTCTAACTGCAAAAAATAAAAATATGAAAATAAGTGTGCCACTTATTTTGTCGTATGGAAATGGGAGAGGACATTATATCTATAAGACAGTGTTAAGGCCAGTGCAACCTAATCCAGACATAAATCAGCAAGCAGAGGGGTCCCTCAAGGTTTTTGCTCCCATTTATCTTTCCGTTGTCTCAACAAACAACCTCTCCAATGCAACTGCTCTCAGAAGATTAAAGGCCTGAATAAATGCTGCAGATACTTGAGTAGAGTTGCTGATAAGTATCGCAGCAGTGCGGTGCAAGGCCTTGCTGCAGGGTTTCCACTGAGTATCGGAAACTATCAGGGGGTGACAGCGGTGGCCGTAGGACAGGTAATGATGGATGGTGATTGTGGTGATGTTGTTGTAGTAACTGTAGAAGGTAAATATCCCATCTGACATACATGTCACACCTAAATGCTCACACTATGTACCCGCACCAGATGACACACAAAGACATATAGATGGACGGACAGAAAGATAGACGCACACGCGTGCACACCTGAAGAACACCAATTAGGACTTTTGTTGCATTAACATAATTACTGAGTGAGTGAGTGCAGGCACCCATGGATTCTGTTTCATGTCTCCCTGCCGTGCCAGCACACACACATGCATGCACACAGAGGTGGACACACAACGCTACATACAATGGAGCATCTCTCTCATCAGCATGCTGTTCATAATTATTTAATGTGTTACTATAATTGTCCCAACACCTTCCTAACACCCGCTACAAGACGAACAGCAGCACGGGAGCATGCGAACCAGTGTCTGTGGGTGTTTGTATCCATACAGCATATCGAAATGCCTGACAGGCCACTATCCATTCGAGTCCTTTCCGAGTGTAATGAGATGAACATGAAACCAAGTCGTCTTCGGTCAGAACCGGAGACATCAGGGCCACAGAATTACAAATGGCAGAGAGGAACATGTCATGGGCTTAGTTAGATAAGAGCAAGATGTGGCCTGACTGTGCCGAGTACAAATGAAGCTCTCCTTCAGCCTCTCAGCACATGTACTCCATTCAGATTCAGAGCCTGCAGATTATCATGACTCAAGTGTAATGAATGCCTGTGGGAGACTTAGTGTATTGTGCAATTTGCATCACGGGTCCCTTTCGCGGCATTTTACCGGAATTAAGCACCACACACAGTGAGTCACAACACTTTGGCCCTGAAACATTTTTAAAATAAGCACTCTGACCCATCGTTTCCTGAATATGTAGCCTCTCCTAAAAGGATTATAACCAGACAGAGTGATATTTTCCCTTTCTTTTAAAATATTTTTCAAAGCCTAAAGTTGTAAAACTATGTAATTCTAGATAAAAAAGGAAGGATTACAGCATCTGAAAAACTAAATGTGTTTTTTATTGTATTTATCTATCCTGGTTCTTACAATCCCTCAGACATATCTTGACAGCCCTTTAGTGATCCTTATCCACACATTGTAAACTAGGCCTCACCAGCTGGTTTTGAATTTGGTTAAATGTTTCATGTATATATGGTTAAAGGTTGTAAAGCTGAATTTCCAACTAGGATATTGCTGGTTGAATCCAAGACCACTAAATTACCTCTGTGTTGTCTCCATAGCTGATTTTTTATTTACTTTATCGGTTTCCCTTATTTTGTCATGTTGGTTAGGACACACATATTTTAATAAATATGTGTATTATACCATAGTGTATTGTGTCATTGGTGTCTCTCAATGTGTCATAGTGTACACAGTAACTCCCAGATTATAAAACAAATAAAGCATGATGAACGTGAGACTTTAGTCAGCATTACAAACTGGCCTAAGGCTTGACAAGTACAAACCAGTTTACGCATTAGTCAGGTGGGGCCACCCAACCCACCCAGTCATCTCACCACCCCCCATTAACTGTAGCAGGCGGACACATAGTGTGTGTGTGTCTCAGTGTAAGTTGTTTTACCAGACTGACTAGAGGACATTATTGTGCGTTTCCACCCGATAGTTCCTGAGCATTGATAACTCCCAGCGATCAGCTCCACCCTGGTTTGCGCCAAGTGTGACGGACTCGCCTCCTCCACGTTGCCTGTCATCAACCAGGTCGCTATTTTTCCGGAGCGTCATTAACTAACACCAGGACGAAGCCATCCGAGTCTCGCTACCGGAGTCTTATCATAGCGTCAATAATTCAGACTGATAAGGGCCAAATCGGACCGTCGGTACAACAATCACAGTGTGACTGTTTAACGGGGCGAAAACGGCCACGGTGCAGATGTCAAAACTAGTCAGCGCCGTGCGTAACGGAGATGTCAGGGCTTGCCCGCGTCCCACATTTACATGTCGCCCTAAGTAATCCTGACAATTTGTAGAGCGGCCAGAAGCAGGACTGACACACAGCGAATAAATAAGTAAACATGAGTCGAGACTCCAGTTTCTCTGGAAGTGTAAAGGGATTGGGGTTAGATTACCAAGGAGAACCTGATCCCTGTGGCCACCAAGCTTGATAATGACAATAGAGACGCTCGCTAATTATGCAAAATGTACGCAGCCGAGGAAATAAGCTAAATTGATAATTATGTCCAGAAAACAGGACAATAAACTACAGAGAGACGTGGCACAAAACTAGTAATCAGAATCAACACTCACCGTTAGGACTTGGAAACAAAAGGCAAGAAACAATTTCGGCAACTGTGCTCCTTCTTTCTCACAGACCCTCCTCTTCAGTCCTGCGCTAGATAAACCAGCAACACATATCTTTTCCGTGATTTAACTTCTCACTCCAGCCAACTTTTTTTTCCCTTCATTGTCATAGGGCGTGTGCTTGAGAGAGAAGGAATGTGGAAAGAGGCGCAGCTTAAGCAACACAGCACTTTTTTCACCAACATTTTATTACAAACGTCTCCGTTGTTTAAGAAAATAGAGCAAGACTTTCTCATTTGGTTTAATAGATTTGTATAGGTCTGTTTTATTCTTGCACGTTCATCTGATTGTTTTTTCTGACATACTTTCTCTCAACATGTAGGAACAAGAGCGCGCTCATGTTTAAGTGTCTTCAAAGCTTTCTCAACAGACAGATGTATTTAAGCCACACCCTGAAACTGTACTCACTTGTGCAAAGAATGGAAGGATAGTGTTCAGTAGAAAGGGAACTTTCGAAAAACTCGTCAAATGAAGGCATTAGCAGGAAGATTTACATTTATATTATTATGTTTCCAGCTTTAAACAGAAAATCCTGCTCTGCCAACAACAGACCTTCTGTTTGTGCACTGGAGGGAGATGATGAAGATCACAAGATGCGTTTTACAGTAATTAGAAAAGCCAGTATAGACAATGCTTTAAAAAAACAAACATAGTATTCTGTGACAGAGTCTGTGCCAGTTGCTGGTGAGAGGACGGAGTGAGAAGAGTCACAGACAACTGGTTAAAAATAAAAAACTATTAAAAAAAAATAAGATAAGATTTTAGGGTGTGTTCCATTTGGCTGTTTCCCAATTTTTTCAAACTGTATGGCACACAGACAAGTCAGTTACATGCATGAAACTGTGACAGAACTCAGTGTATCCGAGGACAGCACGCTATTGGCTGAACCCCCCCATGCATCTGAGGACAGCACACTCTATTGGCTGAACCCCCCATGCTTGCTTGCAAGATGCCCAATCAGCTGCCAGAACTCCAGGAAGTTGAGCTCTCCATCGCTGTTCTTGTCCAATGAGCTCATGAGCTGGTCAATGGCAGCGGGGTCGGCAGCATTCTGCAGGAAAACAGGAAGATACTTACGACATCAGATGTTTAAAAAACACAGTAGTAATACTCAGTGTGGAAAAACTTGGTTGTGCTTGTGGGGCCACGAGACTGAGGCAAGCTGACACCACTGGCACATACACCAGTTAAAAAAAACACCAATGCAACGTCAGCAAAGTTGGTTAGGCTGATTGTGCAAAGGGAACTGTCGCCACCTGGTGGCCAAACGTGGTTATTTCAACTGTTCATGCAAGGAGAAACATGGAATTTTCCATTCTTGTATTTAGTGATGGGCCTCAGGAGCTTCTCCTTTCTGCCACTGAGCTCTGGTTTAACATGGCAACACAACCACAACTACACTAGAGTGAAACTTTGAAGTCTCTGAAGGGTCTTTATGACAAATTCAATTGTTTTTGTGCTCTGGATCACAGGAAGGAGTGGAAGAGAAAACTATTCTTTACAAGTACTGCTATTTGGCTCAGAAGTACTGTAAGACCACAGGCATTAAACACTCTGCCCGAGGAGAAGAACAGAAGTGGCCTTTTGAACGCAAGTATGACTAACAGTTAATTATGTGGTCACAGAAAAAAGGGCCAATGTGGCATCCAGATGATACACATCTCAATATGAATCTGCCCTCCTGAGGCGGCTCTTTTGTCAGTAAACAAAAATGTTCAGAGCAAACTTATAACAACATGTTCCTGATTGTATCAGTTTAACTGTGGCTCTTGTCTTTCAAACAAGTGGCTGAATGAGGTACTTTATCAGAAATCTACAGATTTACAAGGCTGGTGATATTCTGTGTTTTGGTTATTGTCAACTAATCCCATGAAAAAAACAACAACAGCAAGCATTGTCCAACGTCCGATGTGACTCTCAGACACAAACCCATTTGTTCCTTCAAAAGATAAAGATATTTAGCCCTAAATACATATCACAATCTTAATAGGGGCTAATTGATCCCCTAAAATATTTAATAGTGCATTTGTTGACTATTTTCAGGAGCGGATTACAACACATTTGGTGGCAGCAGGACGATGTATGTGTGATCAACTCAAAATAAACACTGGTGCCACACAGAGGAATAAGCTGCATTTGGCTTTGAATATGTAGGAAACATTACTATCGATTTGATGAGAAAAATATAAACTCTCGTATTATAGTAAAATAAATATACATACAAGTGACTCAATAAGAGTAATGAGTAACATTCCCTCAGCATAAACCAGCAGATTTATGGCACATTCTGGACCAGAAAACAGACAAATAAAAAAAAACTAAAAGCTATAAATCTTTACCTTGACAAAGTTAGGGAGCCCTGATGTGACCAGTCTGTGGAACTCATCTCTGCTCAGTGTGTCAGAGGAACCATCGCTGCCAGCATACACCTTGAACTGGGACACCAGCACACCGATAGCAGACTCCATTGTCAGTCAAGAGGGTTTCATCTTCGGGCCAAAAGGGGAAAAATGAGAAATGCTGTTGATCATAATACATTTCCAAAATGCAGTTACTTTATGATACAGATTAAGTTCAAGTTCAGACAGAAGTAAACAGCGGATCTTACAACGAGATTTTAATCTGGCAACACAAATCAGAGACTCACCAACTCAGGAATGTGTGCGAGTAAGTTGAGTCCTGCTGGTCTTTTTGTAGCCGACCTCTCCTGGTAAAGAAGACAAATCATTCACTCATTTCTCTCTAACTATTTACAGCTTGTGTTTTCTCAACATTGCAACCAGTAAAAATGTAAACCACGTTTCCCCCAAACACCACGGATCTATTTCCATGACATGATTGCATTTTCAGCATCAATCGAAGCGTGTAACTAGTCTCTGGTAGGATATGGGTTGCTGGATGAATCCCCTCATTCAGGAAACCCCAGACGAACAATCACAGTTAGGACGAGTTAAACATATTACAAACAGGTTAATGTTTTGCTCAGCTCGTGCCACTGCACGGACAATAGTCTCCCATTTGTCCTTTGCTTTGTACGAGTGTGAAACTGTGAGCAAAAAAGCTGCAGAGAGCAAAAAGAAAGCAGTAAATCAGATATAATTATGCAGTCTGTGTTGCAAAAACTTTTGAGAACGAGGCACTTGGGTTTCACCTCAGAAAAGCTGTATTATTTAAGGCCACGCTCCGACACGATGTGCACAATTGGCATATTCGGGAGGCAATTAGTGCCGACAAGAACAATGGCTTTTTCATCCAAATATCCCTTCAACTAGTTTTCTTGTCTCAGCTGCATGACACACACACAAACACACACACACACACACACACACACACACACCTGAAACAGCAGTCTTCTGTTCTCCTCACATTCCCTCGGCCATCGTTGAGGAAGGAGAGTGCAGCTGCTGACACAAAATAAATGACTTACAGAGGACCGAGAAATCACGTAGCGGTATTAAAGCATCAGGGTTTTCCTCGGGGCGATGCTGCTACTTGTCTTATGATTAATGCATTTGTGTCTAAGGATTTGTTGGTCTATATTTCAAAACATAATCCATACTTTTTGAATTTCTAGATGGCCTGCTGCACTCGCTCTTTCAGCGGGTGGCCTTGTGAGTAGATGTGTTTTCTGCTCTAAATGTTTCATGCAAATAAGAAAAAAAAAAAAAAAAAAAAAAGTGTGGGAAAAACAAGAGGTCCTTAAAGTCATACTCGTATATAGCAGCACTACTGGGTTGATAGACAGCGTCTCCTTTCACAGACTTTATTAGGTAGTTAATTCATAATTCATTACAGAGGAGTGTGGGTTAGGGAATGTAAATCTGCATGAGACACTGGAATATATGTATAAGTATGGGGAGGGGGGCTCCCGGTCAACGCAGTACTTATTAAAACTATTAATATGATCATAGATATACATTATTTCTTTTACCTTTTCTATATTTAGATATATCTTATTCTAACTCTTAATCATTTTATTTAAATATCACCTCAATGCCTATTTTTCCTAACAACTACTAACACTAAATGCACAAGTGTAAAAAACATGATCCTGGGTCTTGAACACACAAATAATCAATAAAAATATATTTGCCATGAAAAAAGCTTCAACATTTAACCAGGTCACTGCCCCGGTTTCTGGCCCAATGATTGAGCACTCACTGACTTAATGGCGTGAAGTCATCGTTTCTTTCTTCTCTTCCTCCGCTACCGTCAGCCAAGCCGCTGCTCCACCCGTCCAGCTTCAGGGAACATAAAAGGAACCGCAGAAAAAAAGTTTCCCAGAGGAGAAGTTAACATCCATGTGGCAAAGGCAATGCAAGGGGAAAGACGTCGATTCACCTGCAATGGAACACACAGTAATACATCACTCATGTCGGATTGGTCTGCCAGCGAATAAGTAACAGTTTCTTAAAGATTCCACCGACTTTCAACAGCCATTGATGCAACAACAGTTCAAACTACTTTAATCATCAACAAAACCAAAGATCTCACTTCTGACCGTGCTGAACCAACAGGAGCAAATTCAGAGGAAGACCTGGAGCCACTGTGTCTAATATAATGAGCAGATGAAGCGAGCGATAAAAGACAAAAGACAGTTATTTTATCACAGGGGTGCACCAACTTTATTATTCTGCTCTTGTGACGGTAACAAGGCCAAACACGGACATCCTTAAATACAACAAAGCTCTCTATGCTGCCACATAACACGTTTCTGCATTGCCCCCCTCTGAAACATAATTCCTATGCGGCTGTAGGCCCTCGAGTTAATAAGTTAGCGTGTAAACAGACGGCAAGAAAAACATGCTTTTTTTGGAAACTACGTGCCATGACTTCAGTGCCATGACCAACCGAAGCAACCAAAACAAAACATTCATAATAAAACAATAATCAAGCAAATGTTTAGTGCACATGAGTTCTGTACCTGAAAGGAAACATACATGCTCAACACGTCTATCTTATGTGCCAACCAATTCGATTTGTATAGATTTAATGCCAACCTCTGTAAAATAAGTTAATTATATATTTCTGGATAGTTTAACACATTTAAAGCAATATGTACATTCAAAACAAAATCAATACAGACTTCTCTAAAGTCACATAAAGGTTCACTAAACTTTTTTCAGCAGTTCACACGACTCTCTATAAACTTATGATTTAAAGATAATGTGACATTAAGTGCCACGCTAAAGCAATTAATACACAAAGATGGCAAACTGTAGGTACAGTGTAGACTCAGTGGACAGGTAGACTTCATCAGTGTGTGTGTGTGTATATAAGACTATACAGTATCTCTTCCTGCATCCCAATGGATGCTCAACATCAGCTGCTCAGTCACAAATTGTACAGATGTGGATTATTTTTATGGGTTGAACACTAGAAGAACGAGCCCTTGAAGGCCATTTAATGTTTGCATTACTCTTCATTAGTACCTGTAGCCTCTCATCTTCTTCTTCTGTCTTAAATCCATCCCAAAACACTATTTACATGCAAGCACTTTCTCCATTATTAAGTTCTAGTGTGTAAAACACAGAACGACCCAAAGCAGTGACATTACATTTGAAGTTGAACTTCTCGGACAGATGGAAGGGGTAAAATGAGAAAAGGGTGACAGGATGATAAATGTAAGCGTTGGTGGTCCAATATAAAATGTTCCCTTTGAATAACCCCTCATCCGTCATGGCGGCTTATACTTCACCCGCAAAATGGCCATTTGTTTATCTATTACTCACACCGTGTTCCCTTGAATGCTTGAAGAAAACATCGTTTTTCTTTTTTCATTCATCACGACTTCTCAGTTTTTCGATTCTTCGTTCACCGTGGAGCCGTGTGAGGAGAAGAACAACGTCTCCTTCAAGAAGTCAAGGCAACACGAGGTGAGTAATTGACATTTTTAAAAAAAAAAAAAAAGGTAATTTTGTAGGTAAAGTATTCCTTTAGGCTGCTTCTAGATCCATCAATTCCATCACTTCATCAGCCACGTCCTCGTCCGCTCTCTTTCCTCCACTCCGCTTTGGATCTCTCCTCCGTCTCTACAGCTCCTGGCACTGAAAACTTCTTCATCACTTCTCTTTCAAACTCCTCCATTTCTTCCTCTATGGCACTATCCTCTTCCTCCTCGTCATCATCATCATCATCATCATCATCATCATCATCTCCTTCCACCATGTCTTCCAGAATGTCTCCCAAATCTTCGACGAACTCTTGAAAGCTCGTCTGGTCGTGAACAAAGACTCCGTCCCTGAAGAACTCGGCGGCTAGCTTCTTGAGCTCTTCTCTTTTGGAATCGTCCACTCCCGCCTCCTCGGCCTTGGCGAGGTACGTTAGGAGGATGGCCTCGAACTCGGGGAAGGGGACGGGGAGCAGCCCCTCGGTCTGAGCGCACGTCTCCAGCGAGTCGCACTGCTGTGGTGGTTTGAGGTTGTGCTGCAGGCGCCGTCTCTGCTGGACCCAGTACTCTGGCTGCTCCAGGGAGGGTCGGCCGTGAGTGTGAGGAAGCTTCCCGTCTCCCCACAGGTGCTCTTCTTTGTGGCTGTGACCAACTTTTGATTTGTGCTCTTCTTTGTGATTCTGAGAGCTTGATTTGTCCTTTTTCCAATCTCCCCTGTGTTTTTTGTCCCTCTCTCCTCCGCTCTTCCACGGTTCTCTCTTTTCCCGCTGTTTCCTCTCATCTTTCATCCTCCACTCCTCGGCATCTTTACTGTTTTTACTCTTCTTCTCATTCTTCCCCTTCCTCTCTTTACCGTGATTTTTGTTCTCTTCCCACTGCTTCCTTTCACCCTTTCCTTTCCCTTCCTTACTACGATCTTTGCCGTCTTTACTCTTCCAGTCACCTTCTTTCTTCTTCCACTCTTTCTTCTCACCTTGCTCTTTCCAATCTTTTTTCTCCAACTTCTCTTTGCCACTTTCTTCAAAGCCATCTTTCCCCTTCTTCCATTCCTCCTTGTGCTTCCCTCCCCAGTCTTTTCCTACCTTCCAATCCTTCTTTTCCTCCTTACCCCTCCATTGTTTACCCTCCTTCCCGTTCTCATGACTTGGCTTTTTCCAATCTTTCTCATCCTTCCTTCCTTTTCGATCACTCTTTTCTATCCACTCTTTCGTCCCTTCCTTATCCTTCCATTGCTTTCCTTCATCACCTCGGCTAGCCTTTTCTTTCTTCCCCTCTTTCTCCCTCCATTGTTTTGTCTCATCACCGTGTCTCTTTTGCTTAACTTCCTTAACTTTCTCCTTGTCAAACATTCCTTGCTCATGTTTTCCCTGTTTCCATTCGGTTTGCCCTCCATCTTTGCGCTCCCTTTTCTCTCCTTCCTTCCACTCAGATTTATCTCTCTCTTTCCGCTCCTTCTTGTCAGCCATGTCAATTGTATCCTTCTTTACATCTTTCCTCTTCTCCCTCTGATCATCCCCTGGCTTCTTGGGCTGTCTCTCTGTAGTTCCAGCTGAGCCCTGCGTGCTGTTCTCTGGCTGGCCACTGGAGGGCGATGTGACGGCCTTCACAGCTGCTTGAGCTGCTTCACTGGCTGCTAAAGGAAACACACAAAGGGACTACAATTACAAACAAGTGATCGTTGAAGTGGGAATAACACAAAAGTAAGCAAAAGGAGGAAACATACTGCTCTTTCCCTAGCTGTCTAACAACTCTCATTCTTCTACATCCTCTACCCTCCTCCCTTTGTACCTGAGGGGAGTTTTATTTCAGTCACAGTGGATCGCAGGGTTTCTACTTCTTTCTGTAGGGCCGGGACAACCTCCAGCTCTCTCTTCATCCTCTCGTTCTCTTTCTGAAGGACAGGGAGAGATGCCATCTCTTTCTTCAACCTACTGTTTTCCTTCTCCATCTCCTCCCACAGCAGTTGCTCCTTCGCTCCCTCCTCTGCCTGTAGCTGGGCTACTTTTAGCTCTTCTTTCTGTTCGCGAAAAAAAAAAGACAGGAAAAGAGGGTCCTGTGAGAATACGATAAACTCAGTGACACGTTTATGCACACACACATTCATGTATAGATGTATACCGTACACACACACACACACACACACACACACACACACACACACACAGTGAGAGACAGAATGGAGTCACACCTGAAGTTGGGCTTGTAGCACAGCAATCGGCTCGTTCCCTTTGGCTAACGTATTTAGAAGCTCTGAACTGTCAGCATCTACTGGGAGTGGAGGAACCTCGGGATTAAGCCACTCCTGTCAACAAATTGCAAACACAGTACAACAAAATGACAAGATTTTAGACGACTTCTCAGAATAAGCGTCGCCAGGCTGAGTAGTCGAGAAGTGAGAGAAGAGTGCGCGACGGACAGGAAAGAACAAAAGTCCAGAATAGCACAGTTGGTAGACGATAGCAGTGATGTTGCCAGTGTTGTGGGCGATCTCCAGCTGACATATCACACTAAACATTCATGTGGTGGTACTCAATGGACTGTAAACTAGGTACACAAATGGTATTCATAATGAATAGCAGTTAGAAAGAACACAGACAGAAGAGAAGAAGTGACAATGTGATGTCAGACTGACCTGTTTTCCTGGAGCCTCTGCATCTTTCAGCTCCATCGTACCATAGTCGCTCTCTGCAAATGTATTATGCAAAGCATACCGTTCATGAGAATGAAAACACGTCAAAGGAAACAAGCAAAAGCTTTGCGTATGAAGGTGAAAACGCCACCTACCCAACAACAAGCAAGACTTTTATCACCGAATGTGTTCTCCTCATGCGCATATAAACAAGGTTATGAACTTTATATTTATTGCTGGTTGAAAACCGTGCATCTCCAATTTTCAGTTTAAACTTTTGTTAAAATTCAAATTTATAGATCCTCAAAATCAGGCATTTCGCTAGAAAAGATATGACGATCAAGCTCATAATTATTGGTTTACATTAAGGTTTTCATTCAACAACAGAAAATAAGCCTCATTGTAAAAGTGCTTAAATCATTCTTCCTTTGCTCTCTCACACACACACACACACACACACACACACACACACACACACACACACACACACACACACTTTAATATTCGCTTTTTAAAGAGGTGTCAGATGCAAAACACTTTTTTTTTTCTGCATGCACATTCAAACATATGCTGCGGAAAAGAAAGCACTCCTTCACAAACAAGTACACACAGAACCTACCCTCATCCAGGTCCATGAAGACACCTGCAGGCATAATACACCTCAGTCTCAGAGCACCTCGTTTACTTATAGTAATGCAGCATTTTTCTCTGACTAACGTCACTTTAAAGTCTTAAAAAACATTAATACAGTTCCGGGCAAAACAAATGGGATGTTTACCTTCTCCACAGGTCATATATGGATGCCTACCTGAGAAAAAGATGGTGCCAAGGCCTAACAGAATGACAGCACCCAGGATGCATTTGTTCACAGAGAAGCCGCTGTTGTTGTCGTCCTCCTGTCGTGGCAGCTGGAACTCTTCCTCTCCTTCCTCTTCCTCCTCTGTCCTTCCGATCCGCTCCAGAGCTGCTAGGAGAGACCTCCTCCTCCTCAGCTCCGGCTCCTCTCCCGTCTCCTCAGTTGTCCCCTCGCCCACAAGGGAGTCTGGAGCAGTGGAGAGGAAGAGTATGAATGTTACTATTTTTGACTATTACTTTGCAATTAACATATTTGAATTTATTCTATGGGTACCCCCCCAAGGAATAACTGTTGAAAGAAGCTTATCATTAAATGTGTCTGTATCCATTACACCATTTTATTTTCTGCCATGTTTATTATTTTCAAGCCGCTGCACATTATTGGGCTTACATTTGCTCTTGCATTTGCAAAGTGGATGTTTTATAGCACAGCAGCTGCGGCGCCGCCAATGGTCTGATGCCACAGTGTACGCCTCATGGGAGATAAGACTTGTTTCTTTATTGGCTTTGCTTTGCATGACACGCTGGTTAATTTGCTCCATTGCCATTCCTTATTTTCCATTTAACTGCATACATAAACGCTGGAAATCTTGAATAAATCACCTGGAATGTGATTCAAATGCTTCACTTTGGAACTTCTGGCATCAAAGTTTCCAATGTGCATCACAATGTATTTTTAAAAGAGCCATGAAAAATAATAGGGCACTGTAAAGAACTCACTGACACTGAACTCTAGCTGGTAAACAAAAAAGTGCATGAAAGAATGCACAACAGAGCAGAAGAAGACTCATTTTCTTTAATGCTGTAGCGAGGGAAAAAGAGCTGCAGACCAAAAGCACCACACTGCAAAAAACTTTTGAGGTCCCAGTCCCTCTGAAGCCAATTTACTTCTGCAGGGTGTCATGCAGCTAAAGGCTTCTCTGTCCCATCATGCTCTCTGCCTCGTACCAACCACGGCCTCTCCAGACAACCTCCTTGCCCAGATACTGAACAACTCCATAACCAGCTGGTCCACCAAGTACACTTCAAACACAAATGGTAAAAAAATAAAAAAGGAAAGGACACAGGCATAGCAGGAGATGGTTTTTATAAAACCACACATAATAAAGAATGATGCTGAGGTTATTAGAATATTAATCGAATGATGAAGAGTCAAACCTTCTTGTTCATACCTTCCTGTTTCCATAAGTCAGTTGTTTTCGGAAACAGGTCTGACCCCTCCCCTTCCTGTTGTAGCTCCGCCCTGTTCAGCGGATGCAGTGTTCCTTCCTGTGTGAGAGACTCGTCTTCCTGCGTAAACTCCGCCTCTCCCAGAGTCTCTGTGCTCAGCAGCGAGGCTGAGGGCTCATCAGGGGAGGAGTGGCTTACGTGGGCGTAGGAGTCAGCAAATGAGTCGGGGTCAGGGCCTGACAGTGCCGGGCCCTCGGGTTGGCCCTCTGACTGGACGAGTGCATCGCTGTCAGAGACTTCCGAAGAGGCGGGAGCAGAAGCATCAGTGACAGCGTGTTGCTCTGTGCTCGTGTCTGCACTTAACTCTGCAGTTGTTTCTTCTGATACCTGGGCAAAAGAATCAGAGCATTACAATCCCTTAATTATTGCACTGAAAGTGAAAGGTGTTAGAACTACCTTTTAGAATTGTTAAGCAACAAGCCTAATTAAAAAGCAGACGTTTTAAACTAATTGACTTTGAGACGGGGATCCAGAATTCATTTCAGGGTTTTAAGATTCATTCCTGCAGCAGTCTTTAGTCCAGGAGGATATCGTTACCGTCCAACTGAGCCAAGCTAGCTGTTTCCAGTCTGTTTACTGTGTGAAGCTATCCGTCTGCTGGCTGCAGCTTTATACTTCATAGACTTGGATCAAAACCATTTTCATATCTGTCTGAGTCAATTAGTTTATTTTTCAAGATGTCGAACTATTCAGTGAAATGTTTCTGCATTTTGTCCACCTGCCTTTAATAAAGAATAGAATAACCATACAAGTGTTAACTTTTAATATGGTAAATAGAAACTTTATGTTGAATATTATTTTATAAATCAATCAAGAAGCTGTAACCAGGTAACGGTTGAAATGAGTTATACTCAGTAAGAAGGGTCATATTGTAGCTATACACACACACACACACACACACACACACACACACACACACACAACACTGAAATGACGTGTCCTGCCGTCTTACCAGGCGGCCCTCCACAGGAAGCCCCTCTGCAGACTCTGCACAGTTTCCAGGCTGGTTCTCCCCAGAACCTGGATGATAAAACACAGACACAGTAGGAAAGAAGGAAACCTTTAGAGCAACAGTTTAACATATTTCCATTGTGAATCTTTGACATTTTTTATTTTCTCATTTTTGAGGATATTTCTATTTTCATTTGATTAATTATCAGAGAAGCCAAATGGGTAAGATGGGTAAGACACAAATTAAAAACTAGAAATTACAATAGATTTGTTTGTTAGAACTATGTTTTTTCTGAGCCTAAATAATCTTAAAATCCTCAAATGTATTGTGACAAACACCTGCTGCAGATGTGAGGCTGTCTCCATGATGCTCTGTCCCCTCTGCCAAAGGCCTCAGGGTTTCAGCGACAGTCTCCTGGAACCAACAGACAGTCAATGGACACTACGCACAGATAACATTTGGATTTATTGCTGGAGCAATCCAGGCTAATCTGAACATACAGTTCATGTATGTTTCTGAGCACCAGCAGTGACTGAGCATCACTTTCTGAAACAACGGGTGTATTATTACAGAAACCTACTTCATATCCAGGTGACCCAAAAGAAAATCAATTGGGACAAGCAGTGTTCTTTGCATTTTCAACGAGGTCTATCAAAGTGACTTTTCTCAGAGTGGTGGTACCTCAGGAGTGAGGATGGTCCAGCTGTTAGCACTGCTGCCGCCAGACATGGCCCCCTAGAGGCTGTGCCTGTCTCCTGCAACACAACGGGAATATACAAAAACAGATGACATGATTCATATTTAATTAATAGAAGAAATCAAACTAGATGAATACATCGCAATCTTTATACACTCTGACTCAAAGCTGGCTGTGCAACTTTCAAGTGGGAAAACCTGAACTTAGGTTTGTTAACTTTAACAATGCACTTTGTATTGAAGCGAGTGAGGAGGTGTGCTGTTCAGAGGGCTGCCACTGGACCACAGTTAGGGTGACTGTGCGAGTACTGCAGCTTCAAGAAATTTACATCCTCTGTTTACCCATGAGCAAGATTTGAATACATGCCTTTGCTATTCGGCCTCACCCATTCTGCCAATAACAGGAGCTACTGTAACACATTGCTCTCTTTGTGTGCGAGTACATGAGCGTCAGTGTGCAGGAAGTCCAGGTCCCCGGGACAATTCAGTTCTTCATTAGTAGTTTGCGGGTGTTGCGGGCCTTTTAGTCACCCTGGCTTTTGACTAACTGGGGAAAAGTTTTGGCACGGGACGCGGGTAACCAAGGCCGGCACCATTCTAGGGGTACAGACAGCAGAATGGGCTGTCCATTTCAAAGCTACTGGTCCGTTAATATACATCTCCAAACCATCAAATGTCAACTGTAAATACCTATTCCGATGCATACAGTACTAAGGAAAGATGCACATATGGTGCAGTCTTACCTGAATCTCCGTCTGTAGTAATGTATCTGACCAACACAACTGTGTCTTTTCCAGACCAAGATCACTCAAGCAGAAACAGTCTGACATTTCAATTTCTATCGGCTAGTCAGAAACAAGCGTCAGGTATTACAGCTGCATAAAGCCTTTCCTCTCAAACAGAAGCAGACACAACAGAGATGCATATTTATCCCGTGTAGTCTGGCTTTCTTTCTTCAGTGAATGCAGAAAAGAGCTAACCACTTACATTAACACCACATTGTGTGGGTAATGACACACTTCACTCCCTAAATTCAATTCTCTCCCAGCTCCGCAATTTAGGTCTCCTAATTGAGTGGCTCCCAAGAGAAGCCGACTGAATCTAGCCTAGGGCCCGAGGAGCATTGTGGGGCGTATATTGGAATGGCTTAAATAGATACCGACTAAATATAGCTACCGTGAGATTGAGTAGAGACAGAACGGAGGAGCATGCAGAAGATGGCCATGGGGAACACAACAGAGGCAGAAAATGTATTCTAATGACAGCATTAAAATCATTATTTCAGCTGCATCACAGAGCCGGTGGAGGATCATTTCCACTGCCTTGTAGTCTGTTCTTCTTACTCTCTGATCTTTAAGAGTGATATCTGATACAACCTGTGAAGCTCTAGGTTTGAGCTCAGTTTATTAATACGTTTTTAAAACAAACACTTTTCTAGTTTCAAGGCAATAGCAGCCACGCTTTTATTTATTTTTCCTTGAGCAATGCATGATCACAGCTGTAGGCCTAATCTTATTAACTTGGTCTCAGCAGGGAAGAAAAATTACCAAAAAAGGTCACGAGAATAAACTGCAAGACAGGCCAGTAGGACAGCAACGTTGGGCTATCAGCTAAGGCGCCATGAACAGCACGTTCACACACAGCATCATCAACAAAGCAGTTTATCACACGGTTATGTAGCTTAGTTATTCAGACTGCTTTGAGTGAAGGAGTGTGAAGCCTCAGACAGGAAATATCAAAGAAATATAAAACTTTACGCAGAGTTAAATTCAGAAATATCACTTTTTTTTAACGTGTTAAAGGCCAATGTGAGCAAAGTTAAGCACGTAAGGGCTTAAAAGCCATGCTAATTGTTAACATTAGCTATTAAATACAAATACTTACCACCTCAACAGTCAAACAAGCAACCAGGAAAAAGTGCGTGAAACGACGTTGGTGACGTGACGGAACGGAAGAACTAACGACAACAGAAGAGACGTCGTTACTCTGAAATAAAAACACATGTACGTTACATCCACATTCGGTTAGTTGTTACCGTGGTTCGTCGCTTTACTTCAGTCCTCACCGTCTGTCACAGATACAGCAGACACTTCTGGGGCTTCCCATCCAACTTGCAAACTTGTGAAGTGCCTCCTAAACTTGCGTGATCAACGCGCCTCTCCGCCAATCACAGACGGCGTTTTGCTCTCTAGTCCCACCTCTCGCTCTCCAGTCCGACCAATGGCAATGGAGCATGATTGTTCTTTACTGGTAAACGTTCCAAGTTGATTGGCACGCGCAGGTGATGGTGAGTATGTCAAACATACATCATATATAATATATATGATAACACCACCGCTCCTCTGGCATTTAATGCTGGTAGTTCGTAGTCTTGGGCTGATTCCGGTAACAATATCCTCCTTTCCCATATTAGATAGTTAATGTATCCTGTTTTTGTTTAATTTAAGTCATAAATTGGACCTCTATAAAGACATGCTTCTTTGCTATCTTTGTCAAATGAAATAAAAACAAGCCTTAAAGTCTTATAAAAGTCAGATAAAAGTTTGTTCGACACCTAAACCAAATTAATTGCATTTTTTTTCTTTACAGTATATGTTTACAATAAGACTAAGCAAAACAAAATGAACAAAAATGCAGACATAAAGGTAATATTATTTCTAGTCATTCGTTCCTTTATTCATTGCACACCAGTTTGTGTTGTACAGTGAACATCAGGGTTGCCATTCCTCAAGATCTCAGATGAGCAGGGTTGAACTCAAGAAACTTTGACCCACTCTCACGGTGAACATTTGTAGCTTCTGTAAATGTGCAAGTGTGTTTCCTGGGACCCAAGAAGAGCATCCTACAGACACTGAAAAACAGATAAAGAATATTTTAACATTGAATACTATGATGTACACCTATTCCTTATTGAAATTGCTGCTGTCTAAACTTGAGAACCTCGCTTTGAGCAGTTCAAAACATTAACTGCATTATATAAATTAGACCGAGTTCACTAAGTGCTCAAGTGGTTTGTTGTCATACGAGACAAGACTCATACTTGCCAATGCTTTGCCAGCACCGCTGATCAAACACTCCATTCCCAATGAAATAAAAGCTGGTTGAAATTACACTATAGGAGCCAACGGAGAAAAAGGGAAAATCAATGTTTGACCACTCGATCTACTCTCCTTCAGTCTGTCAGTCCAGGATCTCTTTGATGCACCAGCAGCAGAGGAGGAAGTAGAGGCATTCCTTAATCGACTGGATGAAACCATAGGCGACGTTTCCGCCAAGGAAGTTCTTGCCTCTCCCCAGACCCATGGCCATGTCCCTTAGGTTCTGTCCCAGAGAGGACGGCATGGCCTGAGGAAGAGGACGCTGGGGATGCATGGCTCCGAAGAGGGAAAAAAAAGAGGCAGAGGCAACAAGGAGGGCAGTCGATGAGAAGAAATAGAAGCTGGGGTCTGGCAAATCGGATCAGACTGGGCCAGTGCGACAGCTGAGGTCTGTTTCGTATTCCTGGCACAGTTAGCTCCTCTACTTATAACCTCCTAAACAAAATTTGGCTGCCTCCATTCACATCCTGCTTTTTCTCGACTGTTCCCCGCTTTCAAACATCTGCTGATTGATTAAAGGCCTTGTTTATCTATGCTGTGCACTGTTCCTCTCTGTTGTATAGTACCCCACACACAGACTCTCCCCAGGCTCTAATATTCCCTGAATCAGCTCCCAACTGTTACACGCTCATCTGTTCCCAAACAAGAGAGTTCCAGTAGCACCAATACAACTCCCGTCGCATCTCTCTCTTTGTTCAGGAAAGTATGCGACAGGTTATCACACCTTCTAGCGGTGCGTGCTTTGTTGCTTCATTTTCCATCAACGTTTTTGGTGTACTTTGAGGGAAAAATTAAAAGGATTTTTTACAAAGCCTTTCCAACAAAGTAATAAACACAGTTACTCAAATCAAAAGACCAAACTCACAAAGAGAGATGAATGATATACGTATTTATATATGCAATCTATATTTTCAGATACAGGTGTAAACAGAAATGTTTCCCTATAAACAAACAAAAAAAAAGTATTAAAACAGAAACGTATAGAGTAAAAATGAATATCTGTGCACGCTATTTGAAAGTAAACTTTGGCTTTCACAACTTAAAAAATACAACATCATCATCAACAACACTATCACCACCACCAACAACAAATAACACATTTCTTTTTTTTTAAAGGATTTTCATGCAACAAAGGCATCTGTGATGAGCGATGACAGCACAAGACTGGGTCACTAATCATGCAGAGGGGCAGGTGGGTGTGTTTCAGCATACATACACACACACACACACACACACACACACACACAGTAATGGCAGATCTTAAAGCTCTGGTTTTCCCATCTCAGACCTACAAACACCTTAACAGGCTGAGTGCGAGTACCTGACTGACCCAGATGTCACTCTGGTACGAGTGTTTGTGTGCGTGCATGTTAGACCCTGAACCGGGCTCACATATAATCTGAGAACTAGTCGACAGTAAAAAGATTCCCTCTCATATTTCAAGAGTTTGGCCTCGATCTCTTTGACAACTGTCTTTAAGAAGAGCTACCTCAGCACTCTGGTGTCTGTGCTACTTATCAATTACACCGTTGAAGATACAACTATGAGAACAAGGATCCAATACTAAGCTGACCAGTCAAAAGTGGATGTTATATACAGATGGTCAGGAAATAACCCCACCCTGAAGGTGACATCAAGTATCTGTGACTATAAGCTGTATGCAAGAATGTGCATCAGAGGAGATTGCCATCACTGGATCCGTTTGTGTGTTTATTGGAGTGTCATTTTTGCAGTGTCTTTGTTTAACTGAGAGGCTTGTGTAAGATTCTCCTGTAGTCCACTACATTTGAATTAAGTACATAAGGTGACTGCATTGAAGTGACGAGACTGCATTGAAGAAACAAGGCACAATTAAAAATATATTAAAAAACAACAACATCATCATGAACTGAGGGGGGGGAAGAAGAGGACAGGAGAAACAATAGCGTGAACCCCCCCACCCCCGATCCTCAAGGTTTTGAAAACAGCATCAACAACATTTAGCTTAACATTAGCAATGCTCCCCCAAACCACTTTTTTTTCTTTTTTTTTTTTTTTTTTAAAAAGGTCATTATTCCCTCAAGTGATTACAAATGAAAGCAACATCACGATGCACAAAATTACCTAACCGGTTACAATGACATATTTTGCATCATTTTTTTTGCAGAGGGAAATTCATTTCTTAGACTATTCAACATTTCTCATGAGCCAACGTTTAAAGGGGCCCCTCTTTAACTACTCTCCTTCGCTTTCAGTCAGAATCCTCTGTAAAGACACAACCCTTGATTGTCAGTGCAAAACACATACTAAGGTGTCAATGAAAAGCAACAGGTCAAAGTGATGCTCTTCGTAATGTAGTTGTTCTTGTGTTTGACATCATCGCACAATTTACTTTAAAAATCTCCATTTTAATGATGTATTCAGGCATAACCGCATCGATTCTTCTCCCCTCTAAAACAGGCTTATTTTCATTTGCTTTCTAAAATCTAAACTTGCTCCCAATGCTGTAAGCACACTGATAATTGTCATGGCTTTCTCCGCTGTTAGCGACCGAGTTCATGTTCTTTGGCATGACAGGTGGTGCAGACCGTGTGTGTTCTTAAAGGTGTATGTGTAACTGTGTTTACGGAGGGATTAGGGAGATAGAGCTGTTTAGATCCTCCTCAACTCTGAATGTCCAACAAGGAATGAGTCCCAAGATAACAGATGGAAATAAAAAGAGAACGTGGTCATCGGTATAGCAGTCCCCCAGTTATGCATACAGGCTTTCATCATCACCAGGTATCACTGGAGGTGGTTGAAGTTCAAAGTCCTTAGAAGGGGAGTGGTTGGGGGTCGGGTGGCCCTCCTGATTGGATTGGAAGCAAACTCGTTAATGCATATTCACCATGTTTTTTTGTTTCTTTTTCAAAGTCAGATTTGCTGCTGAAGTGCTCCAGTGACACTTGAGGGGAGAGTTCATGCTTGAGCCTGGGTCTGTTTCGGAAACAACGAACCGTTACCATCAAGTTTGTGTTTTGCCTAACACGCTCCAGCAACCGTCTGAGGAGGGAAATCATTTCCCCGTATGAAACAACAAATGCTTAAAAGCACTGAAAATCTCATTCGTTGTCCCATTTATGCTCCTTTCTTCACGTTTCAGTTCTGCTATTTTTTTTGTACAAGATTCCATGTATTAGTAAAATGTTCTGTATTTTTGTTTTTCATTATCGCATGTTAAGATTTTTTGTTGTCCTTAAAAAAAATAAAATAAAATTGCATTTGTTTTCTGCCCTTTCGGAAATTAGCAAAGGGCTCCTCCCTGGTTCACAGTAGGCTGTTGAGAAATTGCAGCAGTGCTTCTCCGTTGAGGAGTGATGCGCCTGATAGTTGTTTGGTGTAGAAGACTGCAGGTCACAGTTTGGCTTTCAGAGAGGACAGGAATATGTAGCAACAGCAGCAAGTGAGGGATTTTACAAAGAAACTGGTGATTCTTTTTCTTTTTTGGCTTTCTTTGCAATGGTGTGTGCATATGTATTACTGCATGTGTGTGTTAAGGGTAGCGTTGAAGTGTGTGTTATAGCATACAAAGGTGTGTTTGTCTTGTGATGAATTGCTGCAGGAGCGTGTGTATATTTGGTGGAGTAAATTCATTGGTGTGTGTGTGTGTGTGTGTGTGTGTGTGTGTGTGTGTGTATATTGTCAGGCTCTGCGCTCTACTGGCTGTTGCAGACACACTTCGCTCCCAGCTGAGACGATGGGGAGTCTGTTGTCCATGTGGTAACTGATCAGGTGACTCACACTTTCAAACCGATGATCTTTTGTACGGACCTAAAAGACAAAAGAAATAAAAGCATTAAAAGGCACATTTGCATACAAACCTATACAGCTACATGTTAGGAAAACACTACTTACAAAATGGCCCCTGACCATTCCTGCCTCTCCCTCCCCTTTTAATCCCTCCTGCCCTTATTTTCTCCTCCTCCCTCCCTGACTCACCACTCCTTCTGGGTCGACTAGTAGCAGGTGTTTGGGCTGACCCCCCTGCTGTCCCGTGAGGACGTACTGTCCGGCCGTGGTCCCAGACTCTCGGACCAGAAAGTCTCCGTCGCGGGTCAGCAGCCTCTCTGCTTCCCTGCGACTTAAGCTACCGTGGAACCAGGATTCGCACAGCAGCTGCTGCACCAGAGGGGGCGCTGCCGTCACAGAGACTCCCAGGGCATCGTCAAATGGCTCTTAAAAAATAAACACACATACATTTGTAATATTGCATTTCTCTGTATATATAGCAAACATTGTCTTCTTCTTTCCACTTAGAACCCAAATGACTGGACTTTGTCCAAGCCAACCACATTATTTGACAGTCGCATGCTAAACACTGATAGTGGACTGCGTCTTTAATGTGAAAAGCTTTACGCAGTCAACCAATCTTGTTACATAAAATGGCCCTGTAATGGACAAAGGCATTCTAATTCCCTTATCTTCCTCCAAGACTGACATCTGTGGGCAGCTCCACTCTTCAATTAGCCCGCCTGTACAGTACACACTACTCTGCTCTGCTCTTCTCCTGAGTCAACAATTAACCCTTACACCCGCCACATGGTAAAACAACTGCATGTTTGTGTTACTAGTAATTGTGGTCATTTTGATTACAATGCACACATCTTGTCACTTGTAAAAAATGATTTTGTCTACCTCCACTGCTCAGTGTGTTGGGACAGCAGTCCATTTCAACTTGACTGGTATGATACTCCCAACACAACATGGGTGGACTGGCTAAAGGCACTTACTCATGTCAAAAGCATCTCTGTGAGCATTTCCATTAGCTGCAACTGGGAGGCGGGGTTTGTCCACATTGACGTATGAAGGGTCATCAAACAGTTCCCTTCCGCCTTCTTTGGCACCCACTAGAAGAAGAAGAAAGAATAGAACGGGAAAAAAGACCAGTGACCGTGGCACATTTCCTCATCAGCCATGCACATTACATGTTCTTTGAACAAGACACGACAAGATAAAACAAAGCAAAAAAGACAGATGCAGACAGACAGGACAGACAGAGACTCACCTGGTAGAGGCGGCAGAGGCTGCTTGTGAATGTCATTCTGGCCTGGCTGTCCGTAAGGCTGCAAACACAGAGGCATATAAACAAATAATGAGTCACAGCCACATGTGGGCATACATATTGTATCCATACACAAATAGATTCCTATTAAAAGGGTTACAAAAGGTTAAATGATGATTTATCTATCACAAACCACACAACTGTGATTGCCTTTTAGTGTCCTAGGCTCAGAGCTAGGCAAGTCTGACACTTTCTGTTCAGTTATTGAATTCCTTTCAAGTGCATCTTCTCTTAACTGCAGTGGGAGTGGTGCTTAGATGTGTTGAAGCATGCGTATGAGTATCTTATCCCCCCCTGTTGTGTGTATGTGCAGTTTTCTCACCAGCGTGGCACCTGGGCGGGTCCTCATGTCAATCAGTCCACCAGGGGGAGGCTGTTTTCCAGGGAAATTATTATAGTAAGGGACGTCAGGAGGTGGAGCGGCCTCATCATCTTCTTCTTCCTCCCATGCAGAGCCGTCAAACGGAGCCATTCTGAGAGAAAACGGGCAGATATAGATTATGGGTGACGAAATACAAACATAAGCTCACATTGAGGGACATTTTTCACATTTACCTGTCATGAGGTGTGACCAGTTTGGGGGGGTTCTTTAGGTACTGTTTGAAACGCAGTTCAAAGGCCTGACCGATGGTGCTGATGACTTCCTGGGCTAAACCCTCTGAACACTCCAGGATATGACACGCTGAAGGAGAGGAGGCACAAACGACTAATAAGGAAGCTGTAGCAACACGTATTCGAATGAAATATGTACTCCGTTTGTTGAACTGCAGGCAAAGTATCAAATTGTTCACGCTTGTGCATTTTCAGCAACAGTACATTCATGTACATGTGCCTTGCTAGAGGACACATTGGCAGTCATTTCTTTAAAGAAAGAATCCATGCCATTCACCTTACCTACCAGTTTTCCCTAAAATGACAGGATTACATAGAAAACATGAGGAATGTTTAAAGTGGTGTTGTGTGTTGGTAGAACCGTAATGCAGATGAACTAATTATCTTCAATATATATCGTTTTGTTGCTCCTGAGAACAGTGTTTGTTGTCCTTTGTATTTGCCATCATTGCATGGACAATTATATATTTAGCACATAAGCAATAATAAAGCAGACTGTGCCAAACAATTAAAAACAGTCCTGGTACTTGCTATGCCCATTTGCTGGTAAATGTACTGTTATCTTCCTTCACTCTGCTCACTGAGTCTGTAATGTCTCCAGTGGGCTGTGTGCAAAATTCAAAAGGAGAGTAAGAAATAAATAGAGCCATATCATCTATTTAATAGGATTCATTTATTCATTACAATTTATGTCATAAAATGACTCGTTTGTATTAAATAATTTACAGGAATTGCTGAAAGTGCAATGTCAACATCTGTATTGCTATCCAATGAGCCAGAGTGAAGAGAGAAAATGTGCAACTCATGTACTGAAGCAACACGTTATTTTTAAAGTGTGTATTTTGCCAGATGCTGCCAGAGGAAAGGTGTGATTTTTCTGTTTCTTCTCACCTCTCTGGTTGACTGGGTCTTTGGCCACATATGCTACGTACTCAGCTGTATCCTGAGGGAGACAGGGTAAAACAGTCAGGGGAGGAGGGGAAGGAGGAAAATGGATTGGAAGACGAAGTGAAGGGCAGGTTTAGGATAGAAAGGTTGAAAAGAACAAGAAGAAAGAGATAAAGCAAAAGCTACAGTCATAACAGAAGCTAAAAAAGCATTGAGCTGAAAGAGAAGAGACAGGAAGTAACAAGATCAAGCTCCGAAGAGAGAGAGACTGCAGACCAGCGAGACAGTAATGGAGTGAGTGGCATTCATAGGAATAGACAATGACAGAAGACAGGAAGGAAGGATATGCAGGCTGAAGAAAGATGGAAAAAGGCCAGAGTGAGATTGAGCTGAGAGAGTGACTCACTGGGTCTCCTCCAGAGGCGAAGGAGATGGACTGCATGTGATGATTGGCGATTATCTGTGGAGAAAAAGAGAGAGAAAGAGAGAGAGACAGAAGGAGAGCACGTGGGTGACATGAAGTATGTGGGAAGTGAGATGAAAGCATGTGGACGGAGAGACAAATGTGGAATCATTACTGAGAAAAGTGCTTTTTCCCCTCCATTGAGAGGCATCAACTGCAACAGAGAGTGGGACCGCGGATGGAACACCTTTTTAACAGTCTGCAATAACCGCCCATGTTGGATCAATAACAACATCAACACTAGCTAATGCGCCGTGCACAATGTGCGGTCAATATCCGTGGCTTTATTTGTGAATGGACATATTTGCAAGATACGTTTCTTTGTGCTACATGTTAATGAGGGTGCACTGCACTGCTGTACACCATCTCCCAAAAGAAATAAACATCTTTCAGCAGTTATTAACTCATAAACGGAGGATCACATCCTGCCCCGCGGCGATGCAGGAGTAGAGACGATGGTTAGGAGTGATTTGCGCTGCGTCCAGAATAAATGAGGCAAACAAAGTGGAGAACCTGGCCTTTAAAAAAGTAAGTCTGTATAATCCTTAAATCCACATGAAGTCTCTCAGGCAGAGAGATCCTCAGCTTTACTCTGCTTCAATCAACTGCACAGGCTAAGTGCACTCTGGATACCAAACATACCTCTGGCCACAACAGAGCTCCATCAATCAGATGCATCTTTGACTCACAGTCAAATCTCTGGCGATCGGGGACAAATCTACGTCAGCGATGGAGTTTTTGAGGAAGAATTCGCACAAAAGCAGCTCCAAGAGTGGGCTGGTTTCAGTCTTACCTGTTTGCAGTCGGCGGCCAGCAGGTTGAGGCTGCTGGTCGAGATGGTGAGGCTGATTGTCATGCCGGCAAACTGCAGGTTACTCTTCCCCAGGATGGATGTCATACAGCGAGAGGAGGGCTGCGAAGGACAGGGATGCGGTCCGTGAGTAAAAAACAAACAAGGTGCACAAACAGAAAACAACAGGCCTTCTTTTTTTCTTTTAACTTAACAAGGCGCAGTAGTCCATTGAGTCCTCCCTGCCTGTGCATGAGCCTGGGGGCGTATGTGTGGACAGGCCTGCCTGTGTGTGTGTGTGTGTGTGTGTGTGTGTGGAAGTGGAAGAACAGCTGCAATTGTGAACGTGATCCTGTCTCCGAGGCCAACTGTTACCAATGGAGACCAGACAGGACAGCTCACATACTGAAGGCTGGGCCAAGAGCATCAGGCAGACCACACCAGCACTATTGTGCCAGCCCGTTTATCCCGATCCTCCTCCTGTTCTCATGGCTTTCATCCATATCTGCTCCAGAATATTTGGCGTACGCTGTGAGAAAAACAGCATCAGGGCAGGATGCCCGTGCTCAGCCACACTGACCTCAGTCCAGCCAAACCAGAGGGACCGGACTGGTTTTCAGCTATTCTAGTTTACATCCTTTAACTGTGTTTTGTCTGGTGCGCCAGACATTCCTTGCTCAAATCAGACTACGGCAACAGGCCGCTAGATTTAGCCACCTGTTTTATGGACTGTTTGGGTGGATGTTTGGAGTTTTATAGGAATACTGTACACAGACACACGCAGTCTAAACACACGCAGACTGTCGGCTGTGTCTGCTCGTCTGCAATGCTTCTTTGGCTTGACAGTGGCTCCTCACAAACTACTACTCCACCTCTCCAGCCTCCCTTGTGACAAGAGGGCGGGAAAAGGGAGACCAGAGAGTGATTGGTAATTACCTGCGAGTAGCCCACTAACCGCAGAAGTGTACAATCATCCTAAATCAAGATGTGTGTGTGTGTGTGTGTGTGTGTGTAAGAGGGAGAGTGTGTGACTGAATAGCCAACTGACCACAGAGTGGACAATCAAGCTAAATCTAGCTCTTATGCAGAGAACCTTTCCCACTGCTGCCCACTTAAGCCATATAAATAAATAATGCCGTGTAAGGGTGTGTGCTCGTGTACATGCTGTGTACCTTTCTCCTGCGCTGGGCTCCTTTGGCTCCGGGCACGGCCTCGCACACCACAGAGATTGCCTCCCTGAAACATTGACAACATGCAAGTGTTGTAATAGCATATATCATTAACCCTCACACCTTCCCTGAATCACAATTTATGTGGATTAAATGGGATCTGGCGGCGGGTGATTGAATTTGTCGTCCCTAGACTGTGCTCGTCTTTGCCATGGAGACAAATATCACTACGGAAACCAGAAGGAAACCACCAGGATTCCAGAACATTCTGATTTAGGTGCTGGGAGAGCTGCAGGCATGTATACACACACACACACACACACACACGCACACGCACGCACACACACAGTTAGACACTAACTCAAGGGAGAAACAAGCAAGCAAGGAAAAGAGAGCAGCAGCGGGACAGAAATAAAAGGTAAGCAGACATAAATATATGAGAGGTGAGCGGTGTTCCTCTAAGTCTGAGCACACCTCCTCCATCTCGCCCCCCCACATGAACACAAACGCGAGATTAAATGAGAGAAATGGCAAGCCAGCAACGCATGAGCTGTGTGCAATCTCACCTGGTGACCTGAGTTCTGGTGTTGAAGTCCAGCGCCCGCATTGACTGTAGCACCTCCACGCACCCCATGTACTGCACAGGAAACAGGAAGGCAACACATTAGCATCCAGACATTTCCTGCATCACCGTCACATTGGACAGATGGAACACAACAGAGGAAGAAAGCAAAGGCAGTTCTTTACGCATTTCGAGGAGGGTGTATATAAGCAAAGAAACTGTCTGGAAAGAAAGAAGTGTGCCAATCACTTACGCGTACACTGTAGGAAACACCGGTGGTGCTGACCACACTGTCGGAGTGCAGCCAGCCGCGGGTGGGCTTGTTGACAAAGGAGCCATGGCGCGTCCACTCATCTCCTCCCAGCTGCCCTCCTTCCACGCGGGCCTTCCTGGCCGACGCTTCCGCCCGGGCCTTCCTGGACGCCCCTCCCAGCCGGTTCATGTCCTGCAGAGGAGGTCGAGGAGGGGGAGAAGGAGCGGTTAAAGGGGGAATTGGGTGATGAAGCGGAGGGGAGGAGCTGAAGCTGCTCCGGTTGCCCCCGTAGAACTCGACCAGAGCACGAGGCTGCTGCGGCCTGCTTGAGGCCTTGAGTCCTGGGAGGAGAGTGGCAGAGACACCCAGGCGAAGGGACCCCATCCTGGGGAAGAAGGAGCAGAGGGTGGTGGGGCTGTTCTCAGCCGGGCGGGGAGAAGACGGTGGCAAGATAGGAGTGAGAGACGAGGAGGAGAGAGAAGAAGGTAAACCAGGGGAGGGAGTGAGCGGGGTGGCAGGACAGGAAGGAGGGAACGATGATGGATTGGAGTTTGTTTCATCAGTTGAGCTCAGCGACTCACTCCGAAAGTGGGTGTACTTGGTTTTTGGGACGAGTTCCATAATGAATCTACAGTGTCAGTTTTTGTATCCGCAGAAGTCCGAAACAGGCTCTAGTGATTCAATCAAAGTCTCTTTGTCTCAGTATTCAAAGTTTCTCTCTAAAAGGACACACAGCCATCTGTCTGTGTCTCTCGGCGTAAGAGCTGCATCCATCTGTCTGGTTGTCTGTCCTCCACTCATTACCAGGCGACCGAAACCAAACTGCTTTAAAAACGGCTTCATCCACAGTGAAAGCAGAATGACAAAAAGCGCAGACGAAAAGCGGCGTGTCCCAGTTAATGGTAGAAAGTTTTGTTTTTAGTGCACCAGGGCAGATCATGTTGTCCTCAGTTCACTTTTTAAATCTGCACCAGTGTTCATTGTGTTCCCAGGGACTGATGATGAAATGGTGTTAGCTCGCCACAAACCGTTCATTTTGCCATCGTGTAAAACAATATCTGTGAGTTTTCTTGTCCCAACTTAACAGCGAGGGCCAGTTATCCAGCTGTCGGCAGCACCATGGAGAATCAACACAAGTGATTGTCTCTCAACGCCCCCTCCTCCCTCCCTCCCCCGCCATGTGTCTCACTGCACTGAGGGCTGCACTCTTGTACGTGATGTCTTTACATGCGTGTGAGGAAGTCTAAACCTTCCCTGCCCACAATGCTTCTTAGATTATCTGTGTATGTGTGTGTTGGCAGGCGCAAACGCGTGCATGTGTGAAGCGGCTCCCCTTTGGCAGCTCTATCCTGCTTGACGTGTGCCCATAAAAATCCTATTAGCAGCCAACAAGGGGATCGCAACGGGGCTGCACGCACAAACACGGCAGCAACACACACACACACACACACACACACACACACACACACACACACACA